TTCACCTCGCCGGCGCCTGCGACTTTTTTTTCTTGTTTTCAAGGAACGAGGGGTTGGTTCTTTCTATTTTCCTTTCTTCTTTGGCTTTTACACGGATAGATTGTAGTTGCAGAGGAATGATGATTCCAGGATTAAAGTGATGAGTTTAATCCAAGACTTTAGTTTTCGTCCCGGATATCAGTGAAGTGTTGCTAGTGCCTGCCGCCTTGTTTGTTCATCTTTGTGTCTGTCTGTCTCTAGTAGTCAGAGAACCGGTGCGTTCGTCAGCGTCGAGGGACATGTCAGCTCGCTGGCTTTGCTGCGTAACTCCTTTGTGTCCATCATCGTGCCTGTCCCACCGCCACCATCAGTATGAGGCGAGGCGAGGCGAGAGCCCCTTCCCCCCGCCGGATAACTCCTGCAGTCTACAGCCATGTCGTGCCGTATGCACTGGAGCTTGCCTGCCCTCATTCTTTTTCTCAGCATCGTTCGACGGCGACCGAAGCCGACAAAAGGGTATCAAATCAGACGGGGCAAGCCGCGCTGCAATGGAATTCATGCCCTGCGTGTTTAAACTTTCGTCTCTTTTCCTTTTCCTCTTGTCTTTCCGAACGCTCAAGGGAAAAGGAGACGAAGTTGGGAGACTTCCAAGAGAGAAAGCTGGATACCGACTAGAGCCGGATATAGGGCAGCAGGCGGATTTGAAAAGCTTATGATAGTCCACTTTCGCAACTACGCAGAAGGCCCCAAGCAGCAGGACAGGACGCATCCGTGAACTGTATTCCCCTCCCTACGAGGAGAGGGAATCGTCTTCAAATGACGACGTTCTAGGCAAGCCGCTCGACTCCCGCCTCCCCCGCCCCCCGGGAGCGACCTAACCTTGCCGACTATGCGATACGACGACGGTTGCTTGTTCGAGAGAGGGCAGGGGAAGTTGCCAAACAATATCAGACACCCAATTATAGCGTCAACCGGGATCATCGCGAATACACCATCCGTTCCGTTCATCGCCCGCCTTGACCTCTGCTAAGCTTAATGGCCTTGAGGGTTCGGTGCTATAGCTCAAGTTTAGCTCGGGCGGGGTTTGTCACAGGAGCTTCACAAGAGCTTCATTACGACCCTGAATGTAGGGCACTTCGGCACCGCTTCAGATTCCTCTCGAAATCGTATCCGTTCATCGACGCACAACGACTCGGATCAGACGCTGTTAGGCTTGTACCTGTAATCTCCTCATGTTTCCATGTGCTTGCGACGTTCCTCGTTCCTCGGCTCCGGAGAGGATTCATGCGCGGTTTGCTTGCGAGGACGGAGTTACAAGCGCGGGGGTCACGACCACCGTCGCATACGTTCTCCCGTATGCGCCGTGGAAGCTTGGGGAACGGCCCGGAGCCCATGCAACAGGCGACTCCGCAAGACGGCCGTCCGCCGAGGGGTTCGAGAAACGGTCGAGAACGACCCTGGAGGGAACACAGAGGAGGAAGGGGGGGGAGTGCGGGGGGTTACGGCGCATCGATGCCCAAAGTCAAATGCCGCGATGGTCGACCGGGACAGTTCCATCAGAAAGACCCCTGACCTGGTCCTCAGATGCGGAGTGAAAGCAAAAAAAGGGAAAAGAAAACAAGATGAACAAAAAAAGCTTTCATATTTCCAAGGCCTAGGGTCCTGTCGGCCGAGGGCATCACGAAGCGCTCATGCGCAGCCCCTCACCCTCTCTCCCTCAGAGCCAATTCTCTTGGCCGAACCATGGTCACGTGCAGGCATGTGAAGAAGGCATACGTCACCAAACTCAAAATACGGCTCAATGTGTTGTTGGCTCCAATCCGTGCCATCAAGAGGTTATTACGATCGTCCGCCTCTGGGTTAGGTACAGCCGTTCAAGGTTTGGGGGTGAAGTTGAAAAGTACATTGAGAGCATGGGATGGCCGGACGCCTGCGATTGCAGAGAGCTCCAAGTGGCAGTACAACAGTACACGATTCCCTCTTTGGTTTGTCGCGTCTTGGGTAATCCTGGGGAAGTTGGGTCCGCTCGGCCAGGTCTTGAAGTTAAAGATATGGAGGGAGCTTGTGCCAGGTCAGAGATATATTTTCTCCGAGTGCAGCGGGCAGCCCGCCGTGTCATGACAACTCTAAGCTCGCTCTTCGATGATGTTACGTGGAGCAAGATCGTGACTGCTCTGCGGTTGCGCGCGATTTGCATTTGCATGAAGACCGCACGAATACATAACTTGGGTCCTTGGCTGTCGGTTCTGGTTGCGGGTGGAGTGCGGTTGAATTCTTTCTCTAGGATGATCCCCTGTGCTTGGGCCTTGAGGTCATAATGTGAAGGCATGGGGACAATTGAAGCTTTCGTTGCCCAAGCATTGCTTAGAGCCTAAGGTTCGAGGTGTGGCTGCTCTCAAAATAGGAACCGCAAGAAACGGACCCTAGTCCGTATTGTCAGACGGACCCTTCTACATGGGAGAAGGGTCTTCTGCTGTTGACAAGTGAGGCTGCCGCAAACTCCCCATCGGTATGAGCTTGACTCGGGCGAAGTTATCGATAACGAGCAGCCCGGTTGGCCAGCGTCACCTGTTGATAACCACCGAGGAGACAGCCCTCCCAATCTCCGCCAAATCAGGCAGCCCGCAATGCATCTTCCACGTTGCATTGCGCTCTGCACCCTGAAACTTGAGCATCCACGTTAATCCGTAAATCAGCAGCTGCTCCACGTGGACGGAGCGTATGAGCGGGTCATGGATAGAGGCCGACCGTTGGCAAGCAGTTAAAGCAGTTGCGTATCAAAACCACAATAGCTCCGAGCGAGCTCCGATGAGAGCCGGCCGAGAAAACCACAGCGGCACAGCCAGCATGTTGATACGACAACCCCAAGTTCTGCATTGCTGCACCGAATTTGCACCTCCGACTGACCCTAGACTTTCACCGTTTCTCTGGCATCATTCTACCGTCGTGGGAACGGAAGCTGGGCAGTGTGACAGTGCTCTAGAGGACCTCGCAGCACGAATCCTTACCGGCTCAATGGTTGGACCAGCGTAATGGGCCTGTTCAGGTCTTCAGGATGACTGCAACGACGACGAGGGTGACCAACGGGCCAATCAGAAGACAATGGAAGGTCTTGCATTCCCTTCTCGTCGGTGAACACCGACTTGATGGGACGCTTGCTGGCGAAACGACCTGTCGCCGACATAAAACGCACGCTTGGAGCGGTGACTGGCGTGCAGTCCATGATTTGGTGGGTGCGGGTTGCAGTGGCAAGTATGCCGAGCCCCCCGATCTCGTTCAAGGATACCATACTTCGTCCTTTCACTGGATGAGACGAGTGGGGGGAGATGAACGCATCCGTGATCCAGAAAAAAGTCATTCCAGCCTTAGCGTGACAGGAAGAAAGAAATGATCCCGTTTGGTGGACGGCTCACGGAGTCGCCGTTGCCCAAGGTTGTCTAGTACCGTCTCATGGCGAGTTCCACTCGATCTTCTTTTTGAATCAACTGTCGGAGACTTGTCTGTGGCTTGATGCTTCGCAAGAAAGTTTCTGTCGAGAATAATGATGAAGCTGATCATGGCTGGCTTGGCGGATGTTTAATGCGGAGATAGAACCCCTCGAAAGTCGCGACTCACGGTTAGGTTGCGTGTTAACCACAGGATACACGAGTCAATTATTGATACAGGGTCCTTCGTGGGAGCTCGCAACGTGATACGCTGAACAGTCCCATGGCCCGGCATCGTGCAACCGCAGTCCCCAGTTCCAGCAGCCATGCCAAGCCAAGACAATGCTTTGGTATGCTACTTGGGGCTTGCCATGTGGCTGGCGCAAGGTCCTGAGGTGAATTGCCAGGACACACCTAGTAACCTCTGTTCCGAGAGCGCGCGGCTTGAATAGGCGTCTTCGATCCCAACTAATCACTGAAGAAAACGCTCTGCAAATGCCCTTCGCAAGCACGACCCAAAACCGTCAGTCGCTTTTGAAGCTGTACCATACTGGTAGCGATTACACACCTAATTAAGTTGGATGAGTGCAAGATTTTAGGAAATCTCTGGCATTATTCGTAGTAGCAGCTTTGTCGTGTGGCATATCTACCTAGTCAAGATAAACTCGCGGAGTGGAGTCTACGGGCCAGGTCAACTTGATCAATTTCTGAATGAATGTTCTTATTAAACAGTGAAAGAGGTCAGGTTTGCCTGCAAACCATCCGGCAAAGCACACCGCTTAATATGGCTTTAAGCATCCGCCGTGCGGCAGAAGGAGATGGGATAATTGGTTTCCCGGCCCTGTGTAGCAGGCTAGCAACCTGCGATAGGTTGTGGCCTGCGAGGCGTCATGCCTTGGTGTTGAAGCCTACTTGGTGTTGTCGAACACACATTTGAATCGTGGTATGGGAGCTGTTCATGTTGGTTTAGCTCCTGGCATAGGCAACAACGAGGATCCTGCTAGTTAAGTTAATCTGGTCAGCATGTATGGTGGCAATGGCGTACGGGAAATAGGGGTTAAGCGGTTAAGCCCAAGCCCATTTTAGCCTCCGTTCCGGCAGTTCCTGGGAACTGGCGGGTAGCCGGCCGGGCTGTGAGGAAAAGAAAGGTGGTCGATGAAATTCCAGACTGAGCTGGTCGAATAAGGCCTTCCTTCGGGTTGGCTCATCCGAGCCATCGACAACATCACCGGGGGTGGGGGGGGGGGACTTTGATACTGGCATCGACCTCATTTATCCAGAAGTATCAGAAGTATCCGTATATTCTTGAACAAGCGATCGTTAGGCTAGAACCAAGAATAGGCAGTCCCTGAGTGAGAGGCTTTCACGAGTCAATGATTGCTCTCAGAGCAGGGCGGTGTGGCTTGGGGTCGAATCAGATTAGGGATCTCCTGGGCCACAGTGACGTCGATGGCTTGGGCTTCTCGGCAGGCGGCAGGTATCCGTACCCGGTAGAGGATACCACCGTTGAGATTGGTCTGGAGGACAAGGCGATATATTCTCTTGGGACAGAGGTACAGGTCGGAAGTAGTGATAAGCTTGGGCCGTCTTGGTTTCTTACGAGGGCTGTCCAACAACTGCCAACTGAGCCGGTGTCCTGATGGTCTGTTTCCGGGGAAAGGAGACACTGGGGGGCCCGGTACCTGGTGACTCGCGAGGGACGTTGAGCAACATGGCTGCATGGGTTGGAGGCCTGAGATCTGGGAGTTTGAACTCTGGAGGGTATCCCGGCGATACGGTTGTGATGAAAGGATGAGCGACGCGAGATGTTGAAACGAGCGAAGAAGGCATTGCGCGACGATCTTTGGACGGCGTCCCGGACAGTCGTTCTTGACGGGTGGAAACCTTGCGAGTTGACCCTGACGATCGCAGTGGCTGCTGTACAACGGTGTCGTCCGTTGGTCAGTGTCGGCGTTAGTATGAAAGTCATAGGTTGAGAATGAGAGGCGCAAGGTGGAAGTGGGCATTCATGACTCCCTGGCCAGTGGTCGGAGCAAACTTCAAAGTAACGGGCGGGGCAACGGACGGCGACTTGCCGAGCGCTCGATGTTTTCGAGGAGTAGGTACCGAATCCCAACTTCCCAAGGGATGTCGAGGGCAGTCAAAGAAAGTATGTGGCTCCTGTTTTTTTTTTTTTTTGTCACTCCTTTTGCTAGCAGAGGAAGAGAGGCACTTGGTGTGAGAGGGAGGTGGGAGGCAGAGAAGAAATGGGATCGGGATGGGACGACGGGATCCCTGACCTGGACCCTGGCACTTGCTTCATTGTGAGTTAGCTCGCACTTCCTTTCTTTTCTCTTTTTCCCGCAGGAGCCCAGCGCAGACACAGGAAGGAAGCAGACTCCAGATACTCATACCTGAGGCAAAAGCCATGTGCGATCAAGATTTTGACACTGTCATTTAGAAGCATCAAGTCTTTCCAGAACACTGTGCAGCAGCTCCACCCTGATTTTTGACTTGACTTCACTCCGACATCCATGCCGATTCATCCTGCCTCCAAGAGGCAAAGCAGCCGACCCAACGCAGCATATCTGCTTGGTTGGGTCTCGTTGGAGAGAGTATACGGATACGAAAAAAAGAGCATAGCGTATAAAACGACGCAGACGATCAACCAGCTACCGTTATTCTATCCCTACTTGAGGAGAAGCTTGACTTGGGCACATGCGCCTTACTCATCATCGGAATCTCGATCTCAACATCAGCTGCGACATCTGGAATTGATTCCCACTGCTCGCAAAAAGATATGTGAAGAGAGACGTGAGGTTGGGCAGGCAAATGAAGCACGTCCCTGATACGCCATGTGACAGCCGGGCGGCTAGGCCTGTCGGGACTCGGGATTCTCGAATCTCGACTTTTTGAACCCATGGACTCGTCCACTCTGGACCCGATCCTGGATCTGAAGCGGGCCGCGGAGGCATGCCTTACCTAAGACACCGCTGTCGTTCAAGTTTGTTTGTACCTATCCGTATAAAGTACAGCGGCGGCTGGGCGGTCCATAAAGTGTGGCACGGCGTAGCAGCAGTAGAGGGAGAAGGGAATGCAAAGCAACGCTGTCGGTGGCCATGCCGCCATGGGAGTCGGGACAAGGTGGTGTGGATGGGGGCGGCCAGGAGCCTCCCGCCGTCATCCAGCTGAGAAATACTACCCTGCCTTCCCATACGGAGACCATCGTCGCTACCAATCGCCGGTGCTCCAGCTCCGGAAACTCATAGGGTACCCTGTGGGTTGGCAGCAAGAGGGATGGCGTCGACTCCGTCTCTCGAGAGGAAGTCTGGGAGTCTGAGGGTCTGGAGAGATGCAACAAGTGGTGTTGTGTTTGCTCAGTCCCAAGACCCCTATTCCGTGAAAACCGAGGCGCAACAAAAGTTGCGGGAAGAGAAGCACACTAAGTCAAGCAAGCATCCAACCAAGTTCTCCACCTTAGACATATGCGTTGGTTTTCCCCACACCAATGGCGAGAGAAAACGGTTCTAACTTGTCGCGCCCGTCACGCCCGTCCAGCACGCAGCGCTAGGCCGCCTCGGGAGCGCTGCTGCAAGTGCCCAAACAGCCACAAGCCACAAGACTCTATTCCTACGGGATACCAACTCTGTACGTTCACTATGCAGGTAGACGACAACAGAACACACGCTAACAGGCTGGGGTCAAGGGAGTGGCATCTCTCCACTCCCACAAGCCCGTACTGTGTAGTGTGCGCTGCTAGCACGTATCTCCCTTACGATACGGATGCCTCTGTCTTGCCTAGCAGACTTTGGGGAGCGGATACATTTGGTTAGGCATGCGTAAGTCCTTCGGCTTGAGGGAGACGGGATACGAAGACCACGCGAGATGAGATAGTTAATATCAGGTAAGCCAGGTGGTCAGGTGGCGGCAACGGTCGACAAGGCCGAATGCGTTGACCCAGACGGCAGAATCGCCAGACGGGGAGTAGACTCAGCCCGACCGTCTGGACTAAGGTAGTTATGGTTAGTCTGGCCCCCATCCGTTTCCTGACAGCAAGGTACCCAGAGCCTAGGGGAGGGAACGGACGGTGGAAAGGGAGGCGGTGGTGAAGGAACTATGAGATCCATTAATGGGATGGGCTGTTAAAATGTTCAGCGGTCGACAGCCACACCTCGCAAGCCTGGCTTTAGTATACCCCGTTCCTAGATGGAATGAGTGAGAGTGCAGAATACAGACAGGCACAGGCCACAGCAGAGATGATGGCCGGAGATCGATGAGATGCAAAGAGGCAGTGTCGCTCATCAACTAGTGAGACGTCAGAGGTCAGAGGTGAGAGAGGGGGAGAGAGAGAGAGAGCGAGATAGAGCGTACAATGGTATCCAATGTCCATGGTATGCGTGCGAGGCATCCTCCCTTGACCTGGGTACATTGCGATACTTGCTCATCCTCCCACTAACGTTGCAAAAGACAAGCCGGGCTTGGGGGAGGGGCATAACAGCCGTTCGAACCAATGTTCATCTCCGAAATTGTCCATGGTCTGGGACAAGCACGCTGGCGACCTCTGACAATCCCCTTGGGGCGTCGACGCTTGTGCTGCGTTAGGAAAGAAGGTCGACCGATCACCATTCGTATTCCATGTCGACCGCGGGCTGGAGGAGCGAAATGCTTTGGCGCAACTTCGCGAGAGGTCCTGCGTGGCCTGCCCCCCTTTGCGGAGACTGGGCCCCATATCCATCGGTCTCATTCGCCGAGTGCCTCTTGGGTGCTGCCGGGGGCTGCTCGACTCAGTATGTACACTCGCCGCGACTCTGGCGGCACAAAGTACACGCAAGGCTGGACCGACTTATACTAGCGCCGTCTCCTTGCCCCATTTTTCACCCTTGACGTCTGATGTATTCCTCAAGTATTCCGTACCTTTCTACTATGCACGGGAGCTTCTCCTCCACCTCTGGTAATCACAGGCGCACCGAAGCTCACCGTTTAGGCGTAGAATCTACATCTCGATGCAATAATTTTCGATACGCCTCCCAAGTACCGAATACGTACTTGTATCTATACGCAGACGCTACCGATGCCTTTCACTCTTTCTCTCTCTCTCTCCCTGGACCTCCAGTGTCCAACCAGCGTCAGATAAACCAAACAGCGCCAATCAAGCACAGGAGAAAGGCAAGCGAGCGGTAGAAGGGAAATCCAGTGTTGCGCCAGAAGAGCCATTCGTCCTACGACATTTCACCGTTCGCCTCGCCGACCAATCTTGCTCTCCACCTTTGCTCCCAAGCATCCCCCCCTCGCCGTCGCATCCCACCCCAATCCCTACATCCGCCCTCCTTAACCCGCTGTGATATCCGTCCAACCCCCGGTCCCAGGTACCTCAAGTTCCGCCTTATCTCCTCTTCACCTACGGATACTCCAGCGCTGTAGTTCTTCTCTCTCGCTCTTGCTCTGTTCCTCTACAACCTCTAGCCTCCAGTAGCTCACCCGTCCTACGTTATCCGCCTGACCACTTTCGGGGCGTGTCTCCTCGCCATTTGTTCGCCTCTTTGCTTTTTTATTTTTTATTTTTTTTACTCTCTCTCTCCTTGTCCTCTTGCTTCATATTGCCAACCCACCGACACCACCTTCTTCCTTACTCTTCCCCTCCAAACTCCTCCGATATCACCCTCGCTCCGCAGAAAAAAAAAATAGGAGCTCCATTGTCTTTGACACATCGGGTCGTTGAGATTCGAGCGAGTGTTGAACGATTTGGCTCCTGACCAACAGCTACTGGGTTTCGATATTCACATTGGTTCCAGGCCTTCACTGAGCTAATATGCTGCCGGTTGACCACAATTCTTCTTGATCCATACCCGCCCGCCCTTGCCCATCCATACTCTCCAGCCTCGGCCTACTTGTTTCGACAATCCGCGAACCCCGCGCTACAACATCACAAGCAGCGCCCTCTCTGCTCTGCTTGCAGATTCGAACCCCGACAGTAACTCAATATGGTTGACGACTCAGCATTGGCCGCGGCAGCGGCCATCGTGCAATCCCTCGCCGCTGATGGCTCCACGCCAATGTCTCTCCCCTTTAAGGTCGACGCGCGGATCGAGCTCCCCGGACGAGATACCCCTGCCAAGCGAAGCCTCGAGAATGAGCTCGCCAGGCTCGCCCAAAGAATCGAAAAACTTGAGAGTCGAGCCCACGCCTCTGTGGCATTCCCGGAAACGCCCAACGAAGTCCACGGTTCCCTCTTTGGCGACGATTCCGACGGCGCTTCACCATCATCATCCAACAGTCGCACTGTTGCCGCCGGGCCCACCAAGTTCCAACGCGAAGGTACCGCCACAGCCGATCCGAGCCTCGCAGACAGCCCGCTGACTGACGAAGCCTTGGAAAGCTTGCAAGAGAAGGTACTTGACCAGGAGAAAGGAATTTCTAGTGCGAGACAGGAAATCAGCAGCGTAAGCGCCCAGCTCCTTGAACAGAAGGAACTCCAGGAACAGGCCTTCTTCAAGATTGAACAAGAGAGAGTTGCGACTCTGGAGCGGGAATTATGGAAGCACCAAAAGGCGAACGAGGCCTTCCAGAAAGCTCTGCGAGAGATTGGTGAGATCGTCACAGCCGTTGCGCGCGGCGACCTTTCCAAAAAGGTCCGCATGAATACCGTCGAAATGGACCCTGAAATCACAACGTTTAAACGGACAATCAACACTATGATGGATCAGCTGCAGGTTTTCTCAAGCGAAGTCTCCCGCGTCGCCCGCGAGGTCGGAACCGAGGGTTTGCTCGGCGGACAAGCTCGCATCGAGGGTGTTGACGGTACCTGGAAGGAGTTGACGGACAATGGTGCGCCTACAGTGCGACCCGCGGTTTTGAATCACCTTGCTAATTGATCGTTGCAGTCAACGTTATGGCTCAAAATCTCACGGATCAAGGTCAGTCACTACCTAACCGGAAACCGCACCAGAGAACTATACTGACATGGCGCAGTGCGAGAAATCGCATCGGTAACCACTGCTGTCGCCCACGGTGACTTGACCAAGAAAATCGAACGCCCCGCCAGAGGAGAAATCCTGCAACTGCAACAAACGATCAACACCATGGTAGATCAACTGCGAACATTCGCCTCCGAAGTAACTCGAGTAGCCCGTGATGTCGGAACTGAAGGTATCCTCGGTGGTCAAGCCGACGTCGAGGGAGTCAAAGGCATGTGGAATGAATTAACGGTCAATGTCAACGCAATGGCAAATAATTTAACGACACAAGTACGAGACATTATCAAGGTAACAACTGCTGTAGCCAAGGGCGACCTTACACAAAATGTCCAAGCGGATTGCAGGGGAGAAATCTTCGACCTCAAGTCAACCATCAACTCCATGGTGAAACAACTACAACAATTTGCCCGAGAGGTTACCAAGATCGCCAGAGAGGTAGGAACGGAAGGTAGGCTTGGTGGCCAAGCCACCGTCCATGATGTCGAGGGAACCTGGAGAGATCTCACCGAGAACGTCAACGGCATGGCGATGAACTTGACGACCCAAGTACGCGCGATTGCCAAGGTCACAACGGCTGTGGCGAACGGCGACCTAACGGAGAAGATAAGAGTACCCGTCAAGGGTGAAATTCTCGACCTGAAGAACACTATCAACACCATGGTGGACCGCCTCGGCACTTTCGCCTTTGAGGTGAGCAAGGTCGCCAGGGAAGTCGGCACTGACGGCACGCTCGGCGGACAAGCCCAGGTCGACAACGTGGAAGGCAAATGGAAGGATCTCACCGAGAATGTCAACACTATGGCTTCGAATCTTACGATACAGGTCCGCAGTATCTCGACCGTTACCCAGGCCATTGCCAATGGCGACATGAGCCAGAAGATTGAGGTTGAGGCTCAAGGAGAAATACTAGTCCTCAAAGAAACGATAAACAACATGGTTGACAGACTTTCCAACTTCTGTAATGAGGTGCAACGAGTGGCCAGGGATGTCGGCGTTGACGGCAAGATGGGCGCGCAAGCAGACCCCGCCGGCTTAAAGGGTCGTTGGCGCGAGATCACGACGGATGTCAACACTATGGCTAGTAACTTGGTAAGCGCAAACAGCCCTATGTCATGAAGTCTGAATATCGGAACCGACGGCTAACTGCTCAAATAGACAACTCAAGTACGTGCATTCTCGGACATTACGAACTTGGCAACAGACGGAGACTTCACGAAACTCGTCGAAGTAGAAGCCTCTGGCGAAATGGACGAACTCAAACGAAAGATCAATCAGATGGTGTCCAATTTACGGGACAGTATCCAGAGGAATACACAAGCTCGCGAGGCGGCCGAGCTGGCCAACAAGACCAAGTCCGAGTTCCTGGCAAATATGTCTCACGAAATCCGCACTCCCATGAACGGCATCATAGGCATGACGCAGCTGACACTGGACACGGACTTGACACAATACCAGCGAGAGATGCTAAACATCGTCAACAGTCTGGCGAACAGTCTACTCACCATCATTGACGATATTTTGGATTTGTCCAAGATCGAGGCCCGCAGGATGGTCATAGAAGAAATTCCGTACACCCTGCGAGGAACGGTGTTCAATGCGCTCAAGACACTGGCAGTTAAGGCGAACGAGAAATACCTCGACCTCACCTACCGAGTCGACAGCTCCGTGCCGGACCACGTCATTGGAGATTCATTCCGTCTTAGGCAGATTATTCTGAACCTGGTCGGAAACGCCATCAAGTTCACGGAACACGGCGAAGTCAGTCTCACCATTAAGAAGGCCGATCCTATTGTTTGGGCATGCGGCCCTGACCAGTACGCTATCGAATTCATCGTTACGGACACTGGTATCGGCATTGCCGCGGACAAGCTTGATCTCATTTTCGACACATTCCAGCAGGCCGATGGCTCCATGACCAGGAAGTTTGGCGGTACCGGACTCGGCTTATCCATCTCGAAGCGCCTTGTTAAGCTCATGGGCGGAGACTTGTGGGTTAAGAGTCAACACGGCCAAGGCAGTGAGTTCCACTTCACATGTCGTGTTCGCCTGTCGGATCTCGGCGTGGAGATCATCGAGAAGCAAATCAAGCCATACAAGGGTCACGAGGTGCTCTTTGTTGACAAGTCGCAATCTGGCTACGGAGAGCAGATCGAGGCAATGTTGTCTCTGATTGGCCTCAAGCCCGTCGTCGTTGAGTCGGAGAAGAACCCCATCCTCACCAGCGTTCGTGACGCTCAGGCGATGCCGTACGATGTCATTATTGTCGACTCCATCGACACGGCCAGGAGGCTTAGATCGGTGGATGACTTCAAGTACCTTCCCATCGTACTGCTGGCGCCTGTTGTTCATGTGAACCTCAAGTCGTGCCTGGACTTGGGCATCACATCTTATATGACTACGCCCTGCACGGCTGTGGATCTCGGCAACGGCATGATTCCTGCCCTCGAGAATCGTGCCACGCCATCTCTCGCCGACAACACCAAGTCTTTTGAGATCCTTCTTGCAGAAGACAACCGAGTCAACCAGAGACTCGCTGTTAAGATCCTCGAAAAGTACCACCACGTGGTCACAGTTGTTGGCAACGGTTTTGAAGCCGTTGAGGCTATTAAGGCGAAGAAGTTTGACGTGATTCTCATGGATGTTCAGATGCCAATCATGGTGAGTCCCGGAATTTCTGTTGTTGTCTGTCCATGTTGATAGCAAGCTAATCCCACCCCAATAGGGCGGTTTTGAGGCAACAGGCAAGATCCGTGAGTACGAGCGCAGCCTGGGCTCGCATCGTACTCCCATCATTGCTCTGACAGCTCACGCCATGATGGGTGATCGTGAGAAATGCATTCAGGCACAGATGGACGAGTACCTGTCGAAGCCTCTACAGCAGAACCACCTCATCCAGACCATTCTCAAGTGCGCGACGCTCGGCGGCCAGCTCTTGGAGAAGAATCGGGAGAGGGACATGGCTCAGAAGACCAGAGTCAAGGCGAGCTCCACCGAGAATCCTCAGTCTCATCTTCGGCCGCCTCTGGAGACCCGATCCTTCACTTCAAAAGAACCAATCATGGGACCCAGTCCGGCCAGCCCAGCTGTGGCAACGGCGGACCAGGAAGACCCCATTTCTAGGGCACGTAACGGCCTTTCCGACTCGCGCAGCCTAACAAGCTAACTTGGTTTCTTGTTCGTGCGCGCAGCTGCTACTGAGGTCACATAGTTCCTAACTGGGATGTGCAGGGACAGGCTCAGAAAAAACGCAAGTGGAACCCCGAGTAAACCACAATCGACTAACATCGTTTTCGATGAAATACCCAAGAGAGTTACAAGACCATTGGTGGATACAACACGGACAGCATCGCTTCCCCTTCCTATCTTCTACTCGACATTCTTACACATACACCAATCACATACGATACAGCCAATCCACCCCCTTTTAGTGGCTGAGAGCTTCCCAGGAAGAAGGGGAGGCAAGTTTTGAGAGTTCACAAAGTGGGTGTGTGCAGCAGTGTTCCATTACGCAGGGAGAAGCTAGTCTCTCTGTTTGGTTCACAAAGATTCTCAAGACGGGCTTTGCATACAGATGGGTCAGGCAGGGGCGGCATTTGGGGCTCTGGGGGCCGTCGGGAGTTTTTCATCATGAATTTTGTCGTTATCAAAGGAGCAAGGGCAGGCGTCATGCTGTCCTCATTCTTCACCTTCTCGTTGACCTTCCCGTTGTAGTTTTACTTGAGTTTGACAAGGAGGGAAACGGTTCACACAGCCAGCACATGAAATGGCTATGCCTTTGTGTTCTCTCCTCTGTGGGTGACGTTGGTGGTTGGATTCATCGACTTTGACTCGGAAGCATTCAGTCTGGTCATCGACTCCGTCGGCTAACGCAACCAGGGTCGGGGGTAGGGGATATGCCTCCTTTTCTTTAGGAACAGGATAGGGGGGAGAGAGGCTCAGAGAGAGAGAGAGACAGATTTTGCTTTTTTTTCCCCATCCCGTAAGATCAGGTTACCAGCAACAAGGGCGTCTATCAGGGATGGGGAGGGTACAGAGACTTGACATTATTTGATAACAAAGAAGCCCGGTCGAGTTTTGGTCGGGCTGGATACCCAGACTTGGATTGCTCCCCCTTCGTGACTAGTTGGAGTTGTGAATGTTACCTTGGTCGACTCATCTTTTCTCTGTTGAGAAGAACTGCTGCAGACTCTTATGCCATTGCCCCCATGAGCAAGCCGATGTTTTATTTCCACTCTCCCCCAATCGTTCAAAATCAACTTGACATTGGCCTACTTTCCCTGCTTCCGTGCTAATGTGATTGATGCAATGTGCCACAGCGGTCAAATAAGTAAGTAGCCTTGGATTCAACCTGTAACATGCGTTCTTGCATGGACAGCTTTTACTTATTTCTTGAAGATGTCGTCCACATCAAACGTACCTAATGAGGAGCAGATCTCCCCCCTCCCTTCTACCATTTCCTTTCTCATAGGCGACGGGCCAATACTTCTGGGATGGCTTGAATTAAATAGAGGACGGTGACGACGTTTGACAAACCGCAGATTGTGTGACATGCAAACACGTATCGTATCGTTGGGGTCATTCGCTTCTCTTCTACCTTGATCAAGGTCTTTATGATATTGTTCAGACAAGTTGGGTAAAGATATGAAAAACTACAAGGCTGACTAGACTCCCCCCCTCCCCCTCTCAACGTCAATAAGGTACTATCCACATCTCCGCTTTTCCCTCTACCTAGGTGAGGTAGTAAGTACTATTGAGGACTTTCTGTAAACGTATATAATACAGAACCTGCGAGAATATTCGCGGCTGTTTATGCTACAGCTTAAACCCCCCTATTTAATTTTATTTTAATTATTTTCAATCGAGGTTGGGAAAGTTGACCAACGTATTAGCAAGGAGATGCAATAATCATTTTGGCTCCAGACAGAAGAAAGAAAATAAAAGACGTACCGTTTTCTTTCCTGGCCCAGAGCTGTGTCAAAATGTCGATTGAGCTAGGAGTTCCAGACACCAAACGTATTGCCACCTGCAAGCCGGGCATTTTCCACAATCACCAAACAAAAAAATAAATAAACGGAGCGTTTGATCCGGTATGTTAATACTGACAGGAGTCTTTGGGCTCGCCCCCCGATCGGGGATCTACGTTTCTCACTTCTCATTTGTCGACGACGATCCTGTCAGGATTGGACGCTGGATACCCCCCCATTTGAATATGCAACGACGAGGAGAGGGAGGGGGGGTTCCATCTGGTGGAAAGGGGAAAACTAGACAATCGGCCGAGCCACTTTTGGCCCCGGGGGAGCGGGTGAGGCCAAGTCAAAGGATGTATTTCAAGGAGGTTTCGCTCCTGTCCGGGTAATCAGAAAATCGAGTTAATCACATTGATCACAATTCTCACGGAGCGGCCCAATGCAAGCAAAGTTCTAGACTCTTCAAGGAGGACTGCAAGGAGGAGGATCAGAGTGGTTCCTAGGTATGTAGATGGCAGCTGTAGAGGCGCGCCCCCCTTCCCCCAGTTACAATAAGCGAGTGGCAACGTCGCCTAAATCCGGCACGTAGTTCGCCCCCCCGTATCCCAAAGCCGAGAACTTCTACTCCTGGTACCATGAGAAATCCTCTAATGCCGGTACCTCTCTCGCAAGCCCGAAAAGAAATCACCACGTGCGCGTGCGCATTTGCATCAATGGGAGTTGCGACTGTGATGGGATGTGGTCGGTGAGAATGTATATGATAGGCCAGGCCGGAGCAAAAGAACCGCTAGCATGGAGTAGAAGGGGGTTTTTGGGAGCTTTGGCACCGTGGCACCTTGATCCCTAGCCAGGATCGTTGGCCTAGGCATGCAGGAGCTATTATCGCCACCTCGATCTGTCGCAAACCCCAGAATTCGCTTCCATTTGGAACCGTAAAGGGCCAGAATACGATGCAATGCGATGCGGGAGGGATGGACTAGACAGCGTGACAACATCACTCATGCTGGCCCTTCATTGCGGCGGGCGGATCTCCCAGTCAGGGACTAGCCGGCACAACGAGTAGACCAGACCTAGGCTTTTTTCGCCGCCTCTTGTGACTTGGAGTCCGGCTCATTTGAGCCTTTGCCTGGCGGTGCCACGGTACCGTCCTTGCTGGGCTCTTGAGCCGATTCAAAGGCGGCTAGAAGTGCATCGAGTCGACCCTCCAGGTTCGTCAGGTTTGCCTCGAGTGCGCTGGCCGCCTGCTCGCCTCTGTATGCGATTTATGGTTAGTCCAATCCTCTGAAATGATAGCGGTCACGAGGGCTCTTCTTGATGGGTAACGGGATATGGGAATTTGTCTTCTCGGTCCTGCCGCTTGGCTAGACCCCGGCGGGGAGCAAGGGGAAGTGCAGTAGTCCCGAATGTCTGGCGATGCAGAGTATTGGACGTGATCTGACAACGGCCCTGGGCGTTGCGAAGGGCTCATGGGCTGAGACTGATGTGGCACTAGCCTTGGAGGTGTAAGATGCTCGAGGCCGTATTCGTCCCTAGGCTCTCGGTGCCCGCGGATAGTCTGGTCTAAAGGGAGGGTCTAGAACTTTCAACGATATGGGCTTTCTGCAGGAGCGGTAACCGAACGCAGTCGTTACACATGGGTTTGTGACAGCGAATTGGACAATGCCGGACCAAAAGCCGTCCAACCTCCCTCCCCAGATCGAGTGAGGGAAGCACATGTCTCGCTTCTGTGCGACATCCCCGATTGAGAGTGAGCGGCCAGACTAATGCTAGGTCGTGGATTGGTGATTATAGCCCCTTGCGCTGGAACATATACTTGCGGAGTTGAAGTTTAGAATGACAGCGACTGGAGACCAAAAAAAAAACTCTGGCTGGATTTCGAGGACAGGCCAGAAGAGTAAGCCAGCGCCAAATCCGGGATAGTTCAAGGCTGAATGCGCCATGAACAGAAAGGGGAACTTCCAAAGATGAGAAAGGTTCGGCGATGTCTTGCACGAACGAATGAGTGTGCACAGGCACTGCCTGCTGCGCCGCGCAAGGATCCGAGGGAAAATCTGGGCCACTGGGCTAGACGCTGGTACTGATGCGCTTTGCTCGGAGTTGCAGCTTCGGAGGCAGCTCCGACTCGTTCAGGGTACAAACATGCCATTCTCAACTTTGTGGTGAGTGAAGCAAAGGGAGGGGCGTTTCATCCCTTCACACCATGGGCGCGAGGACAAGGGGTGTTGGCATTCGTCCTCCCAGACGGGGGAGTGGGGGGGGAGAGCAACATGAAGGGAAAATAACTCGTCGAATGAGCGTACCTTAGCAGGTCCTTGTAGGCCTAGAACGTGGTCAGCCCTGGAACAGTCTAGGTGGGGTGGTTTCTCCCATTGGATGCCACCCCCTTCTGCCCTCACCTGGCCTCTCCTCTGCCGCAGTTACAATGAGCACCGGCCAAGTCCCCAGCCGCTCCGTTTGTACGAGCGGAGAGCAACCAACGGGTGTGCCAGAGGTGGCAAGTGGGAGAAGGGACGGGACGAGGGACTTGGGGGCGGAATGGGCGAATGGGAGAATGGGAGAATGAGAGAATGCGAGAGAGGGAAAGACGGGAAACATTGGGCAGACGGTAAACCGAGGTATACAGAGTAGTGGCCAGCAAAACACCTTAGGGACCACGGTTTAAGCCCACCTCAAGAGCTCTGCGCCTGACAGCGCTATCCGCTCAGGTGTTGCTGCCGCCTCCTTACGGTGTCGGGGGTCCCAAGCCAAAGCAAGCCGCTTGAAAATACGGACAACAACGTACCTGGGCAATGTTATCCACCGGCGAGTCGCCATCGTGCCCGGTCGTTGTCGTGGAGGCGGACTCGGGCGCCTTAGATGGTGGGGCCATGTTCGGAAGACGTTGAGGTGCTGGCGAATCAAACGGTCGAGAAAATAAAAATTGGCCGGGAAAAACAAAAGGGGAGAAGAAGGTGGCCTGATTTTGGGGGTCTCAATAGAGGGATCACCCTCTTTTTTTAATCCTCTACGGACACCGGTCCAACCCTGGTATACGTGTCGTAACGATGGGAAATGCGGATACGGCGATTTTTGGTGCCTTTTTGATGTTTGTCGTCGATGGCCGCCGTTGAACACTCGATGCTACTCTGTTTTTCGTTATTTATTTTGGCCAAGCTAGGGCGCAAGCTTGCGTGGATTCGGCCTGGAGCCCAATTCTTCTTCGTTGTGGCTCAGCGTACCAGGTGACACGGGTTCGGCGATGCCGGGAGAAAGGCGATAATTCGGAGTCGTGTCAAGAGATAGTAAATGCAGAATGTCCCGGGATGGATGTATGGGATTTTGTATGGTCTTGAGACGTGCGTGGACAAGTTGTCGACGACTGGCGGCAGAAATGCGGTGCCACTCAAACCCCTCACACTCGGGAAGGTGCCTGCAAGGAGCCGCTTATGTAATGAGGGCAGTCCACGGTGAGCATAACTATCAAATTTTATGAGGTCCATTATATATGCCATTTTGTCACAAGTCGACAACTACAACCAGTGGCCCAGATCGTCTAGTTGGTTAGGATGATACGTTGTGGTTCTTCTATACAGCGATCCGTGTTGACGGCGGTTCGAATCCGCCTCTGGGCACTAGAAATTTTTGCGGGCCAACCCTCTCAAAGGCTCAGTATCGTCGCTTGCGGCCTACTCGTAACCATCTGTAGCGGTGAGGCTTCCCAGCATGTGAACTAGAGCACCGTCGTATTAAGAAACCGTATCTCGTCGGATGTATTTCCTATAACAAGCTGTGCAGCAAGTCCGAGGGATGCCAAGGATGTCAAAGTACTGCGAGCACTTCGGCTTGATTCCGAATAGCACCTTGCCGTCACTCTTTCCGTCGATTGCCCTACACTTAATGAATTGGTAGTCGAGTCGGTTCCGATGTAGACTCATCACACATGGCCCACATGTCCAAGTTTGTAAAGGGAAAAAAGCATCGTGCCAACCTAACGCGTCGGGAACCGGGTTGATTGATGCTATCTGATGTGTGTTCTCCCACACAACCTGGAAACCTACCGATAGGCTTCCTTACCACTGCAGGCAGAGAACAGCGCCGATGCAGCCAGAAAGCCAAAAGGTCGTAGTTGAATGAATGTGGTCGTTTGCCGCGGTAATTCTTTATGACTGCTGTGGTTAGCTTCACCGTCTTCCATGGGTACCTTGTGGTGGGAGGTAATGGCATAGGCCTTGGATAGGCAGACACTGTGTGTTTCTAAGGTCAGTGGCCCTCCAGTGGACGTAGGTACTTTGTGAGTCGAAGAGAATAGATAGGCCCGGTTCATGATAAACTATCATGGTATTCCACTAGGCGGAATGGCTTTTTGATTCTCCTACTTATGCGTTCCCGACGATAGACAACTCGGTTAGCTGATGTTGTTACGCGTGACAGAAAAAGTGAGGTTATCTTCCATACAGACTACTGTAGGAGATGGGGCAAGGCGAGTGAAGAGAAGATGCGACGCTGGGCCAGAGTCTGGATTCCCCCGTTGCAGAGTGAGCCGTATCGTCGTCATACTACTGCCTCAGTCAACAGGGTGGATTACCTCAGGCAACAGAGCGGGTGGCTGTACACTTCAGTCTCTCCAATGGGTATCGTCGGGGCCTGGGACTAACCCAACTTGGGTCCGGGTGGACTCAGCCGGAAACTGTCAACATTCCCTCCCCTATCCCCTACAGGCTTAGGTGCAGGCTTACTACGTAGGTAAGGCCTGTACAGGTGAAGGGAGGTAGGCACGTAGGCAAGTAGGCACCCGACACGCTGGGAAGGAAACTAGGTTTTCCAGGTCACCTTCTTTTTCGATGCCGCAGCGCATTCCCAGATGCCGACCAAACCCCCCTCTCTGGTCCGATCGGACTTTCGCTGAGTCTGATCAGGAAAATAATAATAATGACATCGGATCCCAAACAACACCAACCCACTGACGCAGCTGTGCGGTCCAATCTTTTTTTCCCCTTCCCTGAACAAGCTCAAACCAGCAGCAGGTGGCATTTGGCTCAAATCTCGATGACTGGGAAATGGGCGTTCGCGATCGAGATGTTGGAATTCACCGTGTCGGAGTCAATGGAACCTGCTTGCACACCCATCCAGTGCCATCATTGCTTCCCATCCATCCATCCTCCGTAACTTACGGTTTCGCCTTGAGCAGTCTGACAGTTCAGCAAAGTCCCTTCTTTTGGCTTGCTCGCTGCAAAGTCACGTCTTGTACTTCTGCTTCGGCCTGGTGCTCGTACAGATACTTTTGTACCAGTAGATTTCTAGGCCATTGTGACCTCTCCCACAGAGTACTAGAACAGCATCAGCCCTGTCGCTTGTGCTCACATCGTGATCGTCTGTGCCGTCTGCGATCGTATTCTCGAATGCCCAGTATGACGATATGCTTCAACTAGGCCTGCAGGCCACGCGCAAACATCGACGATTCTTACCTCCCCCCGCGCGCGCAAGCTTGTCTTCCTCTCATGCCTCTTCCCAGTCTCTCACGCTCACAGTCTCCGTTCTCTCGGCGCCTAGACGAGCCGATGGGTTATCATCAGCCCATTCCTTGCCCGCTAATCTTCATTTTTTTATGAAACCACGGCCCACGAGCTCATTGCGGTTCCCTTTAGCCTGTCCTCGTTCGGCGCGGACATCGTCGACGAGATCCAAGTATTCCCAGTTGGCCCGAGGTCGTCGGTTCCGCAAGCCTCGCGCTGCATCAAATTTACGTCACGGCGGGAGGCCAATATCGGAGGTCGGGAGGTGACTAGCGCGTCGATGCTCTGTAACACTGCCATTAGGCTTGCAGGTAGGTAGCACGTTCCGCGGCGAAACCATCCGTCGTTCATTGGAGTCCATGGATAGATCAACCCCCTCCGCAGGCTGCCGCGAGAGCCCACAGCCATGGCGTTAGGATATAGAAGGTGAAATGAACTCTCGTAGCAATGCGAGTTGTTGACCGTGGGTATCCGTACACTGAACCAAGATACCTCGTGTTGCTAATATCAGAGTCCTCAGTTTGACCATTTCTATCACGGATCGAAATTAGCATGCGAACCACCACGGTCGATCCGCCAATGGTCAATCGTCGACAAGCTCGAATGTGGCCATGATTGTTATTCTCTACTGGCGCGTTGTCGCGTATTTGGGCTGCAGCGTGGTACTAACGGGGTACGGAATGGCTTGGATCGTGTTCTGGCACTGCGGGCGGGTTCAGTCTGGCAGCGCTGGGCCGGTCCATGGTCCTAATCCGTGCTTGTCAGCTTTCGTAAAGCATTGTTTGATGCATATCTCTCGTTCCAGAGCCCCGTCAAAAGGGTCTGCACGCGCCTAGATGCCGTGCCAATCCTGCTCGCCTGTCGGTTTGTCCAACTTCGTTGAGATGGCCCGAGTTCCAGAACGCTCTTAATGGTTTGTGGAGACAGTGACAACCGAGAAGTGAAGATGCATGTGCTCTCAGCCTCACTTTGCGACCCAAATGCCATCTCCAGCCGAATGCACAATCTCCAGGCTGACGATGGCTTTCGTCTTTTACCCCTCCGTCACAAAGCGAAATTTCGGTTAAATGGGAGGCAATCCAGTTGCTTACTAGGTCAGCCGACGGCGAAGTTGCCTCTGGTGTCGGGCCCAGAGTTACACGACATAAACGGATAGGTAATCAGTAATCGCATTGCGCAAATCCGATTCTTCTGCAAATTCGGTGACATATCCTACCGGCAAAGCACTTACCATGCGAACCCCCCTGATGACGGACGGCCTTTGCTTTGGGTCTGTCTGATGGGACAAGGACTTCGTGTTCTGGCGCACACAACCTCTCGTCTTGGATCGGCCAGGGGTCGAATTCTGACTTATTGATCACCGAAACATTGCCATGTAGTTTGTGTGGACGCTGGTACAACCACTTGGGTTGATCCGCCAGGTACGGATAGACTTTTGCGAAGGGAACGAGACGTCAACGCAATTATTACGTCGTCCTGATTCGCAGTCTGTTGTCTCACCCGCACAGTGCTTTGGGACAGCTACCTATGGACGAGGTGCGTTACTCGAGGCCCGTGGTGGCCAGATTCATCCGCGTGAGCGTGTGTAGCAGGGGTGACAGCGGCTTTCGATCGCTGCGCAATTCTTCGATTTCAGTTGTCTCTCAATCCTTGATGCAATGCTCCGTCTCCCCGCGTAGTGGCGTGTGAATAGCCATCTGTGGTGGTCCAACCAGTCTAGCTGGCTGCTCAACCGCTGACACGTCGAAAAACGCGAGTGTTGAATTGTCTAAGAAGCACAATGAATTGCAGGTGTAATCGACATCGAGATTCACTTCCACGGCCAGGTCTTCATTGGTGTGTAGGCAATGGTAACTTGATCGCAGGGTTGTTTATAGAGTCAGACATAGTTCCGTCGACTTAGGTCTCGTGCTGCTTGGTTATTGTCTCCAGCAATTTGGCGTGCCTACATCATACCGCAGCAACTTGCCAGTGCCAGTCTACATTGAAAGCGATGTTCCTTCTCTGGGTCAGCTGATTGACGGCGGTGTTCCGCGACCCAAAGGTCGAGGTTCGGTCCCTGCTGTCTTGTGGGAGAGATGAAGAGAGAGAATGCTCTGGAGACGGCGGCATGACCCGCAATGGTCTCGAAGGGCCCGTTGCCGAATATGAGCGCCAATTCAGGAATTATTCAGGAATTGTTGATGCAGGTGCCGTCTTCAATCTAGGGTCAGCACTGGCTTTTCGATAGTGCTGTCCTGGCATCGCGTGTTCTGCAATTGGTGTGAGAGAGTGTGTGCAGGTACGGCTTTGGAATGCTGTCTGTAGGCGAGGCGTGCCACGATGCCGCTACCGCGCTCGCAGTCGAGTTAGGTACGGAGCAGATTCCGTTCATGAGAGAGTGGTGGGCTGGCGCATCAGACCCTAGCGTGTCTGCGGTGTCTGTGTTCGCGCAGGTACTCTGTAGTCGAGGGGAGTGACTTTGAGTGCGAGGAAGACGAGGAGGGTAAGATGGATGATGGATGAACACCCACCCCCCTCTCTGCCACTAGCAGCACCCTTTCCAAGTTCCGTAGGAAGTACCCATGTGCTGTTCTGGCCTGAGGCGTCACTGCCTTGGGTGCCTTGGGCTTACCGGGATAAGGAGAGAGTGCCCTCACAAAGACAGAATGAGGCAGAGAGGAAGGGAAAGAGGCATGGATCAGGTAAGGTACGAATCTCATGTACCGGTACAGGCACTGCATGTATCCCGAGGGCCCATCTCAAGCGGCCGTTTCCTGTTCCTGACTCGCTGAAAACCCATGTCTTTCCATCTCTTCCCAAAAGGCTCCATATTTGTCTGTCCTTGTGCTCGATCCCGCTTTTCTTTGCGATGGGCTTCCACTCAACATGCGCACTGTTGCTGGTTTCCTCCTTGCCGACTTTTGAGAAGTCGGTTTCTGCGATCAGACGCCAGAGAGCTTGTCCTGGGTACCTTGAGCTATCCATCAGTCTGCTGCTCTAGCTTCTCTGTTTGGGCTTGGGCCATTGGACATGCCACCCTGGATTACAAGTCTGCGGCGACGTCTGAGGCTACCAGTGCCATCAACACACACCCACCCTCGAGGTTTCCTATTGACACCTCTGACCTCACCTCTTAATCCGCGTCGATCACCGCGGGGCTAAGTCTGTTCAATCTTCGAACCGTTTACCTCGCCCTTCCTCCGTTCCATGCGCACCTTTGCTCACTGAAGGTCGCTTTCCTCTCCGTCTCGGTAGACGGCCATCCCCCCAGTTCTTCTTCACCGTTCCAATTCCCAACTCCAACCCGTGCAAAGGAAGACGAGGGGGGAAAAAGGAAGACTTTGCCGGCACTGTTCACTTTCTCCCAAACCTAACCCCCTTCTTCGACCAAACCATCTGGGTCCAGTCCTCATCGCTCCCACCATACCTAGACGCGCCGTGCTTTCATCCACCAAGCCATCTGCTCTTCCCCGTCGTTCATGTGGCTGTGAACCGCCGAGCCGGCTCAGAAAACGCATTCTCACAAAGTACGTATTCTTTCCTGAGCGCACATCCCATTCCATCAGAATCCCGACGCCCCTCTTTGCCTGGTCTGGTACTTGCCGTTGTCCCACACCCTAAAAGCTCGGTCTCGTTCAATGTCATCGAGATCCATCTTCCATATTGCAGCCACCAACTTGGTATATCCACGCCATGCTTGCCACACGCCTTCCTCTTCTGCAATTACTTATCATCGACGCCCCAAACAGACGTAAACCTCGCTCAGCACTCGAGGGAAAAAAAACTGATCTACTTCAACGTCGTCGCCTTTAGACTGTTTTGCGCACCATTGAAGCTCACGAGAGGACGTTACTTGCCGACCGAAACTTATTAGCCTCGAAACAGGCGTCGCCTGTCGCTGCCCAACTGCCGCGACTCGATTGAGCAGGAAGTTTTCGATGATTGTCGGTTGACCGTAACACAATAAAGAAGTGCTTCGACTTCGAGCGACGGAAACCGAGACGTAGCGAATCGAATCGACGACCGAACGAGAGGATTCGAACCTGAAAAGAAAATCGATCAAAAAATAGAAAGCTGTGCACGCCAATTTCTTGGTGGTCATTTTCGACGCGCCAAAGGTCTGCCAATCATCGCATTACCGCTCCGGAACAATAACACTTCTGAGTCGACGGTATCCGATATACGTCCCTCATTTCAACCATGGCGCAAGAACTCGACAGCATTTTTGCCGAGCTAGGCATCTCGCAGTACCTGAGCATATTTTTCGATCAAGGATTCGATACGTGGGAGACGATATTGGACATAACCGAGTCTGATTTGTGAGTGAACCGCTCTATTGCTACGACGTAGTCTCGAGACTGACGACAATACCTTTCCAGGGACACGCTTGGAGTCAAATTGGGACACCGACGTGTGAGTTCTGGTGCAATTTTGTGGCCGCCATCAAGTCCTAACACAAAGTAGAAACTGCAAAGACGTATTGCCAACTCTCGCGGGCTCGCTCCGGAGGCATCACTAGTATCGCCCTCTAGAGCAAGTGCAGAAGAGCCAAAACCAGAGACGCAACGTCCTGATCAACCCCGAAGCGAGGTTAAGGAGGGTCCGGTTACCACGAAGCGAAAGTATCGCCGTCATCCAAAGGTACGTATTGCGATCTTTTCCAGTCGTACACTTGTACCTGAACACAACTGACCAAGACAGCCCGATGAAAATGCACCTGAGCGGCCGCCTTCGGCTTACGTCCTCTTCTCAAACAGTACGACATAATATCAAAAGTGGCGAGAAACGAATAGAGCTGACTAGCCCCACAGAAATGCGCGATGACTTGAAAGGTCGAAATCTGACTTTTACCGAGATAGCTAAGCTTGTCGGAGAGCATTGGCAAAATCTGACTCCTGGTGAGAAGGAACCATACGAAACTTCAGCGTTGAAGGCGAAGGAGAAATACAACCACGACTTGGGGGAGTATAAGAAGACATCCGAGTATAGGAAATACAACCTGTACCTACAAGATTTCAAGGCACGGCAAGCCTCCGCTAATCAAGGTGCGTGGAGGTTTGTCGCTTCGAATGGCCGCCCAACTGACCAAGTTCCAGCCAAGGAGTCGTCGAAACGGCAGAAGCTCGATTCGAGTGTTCGTCTGCCTAATGGTGGGAGTGCTAGTGCAACACCAGGGAGCCTCAGTAGCACGGGTAGTGGAACTGAGAGCCACCAGGGAAGTGAGCCGCCTCCTAATCGCAAGCAGCGTGTGGGTTCTGTGGTGTCTCTGTCCGAGTCGCAGTATTCGACGGCCGTTCCAACTCCAATTTCCCATCATCATCCGGTCGATGATTCGGTACACTCTCCTGTCAGCTTGCAATTCGACCGGGAAAGCTTGCACTCTACAAGCCCTCGTACTTCGCAAACTCGGAGTCATCGCCCAACGTGGACGGAAGGCCAAGTAAAAGCAGAAGCAGTGGCACCTCCACACCTTCCATCACTGTCCGACGTGTTCAATAACGGGCGAGGATTAAATGGCGTCTCGAGATCACCGGAAGCAAACGGTTTTGGAAACTTCGCGCCCCCAACACACCCTGGTCCCTCCGTACCACCGTCGTTGAAGCACGAATATTCTTCCGCAGGAAGTTTATCCTCGTCCGCCTCTGGACTGTCGTTCCCTAGAACACCCAGCGAATCTTCGCTTCCGATTCACGCTTTATTGTCGAACAAGACGTTGCCAGGCCCTCCTTTCGAATTGCAGCCATCGCCGTTCTCGACTGCGCCGCCCACTGGACCGCCATTGCTCCAGGATCAAAAGCCGCCATTTGCCGGGCAGGCACAAGGTCCTGTTGGGGCAATAAATGGTACTCACGGTCAACCCAAGCAAGGCTTTCCGCAGAGGCTAATGAGGTTTCAAGGTTACCAGTCCCCACCTGCCTTATTGCGATTCCAGTCTACCTCCTCAACGGGGACTGAAGGATCGAACGTGTCGCACGCGTCGTCTGGCGCTTCCTCCCAAACCTCCCTCGGTGTGCAGGAGAGGAGCGACCCGAAGCTTGACGGAATGAGCGCTTTGGTGCGGGCGGGCGAGATTGTGAACCGTCGTGTTCAGTAAAAGATTGGGAGTTCGGTGAGCAATGGGCAGCGGCGGACTGCACTGTTTGACAAAAACATTGCGCAATCTATTGATATAAGCTCCCAGTCCGGATCGGGTATTTCGCAGGAGCTTCTTTTTTTTCGTTGATGGCATCAGCGTTTCGGTCACGTCCAGCCAGGTTGGCTGAGGTCGGTGTGTTTGTTTACTTGAATACCCTCGTGGATTGGCACCGTTTCGGAATCTTGTTTGAGGTGGCGCAACTGGAAAGCCCTGGCGTTTTTATCCGTTTGGACGTGGCACCTATTTTCAGTCCAAATGGCGTTGCAAGCTGTTTGGCATGGCCAGACGATGAACCAACTCTGGGATATAGGGTGCTAAATGGTATTGCATGATACAAAAGCTTTTCTGGTCGCTCGAGGACCGCCAAAAAAACCAAACGTACTGTATGAACAAAGCATGCAGTCTCAATTGACGAAGCTGTTCAAATGACAGAGAGTAGAACGAGAGGAATTCGGAATGCAGGTGTTCAAAAGGAAAACACAACGAGGCAGGAGGTTATGACGTCAATCACAATAGAAGGGGGACCCTTCCTCTGCCTCACATTGTGACGGACCATCACGGGCGTTACCTTTCAGGAGCAGCCAATCCTTTTGCCGACGCCCGCCACGCTAGTGTCCACGCCAGTGTCCACGCCCAAAAAAAATATTAAAAAAATAAAACAAAAAACCGAACGACAGGCAATAAAATGAAGGGTCTTGCCCAATCCGAGGCGCCTGCATGGCTGAAGTTTACCATTCATTGGACTAGTGACAAAGGTACCCTGAGGCACCTCCAACGTCATAATTTGGTCAGGATTTCAGGGTCCTGGCCTGATTTCCAACCCCCCAGTCTTGGCAGGGTCGGTTGGTTGGCTCTTGTTTTTATTTTTTTATTTTGCGCCTCACTTTTTGTTCGGCGGAACCCCCTGTCGCTTCAAACGAAACTAGTCTCCGATCGCCAGTCCCCAACAGTACTACCACCCCCTGCTTGTGAGCGCCCCCCCACCGGCGATGAGTAGGGTGAGGTGAATATTGAACCTAGAGGAAAGTTGTGTCTGTCTCGTGGGATGTTGCGAGTATGGTTCAGTTGCTTGATAGTTTTTCTTCGCTTTCCTAACAATCGTGGGGGTTTGATTGGACGAAGTGGGGGGGGGGGGGGGGGGGGGGGGTGGGGGGGGGGGGGTGGGGGGGGGGGGGGGGGGGGGGGCGTGGGGCTGGCTGCTTGGCGTGGGCAGACAGGGGGGGGGGTTGGGGGGGTGGAGGGGGGGGGGGGGGGGGGGGAGCAGTGACGAGGAGAAGGAATCTGTGCAGGAGGAGAGTTCGACAGTCTTATCACGGTTTGGTATCATTGGCAACTAGTCTACCCATGAACCAGCAACGCCCAAATGGGGCACAAACTGGGAGGCTTACGTTGCATCTCTCGCGTAAAAGGCCGGTGAAGGTATCTGTCTGCATGCTGCATGATTCTCAGATCCTCAAAGGGGATGTTCCTCCTCTCGTTGACGCCTCTGCATAAAGTAGTGCTGCACAAATAACGGGCTTCGCGACTTTTTGTGTGAATGTTATCCGATGGATTTTTCTCAGCGGCTCCAGGTCAAGAAAAGGTCCGTCCCCATTCCGGGTTCTGCCCGTTGCGCGACCAGCCATCCGACCATTCCTTTCGTCGTCCCTTCAGATTGCATTGGAAGAAGGAAAAGAAGAAAAGAAAAATCCTGATCGGCAAAAATGTTGTGTTTTTCATCTCTACTCAAGTGCGATCTGAAAAGCAAGGTTACGGGGACTACTGTACGCCAAAACGGGCACGAGCATTTTTATTTTTACTTGGGCATTTTAGCTCCCGGCCGTCTCATAACGGTCAAGCTAATTAAGACGACGGAAGCAATACTTATTTATGCATATCACGAACCGTGGCCTGGGCGCGCCGTCTGCAGACAGACAAGCAGAAAAAAGAAGGGGGAGGGAGGAAGAAGATGAAGCAACAAGCAAAATAGGAAAGAGACCTCCTCGGCCCCTCAGCGAGGTTGGTCTTGCTCTCTTGATCCATTACATACGACGCGTTCGCAATACATCGTTCAGACCCCTCCTTTTCCAGCTCAAGCCCGCCCTGTAGTACCCTGAGGTAGAAAACGGCAAGGCTATAAAAATGGAATGTTTCCGCCCAGGTCATTATGACACGTCAAGGTTACCCAACACACTTTGCTAGAAAAATCAAACATGCCGTCGTTGAGCAAAGACACACAAAACGCCGATTCTTCGGCGCGGGAGAGAAAAAATCACAATCATCCCGCCACAACTCTTCCCTCCGTTCTTTTCCCCTCTTTCGTTACGAATAATCCACCACCACTACAACTTACTCCCCTCCCACGATCTCGGCCGTCCAGTCCTTGCGGATGTTCAGCTCAGTGAGCTCGGGTGTCTTCTCGATGACGAGGCCCTTCTCGTTGGCGAGATGCAGCAGACTGATGAAGCAGAAACTGGTCGAGATGTCCTCCATCATGGCCTTGGGGTACACCGAACCTAGGCTGTTCATGACCTCGGTGAACTTGAGTTCGGTATCCTTGGTGGGTGGCGCGGGCGGTGCAGCTGCGTCATCAGCAGGCGGTGCCGCTGAGAGATGTGTGGAATCCTAGTGAGAGGTTAGCAACAATTCGTTCCTTGAAGTGAAGGGCGACTGGGGGGGGGGGGTCGACTTACGCTGTCCAGGCCCTCGAGGCCCATGCCCTTCCAAATCTCCTCCTTTAGGCGCCTCACATCCACCTTCTTGGCAACACGCGCGAACTGCACGTAGTCTGGCCGCATGCGACGGGTTTGCGTGACAAGAGTCGTGCCAAAAGCGCCGGTCAGAGCATTAGTAGTAGCGTCGCCGCCGAGCAAAGCCGTCATGCCGAGGGCTTCCGTCGCGCCCACGTCCCCTTCGGCCCCGGGCGACAAGTGCTCACGGGCATCCGCAAACTCATCGTCGTCATCGTCCAAGCCTCCGGCAAACGGAAGAGCGTCGTCCTGGAAGAAGTTTGCATCGTAGTCTCCCTCCGGCAGCGGCTCGTCTTCGCTCTTCACCGGGGCCTTCTGCTGTGCCCAGAACGCCTCGTCCATCTCCCCTTCTGGGACGTCTCTGTCTTGTCCAGCATTGCCAAACATGCCGCCTCTGTTTCCGAGAATTCGCCTCCTGCCGAGACGTGCCTTGGGCTTGAGGAAGAGGTTGAGAAGTGATTTTGAGTTGAAATGTTTGTCATCAGGCAGCAGGTTGCGAGACTTTGACTTCCAGTCCTTCTTGGGCATGGAAACGGCGGAGTTGCTTGAAGCCTGAGTGTACAAGATGTCGGCCAAGGCTTGATCGAGGGGTGCTGAGAAGTCGATCTCAAAAGGCTCCTTCTCCTTGCGCACCCTGGCAGGACCGGCTGGCTTGTTGACGTCCTTGATCTTTCTGATTCGCCAGTGCTCGGCACTGGACCAGTTCTTCTGCAATGCTTGGTCGAAATACCCGAGAATGTCCTCATGCATCTTGTCGGCACTCTTAGCGTGAGACATGGATACGACGAAGTCTCCATTGTCTTGGTCGAGCATCTCGACTCCGTCACCGTCGGCAGCATCTTCTCCGAGGCCAGCATCGTAGACCCGCATTTGAGGCTCAAGAGCGGCTTCCCTGGCCCAAGCCTCACCGCCCTCACCAAAGGCCACGTCGGCGCCGAGCTCGAAGCCGCCTAGACCAAGATCGTCGTCATCAAAGCCGGCAGCATTGTCACCGTCAATAAACATGCCAGAATTGTCGCCCAACAAGTCGGGGTTCTTGTCCTTGTCTTGGTCACCTCTCCAATCGTCCGGTGCTCTGAGGAAGGGAATGTCCATGGAACCAGAGGGGTCGCCAAGGTCGAAGTTCTTCAATGATGGACAGACGTCAAGCTCATCGAGACGACCAAGGTCGGAGAAGAATTTGGCGCCGAGAGCTCCGAGGTCGATCTCAACATCTTCAGTGTTTTCCTCCTGCTCGGGCTCGTCTTGTATTGCCGAAACATCCTGCATTTCTGTGTTCTCGTCATCCTCATCCTCGGCGTCGTCGTTCTTCTTTCGGGTCTTTGAGGTATGTGCGTCACCAACTTCGTCACTGCTATCGAAGACGATGCGTCCTTGGGCATCAATCATGAGGTGGTTCAACAGTAAGCCCTTGGCGCCGCCTTCGTCGAAATCTGCGGAGGTTTTCTTGAAGAGAGGGTCCACGGCGAACTCCAGTTCAAACTTCTTGAGTTGAAGCGAGGAGAAGTTGGGCGCGAGGGTCGCCTCGGAGGATCGTTGTGTCTGTCCACAAGTCAGCTAATCATCACAGCCAATATGCCTTTCCGCACATACCTTTCGCTTCGGCTTCTTCCTGACGTTGCCATCTTCGTCGACTTCCTCCTCGCTCTCTTCTCCCTCGACTTCGTCGCCCTCCTTGCCCTTCTTCTTGTTGTTGCTGTCTGCGAGACCACTCAATAGCTTGCCGGTTTCAGTTGCGACACTGTCAACTCTGCTCGTGTAAATCTTGACACAACCATCCAACGTGCAACTAGCTTTCTGAAAGTTTACTCCATCGCCCTCCTTGAGAAGTGACATATCGTGAAAGTAGTCGATCAGGGCGAAGTTCCAGGAGTTATTTGCATTGATCTTGTTGTCTGTGGCCATCTTCATCCACTCCTCGAAATTGGCAAGAATCGGTACTCGTTTCATAGGCGTGACCGCGCTTCCGCTAACCACGAAGCCTTCATCGTCGTCGTCATCAACAATGACTTGTCTGCCTCGACTGCCGCGAGCGTGGGGTGTCTTGGGATTTGAGCCCGGTGTGTCATTTTCGATATCTTCTAAGCTGCCATTGTTTCTGCGCAGAGGAGTCGCGGCAGCGGCCTTTAATTCGTTGCGCTGGCGCTCGTGAAAAGCGTGGCGAGAGTGCGCTCGTCGCGCCTTTTCTTCCGCATCGTCGTTGAGGGGGATTCTGTGCATTGTTTAGTTTCGTTGCTATGCAAAATCGGAAAGCGGGCTGTTGTCGCAAACGTACTTGACGGGTGAGTTCTTGAAGGGCGACGTATTCATTGACCCGGAGGTCGCTCTGACGCTGCCTGCGCGCGGAACCTGAGCCACTCGAGGCATCTTCTGTGTGTTATTGGCGCTGAGGTTGTCGTCGAAATTGTTGACTGCTACTGCGAATGTGTTGCGCTGTGCTGTGCTGTGCTCAATGGGCGAGCCTTGTGTTTACTTTCCCCACCAAAACCACGTCCCGAGCGACGCGAAACAACAATACAGAGGTTTCGGCCTGGAATATTAGGTGTCTATTTTATCCTTCCGGGCCGTATGGGGCGGGGAAGCTGAAAAGCCGCTTCGTCCAAACATCACATTGGATCGGCCTCGTTATCTGCACGTGATGCAACGCCGCTACCTATCTGCCGAGGGCTATCTAAGGTATGGAATTCTTCTCTTGCAGTTGCCGTTGCAAGCAGCCCCACCACTCTTGGAGTTGCCGCTCCTTTGAAGCACAGCCACGTCGGAGGGGGATTTCCCACGCAAATACTTGGCGCAATCAGGGTATTGCCTGCCTGTGGTGGCCAAGAAGCTTGCGTCGCTCATAGTTCCTGAAGGAGGCTGGGCAGGTTTTCCCGGGCTGCCTCCCTCAGACCCCATGAGTCGTACATGAAGGTGAGAAGCGCTTGCATTTGCATTTCAGCTCAAACCCGCTACAGCCCTCTTTTTGCTGTATAGCAACTCCATTGAAAGACACCTGTTCCTCCTTATCCGGCGGAACGAGCGGCTTCACGGCCACGCCAACGCGACAGCGCGGTCTGCCATGGCTTCGGATGAGCCAATTACAATCAGCATTTGACGTCAGCATGCCAACGACCTCCAAGATCCGAGGGGGCGCCCTTCGCTTGCGGCCTTTCTACGCGACCGTCTTTTTAATATGCCTTTTGGCATCCTGGTCTCTCTTGACCAGGGCCACACAACGACAGCTCCAGCTGCAAGACGTCTCACAGTCACCCCTCGCCAAACGATCCGAGTTCACTGAGTGCCGAGATGTCCACAGCGCTGATGACCAGTGTGCCTTTGTCAAGGCTAACTGCGCCGACGACGAGGTTGGCCTCCTCTCTTACTTGACGCTGTATTACTGCGACCTGGGCAAGGCTCAGTGGCTGGCTTTTATCATCTTGGTCTGCTGGCTCGGCTTGCTCTTCACAACCATTGGCATCGCCGCAAGCGATTTCTTCAGCGTTAACCTAAGCACCATCTCTGCAATCCTGGGTCTCAGCGAGAGTTTGGCTGGCGTCACCTTCCTAGCCTTTGGCAATGGCTCGCCCGACGTCTTCAGTACTTTTGCAGCCATGGGCTCAAACAGCGCCAGCATGGCTGTTGGCGAATTGATCGGCGCAGCAAGCTTCATCACCGCGGTGGTGGCCGGCTCCATGGCTTTGGTTCGCGAATTTAAGGTGGGCAGAAAGACCTACGTCCGGGATCTTTCCTTCTTCATCGTGGCTGTCTGCTTCACCATGGTATTCCTAGCAGATGGCCATCTGCATTTGTGGGAGTGCATAACAATGGTCTGCTACTACATCTTCTACGTGGTTACCGTTGTCACCTGGCATTGGTACTCGACAAGGCGGAGCCAGCAGCGGGTCCGGGAAGCAGCCGCGCGAGGTTTTGTCTACGGGACTGTGGGGCATCTCAGCGACGACCTGGCCCCGGAACCATACCGCGATGATCCCGATGACGAAGACCGGCAAGTCACCTCTGCAGCCGCCTCCAGTGCAGGAGATATCAGTGCACTTGAAGCCGGACCTAGGATCGAGTTTGACGGTCAAGGAGGGAGTGATGATGAGGCTGAAGACAGTGATCATGGGCGACACGTCGTGGCGGAGATGGCCAGTAGTATGCGAGTGTTACGTTCTAGAGGCAGACGGCGCAACACACTCACGCCCATCCGTCCCAGTCTCGTCGGCGCTCTAGAGTTCCGGTCTGCTCTGGCTCAACTGCAAAAGGAAAGCAACCACAGGATGAGACCGATGCATGGACGAGCCTACTCGGTCAACCACCTTGGAGGACAGAGTGAAACGAATACAGTGAGAGGGCCGCCGTCCGACTCGGGGCGACACACGATAGGTGCCGTTGAAGAATTTGGCCAGAACAGGAATCGGGCCTTGTCATCCGGCGATATCCCCGGCTCCGTTAACGGTCGTGAACAATCGCCGTGGCGGTTCCCAGCGCCAGCGGACCCCATCCAACAGATAAAGGCTCAAGAGGGCAGAAACCGGAGTTTGTCGCCAGCTTACAAAATCGGTGGTAACTTGGCACCTCCTCCTGTCGACACAATACCTCAAAGACAGGATACCGGCGGGAGCGAACCTTTAGAGACCAGGCCCTTACCTGGTCAACTTTCCCTGCAAATACCCAGTCGGCGTGGCAGTTTCAGTGTCGGATCTTCGCCCGCATCGCCCTTCCCCGGATACACAGAGTCGCCCCTTGTTTTGACGCCAGCTGCTCAAAGCGAGCCGACCGAATTCTTTGCGCCGCCTGGTCCGGCTCGCCTGGAAGTGCCATTTGCGCCTTATGGGATGGCCAACCCCAAGCCCATTAGGTGGTGGCCATACGCCATCCTACCCCCTCCGCACATCTTCTGGGCAACCTTGTTCCCAACCTTGCTAGGTTGGAAGCAGAAAAGCCATTGGGACAGATTTGTCAGTGCGATATCAGTGCCAAGTATCCTGCTTCTGGTGTTGACACTCCCGGTGGTCGAAAACGAGAGCGCGGACGATTCATTCGACGAGACTGCCCTGGATCCCATGATGCGGGATCATGCTCACTGCGATGCTCCTGTTCCCGCCAATGCCTACGACGACAACGAGGGAGAGTCAGAATGGCAGCGCTTTAGACGGTCTACTTTGTCACACTCTCGCGGGCAGTCAATCGATCACTCACCGAAGGGCTCTCCAGCACTCATCGCAATCGACTCCCCGAGTGGTGCGCGGTTGGCAACCGAGATACCTACAAGTCACCCACAAGCTGTGAAACCTGCAGCGCCGTTGCCTTCGGAGAGCAGTCTTGCTCCCGTCGATGAGTCAGGTCAGTGGAACAGATGGCTCGTCGCGATCCAGCTCTTCACTGGGCCTTTGTTCGCCGTCATCATTGTCTGGGCAAACATGAAGGAAGACTTTCATCAGCCGTACAAGGTCCTCGCCAGACTCGTCCTGTACACACTCTTGGGATCTACGATTCTCCTCGGTTTCCTTCTCCTGGCAACTAGCCCCGACAAGAAGCCAAAGTACCACTTTCTGCTTTGCTTCATGGGTTTCATCATTGCAATCGCCTGGATTTCTACCATTGCCGGGGAAGTTGTTGGCGTCTTGAAGGCAGTGGGGGTCATTTTCGGCATCTCCGAGGCCCTCCTCGGACTGACCATCTTCGCAGCGGGCAATAGTGTGGGCGATCTGATTGCCGATATCACTGTTGCCCGGCTTGGATTCCCCGTTATGGCATTGTGAGTCTTTCTTCATACCTTCTTTTTCCCAATATCGGTGACAACCATGCTAATTTTCCGCTAGGTCTGCCTGCTTCGGTGGTCCCATGCTCAACATCCTTCTCGGTATCGGCATCGGCGGCGTCTACATGATGTACCAGGCTGCCAACCACCGACAGAAGAAGCATCCCGATAAGCCGTTCAAGTATCATTCGTACAAGATCCAGATCGGAGGTACCTTATTGATCTCGGCCATAACGCTTCTCATCACACTGCTAGGCCTCCTGATCATCGTTCCGATGAACAAGTGGGTAATGTCACGGAAGATAGGGTATGGTCTCATCGTGTTGTGGATGATCAGCACGGTCGTCAACGTCATTGTCGAGTTGACTGGAGTGTGGACTGACGTGTCATATTCCTTTACTTTCTAACGGTACATTTTTTCCTTTGCTGCTGGCACAGGTACCAGCTGCATCAATGTTGCGGTAGTGTATTACGCGTATGAGTATACCCAAGCATAGCGTGCGACGAGAAGCTGAAAGAAATCTGTGTCTTTTCACTTATAGACAGTCATTACCTCATACGTACAAAGAAGGGGAAACGAAGAATCTATATATACATCAGTTTATAAACATATATTACACATTACAAAACCCTTGTCTTTGAGAAGCACCTCGGCTGATTTGATCATTCGTTGGCCTTCAAACAACCACAAAAATGCTGTGTGTGTTGGTGACGGAGACCGTTTCATCTAGCGAACGCATTTTGTTGCTGAGAGTCGCAGGCACTCAGAAGTCCAGGCACGGTCCTACGTTGCAAGCGTCGATCACCATCTGATGTGTTTTTGTTCGTGCACCAACGAGGACCCTCTGCGATCAACAAGGCATCAGTAACCGAACCGACTTGTGACGTGCCCAATTGAGACGAACATTATGGAATGCCAAGTGCGCCATGTGCACCATTGTGATGCCAAGACAAAGCAAGGCTTCATTCATCTGGTGTTGATCTCTTCTAGATCTCAGCTTGGTACATATGTGTGTGTGGGTGTGCCAAGCCATGTCATTGTGTAAATGTCTGTGTTTTGGCCAGCTAATGCCCTTCCAGAGGGACCTTCGTGGGAGTTGTGGTAGCTACGATAACTACCAAAATTGATTCATTGGCATGATGTGTGAAGCTATAAAGAGTCGTGACTGGTGCAAATAGCATGAGCATTTTGAATTGGGTAGCTCATGGCATCAACGGGTATCAGACCAAAAGCGCTCAAGATCACATTACACGCACAGCAGATTTACCCGCTCAACAATTTGTAATTTCACTGAGAAAAACAAGAGGACTCAGCAATCAACATGGGAGGCTTCAGCAAATTCACAGACTTGGCTCAACAAGTCGCAGGCAAGGACCAAGCCAAGACAGATCAGCAGCAGCCGCAGCAGGGCTCATCCTCCCAGACGACCGCAACTAATGACCAAAAGTGGGTCGAGGTCGGCTCAGCGGCTAAGAAGGCCTTTGCTGGCTTCCAGACGGACCAGGCCGGTGGCAAGGGGCCTGATTACACAGAGATTGGAGTTGTTGCGCAGAGAGCGTTTACGGCTTACAACGATGGCAGCGGCGGTGAGGAGGGTGGGAAGAGAGATCTGACTGAGATTGGGAAGGGGATCGCTGCTGGGTTTGGTGGTGATGGTGCAAAGGATGGGAGTATGAAGGGAATTGGTGGAGGTGGGGAAATGGAGGAGGGGAAGGTTGAAGGGACTGACAATTTGATGGCTGCTAAGGGGATCGGCGAAGCTGAAGATGACGCCTTTGGTGGAGGGCAACGTACCAAGATCCAGGATGGTGATGATGGTGATCTGGCCGTCTCGGTTTCGAAAGCGGAAGATACCACCACCGGCCTGGCGAGTAAGAAGCTCTCAGGAGGGGAACTGGACTCCTCTAATGAGAAGCCGGGGTTGGATCCGCACACCGGGCAAGACGTACGCGGGGACGGCTCTGGTTGTGAGAAGGGCGGTTTGGGTGAAGATGAGGGCGTCTTTGCTGGCGAGGAGGGGAAGAGCAGTAATGACAACAGGAGTGGCGAGACGACAACTGGGCAAGGTAAACTTTTCTTTTAAAAGATTTCTTCTTCTGATGTTTGGACTGACGTCGGCCTCGAACAGGACTCGGTGGCTCGGGACAGCAGTCTGTGGGCATTGCCGGCGACGAAGAAGAGACTGTTGGGTATCAGTCGGTGAAGAGACGGAGCGAGTGAGCTCTCACGGCACTGTAAGATGATCTGTACTTTCTCCCAATGGGGATGGTGGTTGATTGAGAGGATGTTCGCGGGCTCTTTGTCTCGAATGCGTGACTCATCCGTCGGCCGCACGTTTCGAAACAGAGGCGCAGCATGATCGTCACCAGGAAGGTGGTGGATTATTTCGCGTAGTAATTGGATTGCGTTGCTAGAAGATTGAAAAGAGATATCTGTCCTTTGGCGCCCTGTTACCCGTTGGCAGTGTAAGGTTGGTCGTGTAAGTGGTGGTTACGAGAGATTGAGACTTTGCGCAGTCACCGGATCGGAGCCGCGCTTGACCTACCATGTACCGCCGGCCCCCGACTCCACCGTCGAGCCCCGGAGCACGCATCCCTGCCAGAGCGCCGCAAGGGGCACCTTTTCCAGGCCGTCCCCATCACAAGCCCGCGATCCTCTGTGGTCTAGCGTGGTATTAGCGCCCTCCTAGTCCACTGTAAATTGTAATCTATCGTTCCTTGCGCCTCTTGGTGATCTCCTCAGGGATTTTCACAGAGGCCACGATGTCTACATTGTACATGTCCCCAGTATTGACCACGTTCCCGGGACAAGCAAAACAACTCGTCATTTCAGCACTGCCTCAGACATGGCGTGGACGATCCAGCCGGCAAGTTTCAAAAGTGATCACTTGGGGATGGCGTAGCTATCTCATTTCGTTTCAATGCCAATGCCTCCTATCGATGCCAGTTCCTACATGGGGGAAGAGCAAGCTGTCCATAACTCTCTGTGATGTCGACATTTGTAGACAAGGACAGATCATAGGCACATGGACAATCGAGAGATCTGTCAAGTTGAGAGCTACTATGGCTCGTTCAGTAGATGGATGGTTGAGCATCCATTGTCGAATCACATCTGGCAATGCTCGTGGTAAACATTGAACATGGCTATAATGCTCAAAATTTATAAAGGAAGTACGGTATCACGCTGGCTCAACATCCGGGTTCTTCGTTCTCTGCACCACCACCAGCTCCAAATCCACTCTAGGCCTAGACCCAGCCCAGCCAAATTCAGACCCAGTTGGGGGACCCTTGAACAGCAGCACACCTGCCCCGCCATCCAAAAAGCAACCCCGCGCCGCGCCTACCACATCCCGAAAAGGAGAGCTTCCTTTCCTGAAAGATTGGCCGCCCTCCCTTTGCTCGGCTTTTCCCAACAACCCTTTCTTTAGCTTCTTCCCCCCCTTGCCAAGTGCGCAATTCTCACGACAAGAGCTTTCATAAGCTTCATCAAACTCAATACCGGAATCGCATCCATTGTGCGCGCAACCGCAAGAACAACACCATCACGATGGCTACCTCTCTCCCCAGCTACCCTCCCCTTACGGAGCGCCCTCTGAAGAACACCATCTGCCTCTTCGACGTTGACGGCACCCTCACTCCTGCGCGTCTCGTAAGCTCTCTTACAAATTCAAAATTCTTTCCGATACTTTCCAGCTTTACCCGTTCCAAAGCAATTCCCTGTCGCAAACATCAGGAACAGACCCAGCTAACACAAACACCTCTCCTCCTTCCAGGCCGCCTCCCCCGAGATCCTCGACCTCCTCGCCCGCCTCCGCCAAAAGTGCGCCATCGGCTTCGTCGGCGGCTCCGACTACTCCAAGCAGCAAGAGCAGCTCGGAAACGCCACCACCCCGGTCACCACCCTCTTCGACTTCTGCTTCTCCGAGAACGGCCTGACGGCCTACAAGCTCGGCCAACCCCTCGCCTCCAACAGCTTCATCAAGTTCATTGGTGAGGACCAGTACAAGGAGCTCGTCCGCTTCGCCCTCCACCACATTGCCGACCTCGACATCCCCGTCAAGCGCGGCACCTTTATCGAGTTCCGCAACGGCATGGTCAACATCTCCCCCATTGGCCGCAACGCCTCCAACGAGGAGCGTATCGCGTTCGAGGCCTATGACAAGGTTCACAACGTTCGTCGCGACTTTGTCGCGAAGCTGCGCGAGAAGTTTGGGCACTTGGGTTTGACGTTCAGCATTGGTGGTCAGATCTCGTTTGACGTCTTTCCTACCGGCTGGGACAAGACGTACTGCCTCCAGCACCTCGAGAACGAGGCGAAGAAGGAGGGCGGCGTCAAGTACGACCAGATTCACTTCTTTGGCGACAAGACGTTCGAGGGCGGCAACGATTACGAAATCTTTGTCGACGAGCGTACCATTGGTCACTCCGTCACCGGTCCCGAGGATACCATTCGCATCCTCAAGGAGACTTTTGACTTGTGAACCGCGGCGGAGAGCAGTAGGCTCTGAGAGATGGATCTGGACAAAGGATTGGAGGCACTAAAGATGATTTGGTCGAGAGAGAGAGAGAAAGGCTGGAAGACTAGGCCAACAAAATTGGGGTTGGAGAGGTTTATGGGGCTCTCTAGACTTTGTGGTATGTGGCCTTGGGGAACAACAGACCTGTGCATGTCGAGGGCGGCAAAGTTCCCTCTCTAGACTTGAATTTCGGTAGAGCAGCAAATGGAATGAATTACAATGATCACTCATCCAGCGTACCATCAATGATGAGAAGTCACATGTCAGAAAACTACAAACGATTTCAAATTGTGAAGTAAATTTGAAGTGTATCATCAGGTCGTCAAGCTATCGCTGTATACCTTGTCCATCATCCTCCAAGTGTGCCTAGAATGGTGGTGAGGGAGGATAGAGAGAGAGATATTAAGATAAATGCATGAAAAAAAGATAGACCGCGAAACAGCCCGCCCGCCCACCCACTTCTTGAAAATCACACACCCAACAGCCCCTTTCTTACCTCCCAAACTCCAAATGGGGCACAATCACCGGGCCATACTTGGTCGGCGCCGTAAACGCCCCGTCGCCCTGCACAACAAAGTCGACTGCCAAGCTCAACTTCTGCAGTCCCTGCTGCTGCTGCTGCTGCCCACCTCCGTTGGCAATACTGCCCGCGTACTGCGAGCCGCCGGCGCCGGGCCCGGCAACGGCCTCTGGGTCGTACGCGACCACGGCAACATAGTTCCTGCGCCCCATGAGCTTCTTGAGCTCACGCGCGGAGCCGCTGGCGTCGGTGTGGAAAATCTCCATCATGTCCTCCTTGGAGTCCGAGACCTCGTGGTTCGACTTGTGCCCGTTCTGCGGCACGTAGAGGCTTTTGTTGTTGTGGAGGAGCTTGAGGATGTAGTTGCTGGCGGGCTGGGCTACAATGGGGGAGGTGATGACCTGGTACATTGTCTTGTGGTCGCTCGGGTGCGTCGGGTCGTGGACCAGGCCTGCTCCGGCGCAGTTGACGTCTGTACGCGAGACATGTTAGAGGTTGGGGGGGGAAGGCAGAGACGGCGCGTGGAGCGGCGGGTTCAAAACTTACCTCCTGACAAGAACGTCATGCGAATACCCTTCTGCTGGGAGATGCCCTGGAGGGTCCGGATGAAGTACGTCCTCTCCAGGTCCTTGGAGTCGTGGGTCCACATGTCCTTGAGGATCTCGGCAATGTCAATCTCGCCAAACTGGTTCAGGACATTGCCCATGAGACCGGATTTTCCGACCGCCTTCTTCACTTGCGTGAAGCCCTGCGCCACGACATCCTTGCCGCCGACAACGCCGGCCACCGAGCTCGTGACCTTGCCGAGCAGGTTGTACGACGTGTTGACAACCTTCTTGCCGGTCGCGACGGCGCCGGCCAAGCTCTCGACCGCCTCCAGGCGGGGGTACAGCAGCGGCACGGATACCATCCAGATGCAGTGCTGCACGCTGGGGGGGAGCGTCGCGACCTTGGGGAATATCCCTTGATAGGTCGGGCCGGCCATGACGCGGGCCTGGTTTCTCTCGGATCTGCAGTCGGGTCCGACGACGACGACGGCGGGGCCGAGGTATTTGACATAATGCCAGCCCTGGCTGGTGACTGTGAAGAGGTCCATGTCGTTGCTCACGTTGCGGAGAATCTCTACGGTGGTGTGGTGCTGGAAGAGCAGGTACATTTCGACGGCGATCCGACCGACGTTCTTGAACATCTGGGACCCTTGCATGTACTCGGGATACGAGCCGTAGCCATCGAAACTGGCCGAGGTCAGTACAATATGTAGGAAAATGGAGGATTTAAGAAAAAAACACTTACATGTCGTGGTCGTCGATTTGCAAAATATGCGGGATCTGAGCAAAAGCCTCTCTGAGGTAAGGTTGGTCAAAATGGCTGGTATAATAATGGAAGTAGGCGTGCGAGACGTCTTCCTCGTGGCGCGCGGTCCACTGTGCGTTCTTCCTGTTGTCTCTGCCGCTCATCGCCAACCACTGCTTCAGCAGGGGGACTTCCTTCCACAGCCTGTCACCGTAGATCTGGTTACCCAAACCAAGCTGAACGTGGAAGCCGCCACAGTCGACGTTCTTTTGAAGCACATCCTTCCACATGAAGCCCACGCCGCCAAGCTTGGAGCGCTCGGCTTGAGAGGTGGATGCGGCGAAATCGTTGTTCGAGTGAGCGAGGAATCTCCAACCGACTTCATGTCGACCGGCAATGACAAACTCGTATCTCGTGCATCCCAGGTGAGAAGTCACGGCATACGTCCATCGCTCAGTTCCGCTCTCACTCATAGGCAGCTCGATATCGTACTTGTAAAACGTCCAGCGCTGATGGGTGAAGATATTGTGCGGCACCAACTGTCGTGGATTAGGCGAAAGGTCGTTACTCGGGTGGATGTGAATCGTCGGGGGCTGCGGCGCGTCTGTCACAATCATGATACTACCCAACCATGTCCCCTTTTCAAAGTCCATGTTGCAGTAACGGAGGTACGGCCCAAAATACACGCCGTTTGTAGGCTGAATTCTGTACATGTCAACACCAGCACTTGGAGGCGGCCCAGAGAACCCAGCTGTCGTGGGCGTCTGCGACGCCGCGACGCTCATGATGCTCTCAGCGTAGCCCGGCGTCTGAGGCGGAAACATTGGAGAGCCCATAGCTTGTTTGCCAAACATGGGCGATGCGAGAGGATTACCGTACGTCGACGCAGTGGGCGACAAAGGCGCTGTCTCGTGTGTCATGGGATTAGGGCCCTTGGGAAACTCCCATTGCGTGGCCTGAGATGCCAGATGAATGTAATAGTACTGTCCCGAGTTCTGGTCGAGGTGGGCGATCCAGCCCTCGGGTAGCGGTGGCGGTGAAGAAGGGCCAGCGCCTTGGAAGGAAGGAGGTGCCTGTACTGTCTGTGTGACAGGGGGATTCTGTGCTTGAGATGACGAGGGCTGTCCGTTCTGTTCTGGTCTCGGGTCGTTGGCGAAGGCCGGATGGCCTTGTAACGAAGGTGATGCCAGCCCTGCCGCTGCAAGACCGACAGTTGCGGGCTTCTTCGGGGGCAACTGAGCAGCAGAGGTCGTGCACACGGACGGCGTTGAGTCTGCCCTCTGCTGAGCGGGCCGTTGCTTTTCGGCTGGATAAGACGGGTTGCCCGAGGGTGTGACACTAGAGTAAGCCGGTGGAGGGTCGTTCAGGCCCAGTCGCTGATAATCCTGCTCCAGAACGCTGACTTGAAGGTTCGGCTGGTCGCCTTGGTTCTCCGCCTGCTGAGGAGGAGGACTGAATGTAGGTTGCGTAGGACTCGTAACCGGGTTCATACCCTGGTATACTGTAGGCGGCCCATGAGGTTGGTTCTCTGGGTTCTCTGTGGGAGTCCACGGTCGCGCGGGCGGCGGTGCCCCGCCATACTGGGCCAGTCTCTGCGAGGCCGCGGCGCTCTGAGCCTGTTGCGCCTGGAGGCTGGTCAGGGTCGCCGTGCCTGAGATGCCAGAGGCCGCATATCGCGCCTCAATACCACCGCCGGGGATGACCCCTGGTTCCACAATCGGGGTCTCTGGCGGGGGCGGAGATCCTCGGCTGGCGCGGGTCGTGGAGGTCGAAGCTGTCGAGGCGAACCTGTTCACGCTGTTCTGGCCGGGCATCTCGAGATGATCAGCACTCTGGAGTGGTCGGGACTGGTGCTGGCTCTGGCTTTGGGCGGGGGGCATAGAACTGGATGCGCCGCCCGGTGGGGGGTAGTAGGGCTTCTTGGTGTAAGACGGGTAGTTTGTGGTCGAAGCAGCCGGACGCTGAGGCTGTGGCGCCGTCAACGGCTTCGCGAAGAGGCCCCCGTCGTCACCAGCCGGGCTCTGCGGAGACGTAGCGCCCAAGGGCCTCGGACCGGTGCCGCGTCGCTCGGCGAGGGTAGGACTCTTCGTCTCTACGGGACTGGTGGCGTTGAAGCGCGGGGTAGTATCATTGTAGTCAGAGCCAAATCGCTTCGGGGCGGTGATGGTAGGTTTAGTTGGTCTGCCGGGCCGAAGATCCTCCTCGTCGGGATACGGTAGAGGAGCAGCTGAGCTCGAGGCGCCTGGTGGTAGAGGGAAGGTCGGCTTCGATATGAAGGAGGACGAGCCCGACGCGGACGAAGCCGCGGGGTACTTGAAGCGGTCGTTGGCGGGATTAGGACTCTGCGGTTTGAATATCCTCAGGGGCTCAACCGTCGGGCTATCGCAGTCTTCCTCGGCGGGTTTGTGAAGGAACAGCTCGGCGTCGGGAACGCCGCGACTGCGCTCCATGATGGGTGGTTTCGTCGAATCTAGATGGATATGTATCTGGGGCCGACTTGCGCAGGTACGCGCAGGCTTGATGCGGGATGCGAATGACGCACTGCGAAAGCTCAAGTCTGCAGGCCAGGGGGAAAAAAAAGTTATTTATAGGAGCTGTCGAAGGTCGCCGTTTCGTGCCTATCGTTGGATGCTTGGGAGGATCGCAGCTGCTGAGGAGGGGTGGGTGGTGGGGTTCGAGTCTCACGGGAGAGGTCGCAGATATGGCCGGCCGCTTGTTAGGCCTGTTAGATGGATGAAACGGTCGCGGCACAGAAACAAAACCAGTGTATTTCAAAAACTTGTGTGTATATCAAGAAAGAAGTCAGAAGTCGAGGACTGTCAACCAGAGGGGAGCGCGTCCAGGACACAGAATAAGAACGTGCCAGACAGGACAAGGGAAGCAAGCAAGCAAGCGCCAGGTAGGGTTTGGGTCTGGCAGCGGGAAGCATTGGGCAAAGTGCAAGGCGGCATGGAGACATGGGGACATGGGGACAGGATAAGATGGGACTGAGAACCGGGGGGGAGGGCTCGTCAGCGGCAGAGAAGAGAGGGGGAAACTTGAATGTTCCTCATGGCACAGGTACAGACGCCACCACCTCACACGGGAGGGCGTGGCCGGGCTGGCATGGCATTGCAGGGGATGGGCGAGATGGGCCTCCTCAGTCCTGGATGATGAGAGCCAGCTGCCCAGGACCGTCGAAGAGGAAAGCACAAGTGGTTGAGTGTGCACTCATCAGTGACCAGTGACCGGGGCGGGAGGCATCAGGAACCAAAGAGCCTGAACAACGACGAGCTATGGAGCCCTGCATGGTGGCATCTTGCCTAGCGAAGCTCCATGATTGGCTGCATATCGTGGGCGCTTAGAGAATGTGCAGCAGCAAATGGGCATCTTCACTTTGAAGTTGCAAGCGCCTGCCCTTGAATGCGAACTGCTTGGCTCGAAAAGTTCCAGTCTTCCAGAGAGCCTAGGGCATAGTAGCGGGGCCACTCAAGCTTGTAATGCGCATAGAATGAGATGAGAGTGATTTGTCGAGGTGGAAAACGTGCGGCATCTGGTATCCGGTGAATCGAAATGCGCCGAGACAAGCAGTGGCAAGATAGGGGGAAGTGCCCGCTCATCTGCAGCTCTCGTGAGCCATCACTTGATGGAAGCGCCAACGAGATGCCTGGTCGGCTTCTCTAAGTGGGAGGATGTAGGTAAAAGGAAGGAAACAGAAAGAAGGTTGAGCAAGCAAACAACCGGAGCAACGAAGTGACAGACAGACGGGACTCGGATCGACGCGGAGGGAACCGAAGCAGACCACCTCGAGAACATGACCGGATGCACGGGCCATTTTAGAGGTAGTAGCTGGCTCGAGCTTCGACGGCTAATTACATAAGCCCGGGTTTCCACTTTTCAGGCACAAACTGCACCGCGGCGTCGTTCGTTTGCCTCCGAACACGTCCCCGGGGTTGTCGTCGTCTCCCTCTTGTATCCGCACTCATATGATTTTCATTATCGAAACTCCTGGCTTCAATGGGGGACTCGGACATAGTCAACTTGTCAACGATATCCCGGCAAATTATCCCGAATGCGAGTCACATTCAGGGGAATGTTGACTCACACGAACCAGCCTTACGACAACTACACGCATCGCCAAGACCAGCCGCAGGTTGAGGCCTCGGTTTGGCGTGCGCGTCCTCCTCGCTGTCAGTGGCGAGAGGCACCACCACGGTCACCACTAACCATCGCACTAATTTCCATGTGCCAAAGTGTGGCACATTCACGCAACTTCCAACTCCCGAGCCCATCGCACAGCGGGACCGAGTTGCGCCACACTTTTTCCCACCATACCCTTTCCCCCCGCCAGCGTCGGGCCCGAGCTCTAGCTGCCCGCTCAACGCTACCGCACTTCAGTCTTCAGCTGAAGCTTTGCTCGGCCCCGCGCAGGCTGCGTAACACAACTGACATGGGACATCAAAGAAATGCGCTCCTCAAGGCAATCAACAGTACGTGGCTCAAGACGTTTTGCATGACTCTAGAGCCATGAAGGCGTACTGCTGGATCCTCGGTCTCCGATACCTCTGTGCCTGCTGCGAACATTTGCCCTAAGGTACGCCATCAACTGTCGGAGCTCGGTGTACAAGTCTACCGCCCACCGACTTCATCCAATGAGCTGTTGGCCGATCCCCTAACTAAGGGGACGCGTGGCGATGTTGTACCTCCCATGTCCCTTCATTCGAAACCATTCTGGCCTGTTCGACGTGGGAAACTAGAGGTGTATTGTGTGCGGCTCTGACTGGTTCCCCCTGGCTTCGCAAGTGCTTTTGCCTTCCATATTGCTACTATCAGACGGAGGCGTACGCATGCTCCTGCCTTGCAATGATATGACCATTGTCGTCGTCTCATGATGTATAAATGAAGTCTCTCATCAACATCGAGTTACTTCTTGTCTTCCCCTCCTCAGCTTCATTGCTTTCCGACAATCACTACAATTCTATCACACATTCTCTCTAACTCATATCTCATCAACTCATCCCACCAACAATACCACACAAAACAAGCAATTATGTCTTGGGCAGGTCCAAACGGTAATAACAATCCTTGGGGTCGCCCAGGTGGTCCTCAAGGCTTCTGGAACTTCATCCACTCTCTCGATCCCAACATGCGCGCCGGGGTTGGCGTCGACCACTCCGCCGGCCCCTGGGCCAACTTGCCTCCGGGCTTCGCCTTCCACGGCGCCGAACACGGCTTCGGCGGCGGCGGTGGCGGATGGGGTCCCTACGGCGGCTGGGGCGAATTCCGCGGAGGATTTGGTGGCCGCCGCCGCGGCGGTGGTCGATTCGGTAGCCGAGGTCATCACGGACGACGCGGCGACATGAATGAGCGCGAGGGCGAAGACGAGACCACGCGCAATGCCGACGAGACCGCCGAAGAGGCCGAGTTCTCCGACAAAGAAAAGGACGACTCTCCCGACACCATGCGCGACGTCGGCCCCAACGAAGACGGCCCCGATGAGCAGGCAGGACACACGCACCATCACGGCCCTGGCCGCCGTGGTGGTCGCGGGGGTCGCGCCGCTCGCTTCGGCGGTGGATCTCCCGGCGATGACCCCTGGCGCCACAGCAGACACGGCCACCGGGGTCATCGGGGCCCACCGCCTCCCCCACCATTCGGCGGCCCTCACCCCCCTCCACCCCCGCCCCCGCCCTACCACAACCAGCCCGGCAACTTTGACATTGCAAATTGGCAAGAGTGGCTGAACCAGTTCGCCGACCACCCCTTTGCCCAACAAGTCCGCGACTGGGCCACTCGCTTCGGCGGTCTCAACACCGGTGCCACAGCCGGCACCCGCGACGGAGTCGACCTCAACAACAATGACAACAACGATGTCGACTCGGCATTCACACCTCCCGTAGACATCTTTTCCACGGAAAGGTCCTACGTCCTGCACTTCGCCCTCCCCGGCGCCAAGAAGGAGGACATCGGCGTCAACTGGGACGCCGACAAGGGCGAGCTCCGCGTCGCGGGCGTCGTCTACCGCCCCGGCGACGAGGAGTTTCTGGCCACCATGGCGTCGGGCGAGCGCCGGATCGGCATGTTTAGTCGCTCTGTTCCCCTGCCGCCTCGCACTCGCTCCTCGGAAAGGGAGAGGGAGAGGGAGGAGATTGACGCGCTCGCCATCACGGCCAAGATGGAGGATGGTATTCTCGTCGTCACTGTGCCCAAGGTGGAGAAGGAGTGGACTGAGATCCACAAGGTCGATATTGAGTAAATGAGCTAAATGTCAGCTGTTTTTGCTTGGGAAATAATTATTTTGGTGGAAATTGGTTTGGTTTTAATGGAAGCTGGAAGCTTGGATTTGTTTCGCTAGGATAGTATGGATTCTCGGGTTTTGCTTGTATAAGTAGCTTTGTATTAGGTAGCTTCAAGAACCGTTTACACCACTGTTTCTATTAGTGCCTTTTTGCAAGTGAATATTTGCGGTTGACATGTTCTCGACGTGAGCCACGACCAGAGTGAAATAACCATGAATTTTGTCTCTATGGGCAACTAGTCCAGAGCTTCATGACTCAAAATCCTTCTCGGGTGAGTGTTCAGAAACGCGGCGTCCTTTTGCTCACTGGTATCAACTGAACGTATAACAGATGCCGCTACTACTCACCAGTTCTCGGACCATACCTTGTGTGATACGTAAAAAGGGAAAAAGAAAAAGCCCTCGTCAAAAAATAAGAAATTGCAATTTCATTGTAAATTTGAATTTGATCAATATATGACTTAACACCCCAAAAGAAAGGCATAGCTGTAAAATCTTGATCTTCTCTTTCTCTTCTTTAAAGTCCAAAGACGTGCTGACCATGACCTCCTCTGAGTGCACCAAAATTGCAGTGAAGAAGATGTCGGAGGCCATTGAACACTAGGCAAGGTACCTAAATGGAACAGTTGGGACAAGGCCACTGATTTCCAGACTCGGTGCGGATTCGAGGTACGACATGTTGCCGTGGCATCAGAGCGCCAACTTGATGATTCGTCAAAGTCGACAACCCCGGGTTTCCGCAGAATGACCCTCTCGATGGCCTACTATTGATTTTTAAAGCTAAGCATGTGAATGCCAGAATTTCCTCACAGCATCAGTGTCTACTGGATCCACTTAGCCTCCAGGAAATACCAAGAAAACACGAATATCAAATGGCAAAACGATGTCTCTCGCCATTATATCAGCTAAAAAGTTGACCAAACCCTCGTCGAGTTTAAACAGTACCTTTGGATATCATAAAAATGTGTCTGATTGTTCCAAAAAGCCGTTGTGGAAAGAAGGCATCGTGTTACTGAGCGGAAACGAAAGTTCCTCGTTACTTCAAAGGACGGAGAGTGACACCATCGCCAACACCAAAAAAGAGAAGAGTTCCAACTGGTGCTGGTGCGTATGCTCTAAACTTTTGAAACCCGCTCCGGTGCTACAGGAGACTGCAGAAATGGTACCTCTTCAGCATTGCTCGACAATGGTTGACGGTTGGTTGCGGCACCGCCTGGCTTGGCACATGAAGTCGTCTTCTTCAGCATGCCGTCGAGACATAACAGTGGATTTACATCGGCAAGAATAGAACAGTCCCGCCAGCGAAGTCTACCAAATCATGTGCAAAGAGGTAACCGTGTTCGCCATATCGTCACCCCCAAGTCTTCAACTGCCCATCTTACGACTAATTATCAGATCGTTTGCCCTAGAAGACCGCCGCCTCTCCCAGGCTCTGACTCTGAGCCCCCAACGAGGCTAGAAGCCTCTCCATAGCCTCCATATTATCTTCTTCCTCCTCATAATATTCCACTTCCTCTTCCTCTTCCTCCTCCTCGTCGTATTCCTCCTCCTCTTCCTCTGCCTCCTCCTGCTCCTCTTCATCCTCCTCTTCGTCCTCTTCCTCTTCATCATCCTCCTCCTCCTCTTCAAACTCCTCTTCCGAATCGAATTCAGGCCACTCACCCGCCTCCGAATCAAACACCTCGTCGTCATCACCAGGCCCTCCCAAATGTCCGTCACCGCCATCAGCCCGTCGCATCCTATCCTCCTCACTCATAGGCCCCTCGACAAACCTCCACGTATCCATCACGACAACATACTCAACCGTTTCCCCCTCCCCATGATGAGCCCACGCCTTCCCACCAAGCTTACTCGGCCCCTTCCACCGCCACTCCACCAACGCCGTCCCCTCGGCACTCAAATACCCCTCCTCCTCCTCTCCCTCTTCCCCTTGTCCCACCCCATCCTCCCCTACCACCCTCTCAACCCTCCGACCAGACGTCAACAACCCCCCCACAGCCAACTTCCACCCCTTATTCCTCTCCACAATCCGCATCATCTCCCCCCTCTTCCCAACAAGCGTCTCATACTCGACCCGCAACTCCCTCAGACCCCTCGGCCCCTGGAACACCCTCAACCAATTCTCCGACATGCGAAGCGGCTCGTCCGTCTCCCAGTACCACCAATCCGAGTACCGCACCGTAATCGTCAGCACCTCGGGCCGGAACCGCGGCTGCCGGAACAGCGTCCCCAGGTTCCACCCGCCCTCGAGCCAGTACATTTGCGTAAAGAAGCGGACGCGTGTCAAGTCGCGTGACTGCTGTTCCGTCAGGGCCCCAAAGAAGCGCTTGCAAGCGGCGTTTTTCGTTCGGCCTTTTGGTCCGCGGTCTATTTTGGTTGATTGGAATCACTCCAAGTCAGCCTTGGATCCACGCACAAGGTAAACCCCCCCCACCCTCCTTCTTCCTCATCTCGCTCCGTTTCTTCAACGAGGTTCCGCAGTTATGTCGATGTCGAGACGGGCAAAACTCACCAAACCAAAATGCCCATTCAAGCTCCCTCAAAAACACCTGTTGCCCCTCCGCATACGCCAACTTACACGCCCGCAAAAGTGAACAACTACTCCTCCTCGGCCCCGTAAACCCGGGCCGGTACCAGTACGAATCAACAGGGTATGCAGACGGCCCCTCTTCCTCGTACTGCACCAGCGCGAGTGCAAAGATCTCGTTGCGTATCTCGCCGGGCAAGGTACCAAAGAGCGGACATTGAAGCTGGTGGTCATATGTCGACACGTCGATGCTTGTGGAAGTAGCAGTGGTATCCATGATTTGGCAAGAGCAAGAGTTCGTTTTTTCGTGGATGAGAATGGCGAAATAGGCGACTTCGGGGGGGTGAAGTGGTATGTCAGAGGCATCGTCCAAGTGGTGGCGTACAGACCGCATGCCACTTATACCTGCGACGACTGTGTTGGGCGTCGCACAGAGCGGGGTCGGCTGCCTGTTCTTGCCTGCCTACTCCCCCAGTTGCCTACCTCAGGTACACGCCGGTGGCATCCAACGGTATTGAAGCTCTCAGCGCCCAACGAAATCGGTAGGGCTATGGCCTTGGGATTTTCCCATATACTGGGGCCTTGAGAAGAATTTTCTTGGCACAACCTCTTCCGAGGTTGCGGTGGCAGGACATAATTGGAATGAGGTGGGATATCAAGGAAACAACAAGAGTAGAGCATAAGCATTTTGAATAAAATCAGGCACAAGTCAGATCCAAATCGAAAAAAGATTCGCGGAATTATCATGTATTTCATCAAAGCGCGGCCGTAAGAATGGTATTACATACAAGCATTAACATCTCCAACCCCAGCCTGTCGGTCCTGATGTCCTTCGTTCAAACTGGAAAGCATTGCAAGCCGCATCCCCGTACTGCTCTAGTGAGCAGCAACAGTCTCGGTCTGTCTGGTTCCATTGCTCACAATACTATCATTGTCTTTCTCAGAAACCGCCTGGTGCCCAGGAACCGAGCTAGCCACAATGTTGGCGTCTTCGTCGTGGACCGCGTCCTGGGTGCCCCTAGCGTTGGACACAGAGTCGGACGGTGCGACATTAAAGTCATCCTGCTCTGGGCGCCAGTCACGCAGGTCGTCCTCGGCGTCATTGAGAATTTGCCGCGCCTGTTGAGCGTGGTGATACGTGGGACGCACGTCGCCAGGGACGACAGGGGTATCGTCAAGGAGGTGCAGAAGTCTACGGCCATGTTTGGCAAGAATAATTTGCTTCTCGGCTCGCTCAATGGTGGCAGCGAACTCGGCTTCGTAAGCTTCCTTGAGCTTCTGGCGAGTCTAAGTTTCCTATTGTCAGCGCATCAGTTGTAGATTGTTTCGAAAAGGTGTTTGCGTACGATGTTTGTCAGTTGAGCCTCGGCAACCAAGTTCTCTGCCTCAGCGCGGACAAGCTCCTGCTCGAGGACCACGAGCCTTGCGCTCTGGGGCTCCTTCATTTTCAACTTGGCAATCTCGTCGGCAATCTTGTCCTTGCCATCCCGACTCGGCTGGACACTCTTCTCAGTGTTGCGGATGTGCTTCAGAACACCCCGAGCATCGTCCAGAGAGTGGGCGTACTGCTCCTCCTGCTCGCCGAGCTCGCTGAGGATGACGCCAACCTTGTCAGAGACGTCTGAGACGGCCGCGTCGTTGGTCTGCTCGCCCCACTCGGACAGCTGGGTGGCGATAGAAGTGCGCTCGCGGCCGGCGGTCTCGTGGGCGTTGATCAGGTTGTTCTCGCTCTTGATGATCTTGTAGAGCTTGCGCGAAAGCTCGGGTTGCACGTTGCCGCGAAGAGAGTTGAAGGAGAAACCAGCGCGCTTGGAGGCACCGTTCTGGGAGCCATTACGGCGGTGGTTGGACCTGATGGAGAGTGATCGATTCCTGTGAGTCTGTTAGTCAACGGTTCGGGTGGGTATGGGTGTGTGTTCTGCCAGACGTCGGAGGAGGTGTGATGGCGACCACAGAAGGGGGGACACTTATGAGCTTCGTGCTGATGGTGAGGCCATCGCACTCCTCGCTATTACGGGGGGAGAACCAACGTCGCATCTTGACCGATCTGGTGCTGGATGGTGTGGTGTTTGAAGCGGATCTCACTTACATCCTGGCGATTGGTAAGGGTCACAGAGTAAAATAACTCTATTATCCGACCTGCACCTTCTGGTGATGTCGAAAAGCTCTCAAAGGAAGAGATGCTACGGTTCGGTATGAACGTGGGAAGGAGGGAGCCTGGTCCCGGTAAGGTGTGATGCGTCCGTTTAAGCAACTGAGTCTGGGTCTCTACAGATCTTCGAAGCCAAGGTCCAAGTGCGCCTGTCTGGTTCACACAATTGGGGCAGGGCGCAACTCGTTAGGTAAGAGAAAAAAGTTGCAGTGCAGAATGCGACAGCTGCGATGCGACAAGGGTCTGTCGTTGACTTTAAGAAGGGGTCCTGGGAGGCAATGGGGAACCTTGGACGGCACAGTCGGGATGAAGGAATGGACCGAGTGAGACACTCATGTCATAGTTTGGACTTGCTGGCAGGTGGCATTCCACATCACAAGAGGGAAACTAGACTCCAGAGAGGGTAGCTAGCTGGTAATAACCCGGGTAGCTCTAGCTCTAGTCTTCTTCGGGCCGGAGAGAGCGAGGCAGGCCACGACAGCAGCTTCCCGCCAGTCTGGGCGGGTTGAGCTAGACAATTTGGCTTCCTTGACTGATGAGTGCAGGGAAAGAGTCCTTTTTGCAGGAGAAGCGGGCTCATGTGCAGGTAGCCATGAGGCACGCCGAGAAGACTGAGTTCGCATGGGCGGCTAGCTCATCTGCACACAACAAGCTCTCCCTCGAGGTGTGGTGATGATGATGCGGAGGATGACGAAGGGGTTGGAGGGGTCGCGCCATGATGTCATTACCGTCCGGGGACCCTAAGCGACATCTCGGGAAAAGGTCCCGCCTCCCTGCCCCTCCCCCTCCTCTCTGGCTCCCCCCAGAATCGCATCATCCCGAAGCACCTCGCGGAGGACGTCTGCCAGCAGGTGTTCACACAACTTGTAGCGTTCCATCCACTGGGCTGGTAAAAATTCACTCGTCCACTCGGGCAAACCCGAGGTGCTCATCCGTAGTTTATACGCACGGCTGTGCAATGCGCAAGGCTCACAGATGATGCAGGCGGGATGAGTTTGTATGCGCATTTCCTTATTCGTCAAAGACATGGAAATCCCTAATCTAGGTATAGATGAGAGAGGGAAAAACACTTCATGGCGTAGAAAGCTTGCTGTACAACCCGGTGTCAAATAACTTTGAACTTTCATAGCAGTCATTACCGCCCAATCCAAAACACCAGTAATCATACAGAACTCCAGATCCCAAAAAAAAAAAAACCGGGGCACGCGTTTACACTGTACTCGTGATCTCGCGATGGAGTGCCCGTCCAATGGGCTTTGACAGATGTTTGCCAACTAAAACAGACCGATGCCTCCCATCCTCCTCGTCGCTGTACGCAATGTCTTCCATCGTTCGTGCAAAGAACCTTCTTTTTTCCCGTCCCATTTGTTGCCCATGTTTCCCCACTCTCTGAAACATCCAAACCGTGCCCTCGTCTAAACACTCAAAGCTGGACACTCCCGCTGCCGCTCCCACATGCTTAACGCCAAGCGGAGCGGAACGAGGATGGAAGGGAGACGAGAGCTCATCGGTAGGTGCGGCTCGTCCTCTCGTAGACGACGGGTTCGACGTAGCTAACCCTCGGGCTGTTGGCGACGTAGGACCTCCTCACGCTGGTGTAACTCGCGCGCGGGGAGTGTCCGTGGTGATGGTGGTGACCGTGGTGGTGATGGCCGTGGTGGTGGTGATGGTACCTGTTCGGTACGATCTCCTCCTGGTAGTAGTACCTGCGGCCACCTGTTCCAAAGCACATTGTGAATGGTGGATGAGTCGTCACACGGGCGTCTGTTTGGTGGATCGTTGGATTTAGTTGGTGTTCGAGGCGACGGGAGCTATTGGAGACGAATATTTGCTGTATGTGCCTTGAGGTAAGGTATGTTGATGTTAGGCCGCTTCAGCTAATCAGATATCAAGCTGGATAAGGTAGGTAAAGAGATACGAGTAGAAGATCCAAAGAAGGTTTAATTGTTCAAGTGCTAAGGCTATGCATGCGCCGGACTGAAGGTGACCGGTGGTGGTGGTGGGCGACAGGCTGCCTTTTTATGATTTCCCGTCTTATCCCCCTTCACCAGAGCAAGGCTTGGACCTCTCTTCCAAGCAAGTGTCTGTTTATTACTAAGTAAAAATAGTCAGGGGAGGGGGGTTACTCGAGCTTTCCAAGGATTATGCAGTCAGTCATCCATCCATCCCTTCTACATCCATCTCACCATTTGCCCTTCAGACGGGGAGCGCAGCGGCGCGGCGGCCCTCACCGAAACCCTACGTGCGTGGGTGCTGGTTGGTTGGCTCACGGTGGGGGGAAGGGGAAGGGGCAGTTACCTATGGTGTAGGTAGGTAGTGTAAGAAGAAAGCGGCTTGGCTTTCTGATGCCCGTTTCTGCTCATTGCTGCTGGTGGCAGTGTCGTCAATACGGCAGGTTTATCTTCCAAGGTCGTGGGCGCAGCTGCCCTGGTTCCGACCCTTGCTCCAATCCGCGGGCGGGCGGCCCACCGGGAACAATTACGAACAACACTTTTGGGTCTGCCATCCTTGTCCAGAAGAGACAGAAACCCAGAATGGCACCAGCAGAATGACAGACGGAAGAATTTTGGGGCGTGTCTAGTCCGCCTGCGTCAGCCGATTCGAAAGCCAGGGTCTCCCCACATCGCAGTTTAGATCCGCGTGAGATGGGGGGCGATGGGTCCCCCAAACTGCTTTACATTCTACTCTAGCAGACAGGGCGGACGACGGTCTTGCTGCGAAGAAAAAGTTGGTTCTTCTGTCGTGAAGGGAGGAGCAGGGTCAGGGGAAAGTGTTCCAGACTTTCAAAGTCTTTATAGTTGCGGCCTTTCGAGTCACAGATCGTGTAGGGCCTCAAACCGAAAAAAAGCCTCCTCACAGTGGACTTTATTTATTTATTTATTTTAGCTTTCTTTCTCTCGAATAGCCTACTCCTCTCTGCCCAATACCCGGTGCTTGAATACCGGAAGGACCTTTTGAATGACGGTACCATCGAATGTTACCGTTACAACCGATGCCAACCCCGTTCCTGCAAAAAAAGCAGGAAAACTAGGTAGCAAAGCCCGCCGCGAGGAATAATAGAAACACACCTACTTAATATCTTGGTGCCAGGCTTGGGAAACACTATCAAACAAGCTTACCCGCGACCGACAATCTCGAGCCCGCGGGATTATCTACTTACTGTACGGAGTACCTACAGTAACTTACCTTGCCATGACCTCTTAGTGCTGCCGCTCCTAAGAGACGGCAGGTAAGCGTGGTGAGATTAGATCTTGCCATCTGGTCTACTCCACCCACACACTCGACCTCCTCACAGCACTGCCCTGCCCACACCTCTATTCAGCCCTCGACGTCAGTCTGCATCCTCCCGGGGACCGGTCTCGTCTTTTGATATCAGGGATGCCTTTCTCGAAGGCCTCGCCGAAATACACTAATAACTGAAGTGCAAACCTGAGAATCCATGACCCTGCCAGGCCAGCATGACGATAAGTAGGAGCGACTTCACGTAGTAATAATCCAGAGGTAAGATACTAGTTTGTCAGTCCAAATCGTGATACTCTAAAGCCATTTCGTTCCGCGTTCTGCTTTTGAATGCCCATCTGATGTTACATATACAGTGCTAAGGAAAAACGTTCCCCATCCCATCCCCCAATGTCCAAGGTATTGGTTGCATCTATGCCTTGGTCGAAATCTTGGGGTTCAGTCCTCCAATGAGCCATGCGGCGGCGAACAGGGAAACGGTGCTGGCGAAGATGACAAGGGGCTTCCGCAGGGCGGACACCACCGAGTACTCGTAGGACACAATCACCTCCCGGTCCCGGAACTCATCAACGAGGTTGTTCGCCTTGATAATGACTGAGGTGCGTCCAATGGTGTCGAGGTAGGTCTTGTGGATGCTGACTGCGGAGTCGACAATGGCGGACTGGGGAATGCTGGTGTAGAACTTCACGTTGCTGCATGTCTATGTTAGGACCCAAATACAATCATGACAGGCCTTTTGCTGTTTTCACTTACGTTGCTCCCTCTGGCAGTAGGATCTGCAGGTTGACCTGTCCGTACTCGACGCCCTCGGGCTGCTTAGGACCCTCGAGGAAGGGTACATTGACAACATACTTGCCAGCCTCGACATTGCGGACAAAGTTCTTGGCGTCCGAGTTCCAGCCGATGGTGAAGGGGTACTTCCAGCCGCCAAAAATAGGGTAGCGCGGCTTGATCTCCAAGAGCGCCTCTCGCTTGTTGCTGCGGAATCTCGATGTAGAGACGTTGCCGATGGCATCGACAAAGTACGGGTCGGCACTTCCAACCTTGAGGGGAAACTTCATCTCCTTAAGAGCGTAACTGTTGGGGTTGTAGTACGCCGCCTGTGCCCACTTGACACGGTTGAAGAGCTTTGACAGGTTCGCGCCGCGGTGGTAGAGCTCGTATCGCTCCTCAAAAGCCACGTTTCCGCCCCAGTGGCTGACCTCGACGTCGCGGTCAAGCTTGGCGACGTGGGTGACGGGCTTGGTGAACTCGAACCGCACCCGGGCGAGGGAAACGGCACCCGCAGGCTTCTCCTCGAATGGACCATAGGTAAGCTTAGCACCTTGCTTCTGGGGGAACTCCTTGATGTCTCCGCTGCCGGGCAGCTTGGTGTAGTCGGGGATGTTGGACGAGTGGGACTTGAGCTCAGTCTTCTGCTTCGAGGTGACGTACGCCGAGGGCGCGTACACGGAGAAGTCGTAAGTGAGGAATTGTTGGTCCTCTTGTGCGATCGAGGCCGGCAGGGGTTTGTAGGCCTGGAGGAGGTAGTAGGAGATGCTCAGCGTCTGCTGGCCGCCCGCCTTCAAGGGCGTAGGGAGCTGGATCTTGTAGTACTGAGTCTCGCTGTTGCGCCTGTCAATTCTGCCATGTGCATCGTGGATTGTACTCAGAGTCAGAAGTCAAACCTACCTCAGAGGATCGTATTCGACAGCATCAACGGCGAACGGACCAGCTTCGGGGTTCTTCCTATCCTTGGCCTCGAAGCCTCCAATGCGTGACATCTGGTCGGGGGTGAAGGGTAGGTAGTATGCATCTTGGGGTTGCTTGTCAATGTTCTCAATCAAAACATTGATAGACTCCTTGACGTAGTTCTTCTCGAGGGAGACAATGTGGACAAGGTTGGCGTTCTTGAAGACCTGAGGCGGCTTGAAGTTGGCGGGCAGGTTCACTTTCGACACCTTGTCAGTTGCAATCGAGTCGGAGCTTGCGACAATCGGGGAGAGCAGGCTCAGAAGCCCAGCGGCAATGGCGAAGGCTCTCATGATGTGGAAAGGTCGAGGAAGTTGCTCATCGACAGAGCGCTCCCGGCAATGAGAATCAAGAATGAAGTAAAGCGGTTGTTGAGACGCAATTGGGGGGCTTTCACTCCATTGCCGAATAGATGATCTGGCTCCTGAGACAGCTCCCCCCAGCCAAAAAGCTTACGGATACGTTGCTTGACGAGGTGCACGGGCCATGGATAGCTGGGGATAACCGGGTCGGGGCTGAATTAGTCCGAACTGAGCACGCGGCACTGGCGCGGCCTCCACGAGGTCCAGCCACAATCAATCTGTCCCGAAGGTGCCTCTGTGGGAAAGCTTCAGCCACGCGCGCCTTACCCAGTTGTATCCCTTCGCTTAGGTACCTGTGTACCTGGAAAGTTGGCATGTGGGGCCCTGCTCAATGATACCTAGGTGACTGGCTCCCGGTATTTGGTGGGGGTGGTGGGCAGCTATCCGTACACACTTCCTTTCCTTGAGCTGCGATTCGTCTCTCAAAAGAACGTCACACCTCCGGACCTGAAGGACGCTTAATAGCGGCGCTTCCGGTGCTTCCAGTCCGCTTCTCCCGGGATGCTCACTATACTATGGTACTACGTCGGCATTACATCCAGGTGCTCGTAAGATGCGGCGCGTGGGCATCCACAGTATCACGGTCTTCCAACATGTCCTAAACGTAAGATACCTTATCGGAGGTACACTATCCTTAGCTAGGTATGTATCCCTATGGTCAGTTCAGGTCAACCCTAGGGGTCCACCATTGGCCGCCATCTACGTTAGGCCATCCCAGCTACGGTAAGGCCGCTGCAAATCTCGTGGTAACCTTGGGAGAGAGAGACGCGGCTCAATGGCTCCGGTCCGCGACCAGTGGGACGACTGGGAAAAGGTACGATGAAAATTAGTTTGCATTTTTGGAACCCTGGCGAGCCTGGTGCCAGCAGACTGCCAGACAGACATTGGCTGCCCCATCGGAGAAAGACCCAGCGGCTTCGGAGGACTCGACTCGGCGAGGAAGGGGCCACAAAGTAAGGTAAGGTCACAGTGGTGCAGCAGCGTGCAGCTGGTGGCCTGGTGCTGAGTGAGTGATCTCCAATTTGGTGCAGGACCTGACAAGGTCGAGTCCACCTAAGTTTGACCTCTCACCTCTCACCTCCCACCTCCTTCCCTCTCGGTCAGATGATCCACGCCCGTCCACCTTTTCCTCAACGTCACTTCCCTCACCCGACGCAGGCTTAGGTACTGACCGCCCACCTAATAACGACGATAGCAACAACAAATTATTTTATTGTGTGGTTTGCATACATACCTACGAGTTGCCGACAGCTTTTACTTGCTGCACTCATCATCTCCTATAGCCCAATCGCTACCCCTCATCAGCTTTTACCCCGCCATCCTTCAGAGCTCTGGTCAAAATGGTTGGTCTTGGTCCCAAGGTTCCGCCCAGTAGAAAGGGTAAGTTCGCAGTCATGTTTTCCTTCCCTCACCTCTTCTCCCTAGACTCTTGGAACCACTCAAGGGCGATGGCCCTGTGAGATGAACATGGTTCACGCCGTTGAGACAGCTCTCGAGATGATGTGGTCTTCAAGCTGCTGCTCCCTGTACGCCATGCCGCTGGCGCTGGCGTCGTCCCACCCTCCAAGTCATCCTCAACGCCTCACCCTCCAAGCTCTTTTCCCGCTCACAACCACCACTGTCCAATCCCGACTTCCATAGATGGCTAGAACGGCCAATTGCCCTTCGGAGATGATGCGCCACGAAGCTGGACCTCCATGCAGCGCCCCCGGAGCTTCCCCAAGCCATAGGGGTAGCTTGTCAAGCACACTCTCCTGGGAAAAGCTCAAGCTATTTAGCGTTGAGGTGGAAGACATTGTCTCACTTGCCAGACATTCCCCCACCTTATCCCCCAGCTTTCTTCTCCTCATACTGCAGCTTTCAGTATAAACAGGCGGGCAAGTGCCATCTAGGTCTGCTTATCTACGCTCCAGCTCTTTGCGCTGACCGCTACATTTGCTTGCCTGTCATTATTTGCCCTTTGTTACGAGAGCTTTAAGAGCTTTGAGCCTGTTTTTCTGTACACAATCATTCTGTGATACCCCTCCACCAAGATTGTCACGCTCGAGTGTGGCAGACCCAAAATCTTACAACCGTCGTCAGACAACCGTCATCATGGTGGAAAGGGCGATTGCTCCTGCTACAAGGGAGAGATCCTACCACCACACCGATATCTTTGTCCCGTCACGTCAAAGCAAGAAATACTGCTCTTCAAATTTGATACGACTCGTGTTCGCTAACCATGTGTGAAAATTCAGGTTCTATGGCCGATGTGCCCAAGGATCTTCTCGCCGAGGTCAAGAAGCTGGAGCAGCAGTTCACGGTCCCGACTGAGAAGCTCAAGCAGATCAGCAAGCACTTCATCACAGAGCTGGACAAGGGTGAGCTTATATCCAGAAAAAGACGGCAACTCTTTCATGCAGCTGACACCAGAGCACAGGTCTGAGCGTTGAGGGAGGTAGTATCGTAAGTCGATATGACCTCAACAATTATTGGGCTTTGGAACAAAATTCTGACCACTTTCGTAGCCCATGAACCCTACCTGGGTTATGTCCTTCCCTGATGGCTTCGAGACTGGCACCTACCTCGCCCTCGACATGGGCGGAACCAACCTCCGTGTCTGCGAGATCACCCTGACTGACGTCAAGTCCGAATTCGACATCATTCAGTCCAAGTACCGGATGCCCGAGGAGCTCAAGACCGGCCAGTCTGAAGAGCTCTGGGAGTACATTGCCGACTGCCTGGCTCAATTCATCGATACTCACCACCCCGACCACCCTCAGTCTCAGAAGATTCCTCTCGGTTTCACCTTCTCCTACCCTGCAACTCAGAACTACATTGATGAGGGCATTCTCCAGCGCTGGACCAAGGGTTTCGATATTGCCGGAGTTGAGGGCCACAACGTTGTACCGTTCCTCGAAGCTGCCTTGGCGGCCAAGGTAAGAAATCCCGCAGTAATGATGAACCACTCGTCACTGACACCCGCACAGAATGTCCCCATCAAGCTGTCTGCGCTCATCAACGACACCACTGGCACCCTGATTGCCTCTGCTTACACCGACACCAAGATGAAGATCGGATGTATCTTTGGCACTGGCTGCAACGCTGCGTACATGGAGAACTGCGGCTCTATTCCCAAGCTTGCTCACATGAACTTGCCTCCCGATACGCCCATGGCCATCAACTGCGAGTGGGGTGCTTTTGACAATGAGCACAAGGTCTTGCCTCGCACCCCCTACGACATCATCATTGACAAGGACTCTCCTCGTCCAGGTCAACAAGCCTTTGAGAAGATGATTGCAGGTCTCTATTTGGGCGAGATCTTCCGCTTGGTCCTTGTTGATCTCCATGACAACAAGTCTGTACACATCTTCGAGAACCAGGATATTGCCAAGCTCCGTAAGGCTTACACCTTGGATTCCTCGTTCCTGTCCGCTATTGAGGAGTAAGTTTTGTCTTGATCTCCAAGTCCCCCGCCCCCCCAACCAGTATGCTGACCTGATACAGCGACCCCTTCGAGAACCTGCAGGAGACGAGCGATCTCTTCCTTTCCAAGCTGAACCTCAAGGCCACCAAACCCGAGCTGGAGCTAGTTCGCCGCCTCGCTGAGCTCATCGGCACCCGTGCCGCCCGCCTCTCGGCCTGCGGTGTTGCTGCCATCTGCCTGAAGAAGGGCTACGATACCTGCCACGTCGGTGCTGACGGCTCGGTGTTTAACAAGTACCCCCACTTCAAGGCTCGCGGAGCCCAGGCTCTGCGAGAGATTCTCGACTGGCCTGCTAAGACAAACCCCAAGGAAGAGGACCCCATCGAGATCCTCGCCGCAGAAGATGGCAGTGGTGTAGGCGCAGCCCTCATTGCTGCCTTGACCCTCAAGAGAGTCCAGAATGGTAACATGGCTGGCATTCTCCATCCCGAAAACTTCAGATAGTCCTTGAAGATGAGGTATGAATCGCGAGGACGGGTTGAGGGGGAAAAAAAGCAAGTAAAACCAAAGTCTTAAGACGGGGGAATTGTTGATAGGGACTTTTTATCTGCATGGGTTCTACGGTCATATCCACCGGACCTATCCGATAGCTCATACAAGCATCTTTCCTACCCCCAGCGTCAATCAACCCATGAACGTGCAGGTGGGCAAGCGGTACTCTGTCATCAATTAGCGTAAGTGATGCGGTGTAAAATGGAGACTCACTGTCCAAAGTCCAGTACCTGCGCACCACTCCCTCCCACTCGCCGGCGCCAGCCTTTTCCAACCCCTTCATGTCCACATCCATCTCATCCCACTCGACATCTAGACCCGCATCCGCCATGTGCATCTCCACCACCTTGATGTACACATCGTAGCATATCCTCCGATCTGCCCCCAAGCCGTTGAAGAAGCTGAAGCGTCCTTCAAAATCCAACAGACCCGGGATGAACTCGGTGAAGAACATCTTTAGCTGGCCGTAGTCTTCGCCAAAGGTGTCAAAGTAGATTGCATCGTAGACCTCGCCGGCCTCGAGGAGTTTCGGCACAACGTCCTGCCAGCGGCCGCGGTGGATCTTGTAGGCGCCTTGTTCGGGACCGCTGGCCTCCCATGCTGCGCCAAATTTGGAGGCATCGGAGGGGTTGGCGTCGATGTGCGAGAGGACTTCAGGGTGAGCTTCGATGATGTGGTGTCTTGAGGGGGAGGTTGAGCGGAACATGGTGTCGATGATGCCCATGCCGAAGCCGATGTTGAGGATGCGTTTGCCGCTGGTGGCTGAAACGGAGGCGGGGTTAGGGGGAATGAGGGCGTCGACGCTCTTGCGCATGATGTCCGTCTCCCAGGCCATCATGACACCGTTGCCGCCATCGTCGACGAGTTTGCCGTCCGAGTAGGTCAGATTGGAGCGCAGATACTCTTCCGAGTTGAGGCTTGGGTCCTCGACGGTGGGGGGCTGGAACCTTTTTTGTTCTGCTGGTGCTTCGACGAGCTCTGGGGCCTCTTCTGTGTCTTCTACATCCTCGATAACCGCGTCTGTGGAATCAGTCACCTCGACAGCCTCGTACTGGTCCTCGTCTTCGTCCATCTCAGAACCCCCCGAGGAGAGCGCCTCGTACCCGTCGAGAAGTCCAAAGAGCATCTCGGCGCGCACGCCCGCTTCGACGCAGAGCTTGTAGAGCGAGGTCTGGCCCAGGCGGAGGGCGAGGCAGCCCGGCGTCTCGTTATTGTTGTCGACGTCATTCCAGATTGCGCCGGAGAGAAAGAGCTCGTGGACCGTCTCCTTGGCTTCTTCGACCTGTAGGTCTTCACCGTTGTCTCCGTCATCGTTGTCATTGTCGTTTTCGGTGGTAGCGGCGGGGGCAGGCCCGCAAGCGCGAATGGCGGCGTGGAGGGGTGTCTCGCCGGTCGTCGGATCCTGGCAGCTCGCGTGGCCGGGTTCTTGTAGGAGTTTCTTCAGGGCGGAGGTGTCATGGCTCCAGGCGTGGAGGAGGATTTCGCGAGTTGCGTCGGGGCAGTCTGTTGTGATGCGGGACTGCATCGAGTCGTCGATCGCCATGGTTGCGAATTTAAATTGGGGGGTCGGAAGTGTGGTACTGCAATCGGGAGGGAGGAGTGCCGGAGGTAGGGGTGCTTAGGTCCGTGGTACGGTAGGGAATTCGATATGCGGCCGGTGTCTAGAATTTTGTTTTCTGCCGTGTCCGGCCGGCATGCATCCCCCGCCGACCCCGCCATCGCCGAAGAAAAAAACTAGAGAAAAATAAATTCTCGAGCCCTCCCGCAGTCGCTGTGACGTCTGTCGCACGTGCGCATCCGTCGTTCACAATTGGCCAATGGACCCCCTGTCACTCCCTACGGCTAGCTCTGGGTACCAGCGGAAACTGGAGCCAGACACCCAGACTCCCTGGAGCTAAGCCGGGTTGGAGCTGCGTTTTACTGGGTCAGGACCGCTAAGATCCTGCGAGGGAGAGACGACGGGAGGAGGGCGAATGCGCCAGCGCCCATCGTCTATCGTATCGCGTACTTAATGTGCCCTGTGAGATGAAAGGATCTGGACAAACTGTCAGGTTCTGAAAGTATGAAATAGATCTGTAAACCGAAGAAAGAGAAGAAGCTTTGCATGTGATCATAGAGGAATATAATAGGAGAATAAGGGACCCCAGAATAGTGGATGGCAGAGCAGATTGCCTGTGCGGTGTCACTCCGTTAACGTGGTTGGCATCGCAGGCACTACCAAGGTAGTTGACCCCCGTCTGAGCCCCCCTGTCCGAAGCTTGTCTCGTAAATGTCGGCCGCCGCCTCGCATTCCATCGCCTCCATTTGTTTTGCCTGCATCACCCGGCCGCGCCCCATGCGAAAGCTTCCCAACCCTACATGCTTTTCACTCATATCTGCAACATTTCGCGCAGTCGGTTACACGGCGCCAGGTGCACAAGGTGAGACTCCGTCCGAAGAAATCTCCTCAATTGGCTCCACCGTCAACGACCCCCTTCCCTAAGTCACTCTGGGCGATTCTTGACTCGCATTTTTGTTTTTACCATGCCAATGATGCCATTACCCTTGAGAGCCGACTCCTCATGCTAATTGTCTATGATACAAAGACACAGGAACGAACTTGGCGATCAAGTCTAGCACCCAGCGAATCCTGGCGCGCCCCTCCTGGCATTGTCGTCATGAAGTTCGGCGAACAGCTCCGTTCGAGCATCATTCGCGAGTACCAATGGTACTACATCGACTATGATGCCCTCAAGGCCGACCTCAAGACCGCCACCGGGCTCATCACGCCCACTGACAATGGCAAGGGCAAGGGCGGGAAGCGCGAGTGGTCCGAGGAGGATGAGGGCCGCTTCGTGAAGAAGCTCGAAGCCGAGCTCGACAAGGTCCACACCAAGCAACAGGTCAAGGCCATGGAGATCTCGAGGCGCATTGCTGTAAGCGAGCGCGAGGTCAAGAGCGTCGTCAACCGCCTCGTCGAGCGTGGCCCCCGTGAGGACGGCCCGAGCGAGGAAGAGTTCATGCTGCTGGAGGAGGACTTGAGCGACATTATTGCCGATGTGCACGATCTTGCCAAGTTTGTCCAGCTCAACTATACTGGATTCTATAAGATTATCAAGAAGCATGACGTGAGGCCCCATCTTTCGACATTGTCCGCATGGATCGCTCGCTGACAAGGAATTAGAAAACCACTGGCTGGCACCTCAAGCCTGTGTTCGACACCCGACTCAAAGCGAAGCCATTTTACAAGGAAAACTATGACGCTTCCGTGGTTCAGCTTTCCAAGTTGTACGACTTGGTCAGGACGAGGGGCAACCCGGTCAAGGGCGACAGCGCTGCTGGTGGCTCTCAGGGAAGCTTCGTTCGTAATACGACAAAGTACTGGGTCCACCCGGACAACGTGACGGAGCTGAAGCTCATTATCCTGAAGCACTTGCCCGTGCTGGTCTTCAATGCAAGCAAGGAATTCGAGATCCAGGACTCGGCCATCACTTCCATCTACTACGACAACCCGGAGACCTGGGATCTGTACGAGGGCCGTCTGAAGAAGACGGAGGGTGCGGAGGCCATCCGTCTGAGATGGTACGGTGGAATGCAGAGCGAGAACATCTTTGTAGAGCGCAAGACCCATCGCGAGGACTGGACCGGCGAGAAATCCGTCAAAGCGCGATTCTCGGTCAAGGAGAAGAATGTCAACGCTTACATGCGCGGCGAGCTTCTCCCCGCCGCTCTCTTCGAAAAGGCGCGCAAGGAGGGCAAGAAGCCCGAAAAGCAGATTGCCGAGGACGAGAGACTCGCAAAGGAGGTCCAGTACTCGACTCTCAAAAAGGGATACAAGCCGGTCTGCCGGTCCTTCTACAACCGCACTGCCTTCCAGCTCCCGGCTGACGCTCGAGTGCGAATCTCGCTTGACACGGAGTTGACCATGGTCCGCGAAGATAATTTGGACGGCCGTAAGAGATCCGGCGACAACTGGAGGCGTATGGACATTGGTATCGACTATCCCTTTTCACAGCTACCACCCGAGGACATTGTGCGGTTCCCTTACGCTGTTCTCGAGGTCAAGCTTCAGACGCAACTCGGCCAAGAACCTCCAGAATGGGTTCGCCAGCTCATTTCCAGCCATCTCGTGGAAGCCGTGCCCAAGTTCTCCAAGTTTATTCACGGAGTGGCTTGTCTCTTCCCCGACCGCATCAACTTGCTTCCCTTCTGGATGCCGCAAATGGATGTGGATATCCGCAAGCCAGTTACGCACGACTTTGGTATCCACCGGCCCAACCAGTCGGCTACCACCACCACATCAGACGATGATGAAGACGACGAACTAGACTCTGATGACGAGGAGGGTCCTTTGGTTGCCAGTAATAACGGCGCCACCAATGGAGAGTCCAGCGGTCAGGGAGCTACCAGGAATGGCGGGACCGCGCTCGATGTCGAAGGCCAAACCGTTGATACCATTGCTCCTGTCGACAATGAGGACTTTTTGTACGACTCTGACGAGGAGTACGATGCTGACGAGGTCCTCGAGGAAGCCAGACGTGTTGGAGGCTGGACTTACTACAAGGCGCTTGCCTCTACAAAAGCACAAGCGTTTGGCGAACGCGCCGTGGATGTGCTCAAGTGGACCGTGCCGCATCCTCGCGGTTCTGTGATTCCTAGACGAGAAGCGCAAACGACACTCTTCGGCTCGGGGGCTATCCAGACCAAGAGGTACAAGGCTCCCAAGGGCAAGAAGATTTACGTGCCAGTCCGCGTTGAACCCAAGGTTTACTTTGCGGCTGAGAGGACCTTCCTCGGTTGGGTAAGCCTAATCGCCGCTTAAACAGGAATCATTGAATGACTGCTAACACAATCCAATAGCTCGAATACTCCATCTACGTCGGCACAGTGGCCGTCACGCTCCTCAACTTCGGCTCCAAGCCTACCAACGCGTCCTTCATCGTTGCTGGAGTCTTTACACTCCTCGCCATCTTGTCTCTCTGCTACTCCGTCGTTATCTACCTGTACAGAAGCAACGCGATCCGCAATCGCAAGGCCGCCAAGTTTTACGACAAGTGGGGTCCCAGCGCCCTCTGCGCTTCGCTGTTCATCGCCGTTCTGCTCAACTTTGCGTTTGAGGGTCGGGAACGAGCGTACTGGTGAGCTCTGGCTGCCTCGGTAGTTCTGTGTCGTCTCCCCGTTTCTAGTACGGTTGGAAAAGCGAGTGTTTGTTATTTCTTTGTACTATGTATCATCGTAGCGGAGTCGTATAAAAATGGTCTATTAAATATGGTGAGCTAGTGTATTTATCCCCCTTACTTGTTTCAGTTCGATACGGATCATGTTTTCTATTGCGATATCAACGTTCGACGTTATATCCTAGATTGTAGCGGACAGAATCGGATTGTATTCCCACTGCTTGTGCTTATGATTCAAGATCTCTGGCCTTTGGTCGTGACCTGCTCTCCCTCGTTGAATAAACTATCCCGCGCCTTTCGGTCCCAATTCCATCATGCCTCGCACGCGCCTCGACGACTTCGGAGGATTTTCCGACGCTGAGGACGAGGGATACTCGGGGCGTGGCCCCCTTCTCCCTAGCGGAACCCCTATCTCTCCGGAGCCGGAGAGCGACGAAGAGCCGGAGATCGAGGATGAAGAGAGCGACAATGGAGACGACGATTACGAGGAAGACGAAGAGATGCTCGACGTTTACGAGGAGGACGAGGACGAGAATAGCGAGGGAGACGCTGGCGATGAGGAGGAGAATGGTGACGACGAGACCGAGCCCGAGCCCATTCTGATTGAAGAGGATGACCGCAGCGACTCTGGCGATGAAGGTACATCGCCTGGGAGGAGGAGGAGGAGGAGGGGGGAAGAAGAAGAAGAAGAAGAAGAAGAAGAAGAAGAAGAAGAAGAAGAAGAAGAAGAAGAAGAAGAAGAAGAAGAAGAAGAAGAAGAAGAAGAAGAAGAAGAAGAAGAAGAAGAAGAAGAAGAAGAAGAAGAAGAAAGACCTGATTTGTTCTATTTCTATAGAACTGATAGTGACCGTGACACTGGGTCAAATTCGTGTTTTACTGTACCAGCCCGCGTGGGTCTTAGAGATCGGCAGCGCGCAATACCTGCTCTAAATTTTTACTTCGCATGCTCTTTCTACTCTGTTTCTCTTTAGTCAACTCTCTTTTTCTAGAGCTGCAACTAAACGGCTAAGATGTAAAATGCGCCATGTGGTTACTTTTCACCCGATACCATAATCCTAAGCCGAGTCTTGGTCGCCCGGTCGCCGATGACCGCCGAAAACTATGCGGGCCCGTTTTCTGATTACGGAGACGGCCCCGCAGGTAACTGGCCTTCGTCACACCGTTGTCCCACCGTTTCGACAGTGTCTTTTTCCTGATCATTGACAACGCGCGCCTTTTGGCCGTTAAGCCCCATTTATCAATAGTTCTTGGTGTTTGGTAACGCGTGGTCATAGGAAGCGGGAAGCTTGCTGTAAGTGATAATGGTCTCAAAACTGTTGAGGGCCCTTGCCAAGTTTCTTTGGAAGACCAAAACAGGAAGTAAGAAGTACCGGGGGCGAGCTGAATCCGCCAAGCTATGAATGGAACATTTTTAGGTTGCCCAGTACATGATAATCAGTCTCGGCTCCGCCAGGGATTTTACAATACGTCCGTTAGAAGTCGGGAAGATCACGGAAACGACTGGGTCAGTCATCTTGGCTACCTTATGGAGGGTGACTGATCATCATTTTCCCTTAGCCCTATGCAATCTTCGGAAGATGGAACGACTCCGATAGGGAAAACATAGACTTGGAAGGATAGGCTCGACGGGAGGGGCCGCGACTAGCCTCGACATGCAGTTCGATCCGATGTTGCATTGTCATCCGAAAACACAACTACTGCTTACAGCCAATCCTTTGGTTCGTTCGTTTCTAGCCATATAGGGATGTCTCAAGTGGGTTATCAGGTTTCCTTCTGGCCTGATTGATGTTTTGAACTGAATAGCCCATTCATGTCTATCCTTTTCGTGATAATGAGACTTTTTGTCTGACGTGAGGCGGGTATTCTATCCACCTCCCTGCAGACTATTGAAAACAAAAGTGGCATAAGCCGTAGCATACCAAGTCTATCTATTCCCAATTTGATATATACTAGAGAATCTTGAGGATGCTGAGAGAAAGTTCAAGTACTAGCTCAAAGACAAGTCTACTCTCAAACAAACGGGACTTCCCTGGGGATCACAGGCAGTTGGAGACTTGGTTCTAAGTCACAACGACATAGATTTACCTAATTAGATCAATATCAACTCAAATAAGAACAAGAAATGTGGAAATCTAGGCTATGCCTTCAGACTGTCTCGAGAGTCACGACTATAGGATCCTCTGTGTCAACGTATTCGCCTTCTATAAAAGGGCATGCTGCTCTCGACATTTTCCTCGTCTCATCCTCTTCATCCCCAGCTAGAAAGCAGTCAAAGAAGTAAACTACCACATCCAATCTCGTTTCCAAAACTCCCAAACCCCCTACTCGCAAACATGCAATTCTTCCAACTTCTAGTCGGCTTCGCCGCCGCAGTCTCAGTCTCCGCCATCGACATCCAAAAGCACTTTGGCCAAAACTGCGGCGGCAATTTCCGCGTCTGCCGGGGCCTGAACCCAAACATCTGCTGCGTCGGCGCCACGGCCGAGAGCATCCTCTTCCGCTACATCCCGTCCAACTGGCGCATCGAGTGCCGCGGCTACGACGGCGGCGACTGCCGCAACCGCCGCGCCACCATCCTCTCGGCCGGCGCCACCTCCATCTGCATGCGCTCCGGCGGGTTCCTCTTCACGGGCGCCGGCTACGGCTTCGTCAACCGTAAGAGGGCTCCTCAGGAGGCCGGCGAGACGTGTACTGTCGACGGCGAGCTGGTGGAGGGTCAGCCGCAAAAGTGCGAGTCCAGCCAGGAGCCTGATACTCTTGTACTTGTCGACGGTTCAGAGTTTAATCTTGTTGGCCTCGAGGCCGACAAGCTCGATAGACTGGTATGATATCTAGTGCCCAAGAAGATCCCATCATTGAAAAAGATGGACACAGCTAACCTTGGCCCTTTTTGTTCTATCTAGTATGCGCTTCCTTTGATCTCTTCTCTTGTCGCCCAAGGAAACAAATAGACGAATTTCCTTGCCTTTTTATCCCTTTTAGCACCGACTGATTTTGCTAACTGCTGCTTCCTCGCCATCTAGCTTCGAAATTGCCGCCGATCCCAACGTGACTTCTGCTGCCGACATCCCCGCCGAGTTCAAGCCCCTTGAAATCGTGTAGGTAAGGAACACACGGATCTGCTGGCACCCATCCACGCTCGTGGTACCATAGGTGCTGTTGTTGACGGGATGGAGAGGGGGGGGAAAGAGGGGGGTTGGGGGTGGTTTTCCTGGTGTTGATGTTGGATCGGACAGTGGGAGAGATGTGTGTTTCCGACTTTCTCTTCTTTGGATGTCAGGTAAATGGTCATTTCTTTCTTTATGCTTTCAATGTTGTTGAATAGCATTATCCGCTCCTTCACTGAAAGGGCTCTGGCGCCGGATCTCCCTTTTAGGATAAAAGAATGACAAGTGATCCACCAATCAAGACTCATTGCTTGTGATTTCCATATAAGTCGTCCCGGAATTTGCTCATATCAGGTGGTGGGTGCTCTTGGCGATGGTGTTCTCTGTCCCTAACAGTTGGCGACGTTGGGGTTGATTGATTTTGCTATTATGATTTGAACTCATAGGAAAAGCCGGTTTCTGATTTGTATTAGCATGGCTAGAACATCTGATCATACGACTGTCATGTAAGTCGTTCCGACTCGTAAGTGCAAAGCGAGAACACATGCGAAATGCTCATCAAGTCATCCGCTGAAGGTTCTGTTGAAGAAGCAACAAGACGTGGAGGGAGATACAAGTTTACAGTGTAAGTCGTTTGAAATGTCATCAAGTCGATTTCTGCAGCGTCTTTGTACGCGTTAGAAACACATTCATAGATACACAAAGTATCTTTTGGGGAAATGTCACAGACACAACACAACGTCATATTGGGGAACTAAATAAGTAATGAGGATGAGTAAAGTGAAGCAAATTGACCTGAGGTCAACAGTGGTCAACCATACCGAGTGGGGTCCGAGTGGCAATCAACATTCGAACGGTAGTATCAAGCCCTTTGCTGAGTTCATGTTGTATGCGTTCAGTCAGGTCTGAACAGAACCTCGGAGTCCAACGTACTAGAGGAAGGCAGCGAGACAAGGTTGAGGTGTCATCAAGGTATCTTGTGTGATCAATTGCTTTCTCAGCTTCTAATAGTTTTGACGCCTCTATTCCAGGCCCAACCCACGTCTACACCGCAATCAAGCCAGGTAGCCGTAATGTACATGATCATCATGCCTGGATTTCCCCTTTTACTTTTTGGTTTTGATTTCGTGACTCATATTCCCTTCCTCATCTAGTAAGGGCGATGTCGTCTATTCTGAGGATCATCTTCACCGTCTCCGCGGCCAACTCGATGGCGCTGGTGCTCACCAACAAAGGCTGCAGGACGTTCTCCTTGGAAATGTTGGTGTTAACACCGCCGGACTTGATACTGACACCCGCATTCCTGTCACCAAGCTCGTGTCTGTGACGAAGCTCGGTCACGACCTTGATACTGTTGAGACCGGCGTTCTCAGCCAAAGTGGTGGGAACAACCTCCAGAGCGTCGGCAAATGCCTTCCAGCAGATGGCCTCGGTACCCGTCAGCTCACGCGCACGCTTGGAAAGCTGGGACGCGATCTCGATCTCAGCGGCACCGCCGCCGGCAATCAAAGCCTTCTTCTTCACCAAGCAGCGAACAACGCAGTGGGCGTCGTGCAAACTGCGCTCGGCCTCATCGAGAATGAGGGAGTTGGCGCCGCGGACAACGACGGAGACGGTCTTGCCAGTTGCCTTGGCGCCGGTCACCTTGACCATGCGAGCTCCGTTAGACTGGACCTCCTCAACAAGATCGGCCGAGCCGAGCTTGTCCTCCGTGAATGAGTCGACGTCGGCAATCGGCTTGCAGCCGGTAGACTTGCAGATGAATTCGATCTCGTCGCGCTCGATATCCTTGACGGCAAGGATGCCAAGCTTGGCGAGGAAGTGCAGGGACAGGTCGTTGACAGCATCGCGAAGAATGGACTTCTGGATAAAGAGAACGTTGCACTTTGCCTTCTTGATCTTCTTGACCATGTTGAGAAGGTAGAGGCGCTCCTCCTTAACGATCTTGTCCATCTGTCTGTAGTCGTTCACTTGAATAGTGTTTTCCATCTGGATTGGTCAGCAACCGCGAAAGGGGTACTTGAAGGGTAACCTTACATCGGGCTTGGGAGGGCTGAGCTGGAATTGAATGAGACCAATTCTGGCCTTCTCGATTCTTGCGGGACCACCAGCACCCTTGAGAACAGGCTGCGTCAAGATCAAGCCATCCGAAAGCTCACTGTCCTCGATGGTTCCGCCAACCTTCTTGACGATTCTGATGTTCTTCAGATCGACGTTGTCTGCCGTCTTGAGGTCGATAGTCTTGACAACGGAGTTGACTGCCATGGGGCCGAGAATGTTGGAGTATTGCGACACAATCTTTGAGGAGAGCGATGTGTTGGCTGCCTGGAGCAGGGATGCTGTGTCGGTGAGGGAAATGGGTTGTGACATATCGTGGAGAACCTCGACGGCTGCGGCAGCAGCTCTCTGGAAAGCCTCTGAGATCACGGAAGGGTGGATTCCTTTTGACAGCAGTCTGTCGGCGGCGCCGAGCAAGCTACCGCAAATGACAACCACAGATGTTGTACCGTCTCCCGCCTCCACATCCTGTGCCGCCGAAAGGTTGACCAACATCTTTGCTGTCGGGTGCATGACGGACATGCTCTTCAACATTGTGTTGCCGTCGTTGGTAATGATGGTCTCGCCCTTTCCGCTTCGAATCATCTTGTCCATGCCGCGGGGGCCCAGAGAGGTTCGGATCGCATCGGCGACGGCTAGCAGTCAAGCCAGGTCAGTTAATGATTCGTGAAGCTCGTAGGCCTGTCGTCTTGCTCACCTCTGGCAGCAACAATGTTGGAAGAGCGGACGGCGACGGGCTTCTCCTTGTCCTGTAGGTAAATAATTAGCAATAGCTCACCTCCAGAAGCTTCGTCATGGGCGCGCAGTTCACACCTTGAAAGTAGCATTGCTAGAGCCTCCTCCGGCCGGGGCTGGTGCAGTTGTAGCCATTTTGACGAATCTAATTTGTGTTGTGCTTGTTATCGAGAACTGGATGTCGGGAAGACAAGCTAAACACGGGGTGCAAAGGTATCGGTATCGTCGTGGGCCTGTCCCGCTGCCGCCTTCTTTTGCGATCGCCCACTTTCTCTCAGGTAGCAACCCCCCAGCGGTGGGATATTTTTTAGCGGCCGCCAGGTTGTTCCTGCCCCGGTGCCTTCTACGCAAAGCCATCGGGTCTGTTTGCATTTTGCCCACACCGGGCCTAGCTCCACAGCAGCCTCGCATTTGTGGCCCGTGCTTTGGAGCTCAAGGCAACCTGGATTACGGAACCGTCTTCCATCACCACCTCAATCGACCCCAGCACCAGACTCACTGACGACGAACGCGACCGCTTCCTTGAAACCCCGTGAACCTACTTCGACAAAACCTACGAACCGAACTCCCCCAACACCACTCCAAGCAAATAATTTGGCAGTAGGACGTCCAGTCTTCATCCTACATCATGGTATGGGCCATTCGTGTCCACTCTGATCGATAGCAGTGTTAACTCGAGCATTAGCCTTCCGCTACCGGCCAGAACTGGGAGAAATACCAGAAGACCTACGCAGACGATGAAGTTGAAGAGAAGAAGATCACACCGTTGACTGATGAGTTCGTCACCCAGCCAGCTCAGAGCTGCGATTAGTTGCCGACTAACACTACCCAGAGATATCCAAGTGCTGAAGACGTACGGCGCCGCCCCGTATGGTGCTGCCATCAAGAAGCTCGAGCAACAGATCAAGGAAAAGCAAACGAGCGTAGACGAGAAGATTGGTGTCAAGGTAGCCACGCCCCTCGGTGGCTGATGCAACTAGGGCTGACTTGACTAGGAATCCGATACGGGTCTTGCCCCTCCTCACCTTTGGGACGTAGCAGCAGACCGGCAACGCATGTCGGAAGAACAGCCTCTTCAGGTCGCCCGGTGTACAAAGATCATCCCCGACGAAAAGGACGACTCCAAGAGCAAATATGTCATCAACGTCAAGCAGATTGCCAAGTTCGTCGTGCAGCTGGGCGAGAGAGTGAGCCCTACGGATATCGAGGAGGGTATGCGAGTCGGCGTCGATAGGAACAAGTACCAGATCCTCCTGCCGCTTCCACCCAAGATCGATGCAAGCGTTACGATGATGACGGTCGAGGAGAAGCCCGATGTTACATACGGAGACGTTGGTGGTTCAAAGGAGCAGGTTGAGAAGCTGCGCGAAGTCGTCGAGATGCCCCTTCTATCGCCAGAGCGGTTCGTCAACCTCGGTATCGACCCACCGAAGGGTGCTCTACTCTATGGACCCCCCGGTACCGGAAAGACCCTCTGCGCACGAGCTGTCGCCAACAGAACAGACGCTACCTTCATCCGAGTCATCGGCAGTGAGCTAGTCCAGAAGTATGTCGGTGAGGGTGCGAGAATGGTGCGCGAGCTTTTCGAGATGGCGCGGACGAAGAAAGCCTGCATTATCTTCTTTGACGAAATTGACGCCATTGGTGGTGCCCGCTTCGACGATGGTGCTGGTGGAGACAACGAGGTTCAGAGAACTATGCTGGAGCTCATCACCCAGCTGGACGGTTTCGACGCTCGTGGCAATATCAAGGTCATGTTTGCCACCAACAGGCCTTCCACTCTCGACCCCGCCCTGATGAGACCCGGTCGTATCGATCGTAAGATCGAGTTCTCCCTGCCCGACCTCGAGGGCCGCGCCAACATTTTGCGTATTCACGCCAAGAGCATGTCAGTCGAGCGGGACATTCGTTGGGAGCTCATCTCGCGTCTGTGCCCCAACGCTACGGGCGCCGAGCTTCGCAGTGTCTGCACAGAGGCTGGCATGTTCGCCATCCGCGCCCGGAGAAAGGTAGCGACGGAGAAAGACTTCCTCAGCGCCGTGGACAAGGTTATCAAGGCTAACCTCAAGTTCAACTCGACGGCCAGCTACATGCAATACAACTAAGGAGGAGGGGATCCAAAGGTTACGGACGAGACGGTGGGGTCATGGAGTTTCGTCATGTCCTTTTTTTTAAAAGGCTGTAAGAATAGGCAGGCTTCGGAATCGGGCAAGGTCTAGAGGGCGTGATACCTTTGAGAGAAAGGAGAAATAGATCATGCTTTTCTTGTGCCAGTCGGGTTTTCTGCCTCGAGAAGTGATTCACCGCGGGAAGCGATTTACAAGTGATTTTTACAAGCCTGGCCTTCTCTGCTTCCATATCTCGGCTTCAACTCCTTTTCCAGTGATGACGGTCAAACCTGTGGGCATGAGACGCACATGCAAAGCAGGGAAAAACGAGAAAACGAGAGCAGAATCCGTATTGCAATATTCCGAGCAACATTCATTTGGGAAGGAAAAGTGGGAGAGAAACAAACCGAATGGAGAACCCAAAGACACTGCACAGTTCTTGGCGTCAGCGTAGCAGATTGCCAGAGTTGTCCAGTAATGTGACCAACGGCCCGAGGAGCGAGATACTGCCTCATCATGGGAATGAATATGCAGAAGGAAACGCCTAGACATGAGGCTTGGCTTGACAGACTTGGTATTGTTGGCTGTATAATTACATTGAAAACTACAGCTAGATGAAGCTCTCTGGCCTCTCTCCAGCCCACCTGCCTTGATGACAAAGGTCGTAATACGTCGACCCCTTGATTTCGCGGTTTCCCTAATGATATCTTCCTCCCATGTGAAACAAAACCTCTCATGCTGCCTCAGCATTGCTCCAGATTTCCCCATTACCAAATGATATGCATGCCTTCATTAGCAGGGCCGTACGCTCAACAGGTCCTTCATGAGTGTTTTGACAATCAAAAAAAAAAAAGAAAAAAAACCTTGAACGCTATGATATGAAAAAAAAAAAAGAGAAATGCCACCGCTGGCTTCGAAGTCATTCAAACTGATTCTATACGTGACAGACAGCCCAGGCAAACAACGTCGCCCTCGGTGCCCTTCTCGATACAGCAGCGACTGCAGACCATCTGCCTATGACCGCCGCCCGTCCAACCGTCGTGTCGTGTGGCCTGACCGGTCCTCTTTGACTCCTCGTCTGCTCTTGATTGTCGTTGTCTGTCATCATCGACATCATCCATAGTACACGATCGTGAGAGGTCGACTCCGCCATGCTCTTCTTGCTCCTGTTGCGCGCTGTTGATGCCACCGTTGCTGCTCGGCCGTCCATCCTTCTCCCAGCCCTGGCACTCTCTAACGCAGACGTAACACGATCGCTGGCCACAACCCTGGCAGTCTGCAAATGAGTCGAGGTCTGATTTCTTGGTGGGGCGGCGATGGCAGATGTGGCAGGGGGCCAAGGATGAGGGCGTCTTGGGTCTGTTGCCAGCCGCGTCCGCTTGGTCTCGCGCCGCATGGGAGGTGGGGTGAGACTCTGTCGACGACCTGCTGCCCCGTCTTTGCTGCGGATCATGCTGTGGTGTAGGATCGCTATTCAAGCTACCCAGATCCACATGATCAATGTTGTCGTCGTGGAACACGCGCTGCCGTTTGGCTACAGGAAGTGGCGCTATCTTGCGAGGCAACGAGTCGAGGTTCTGGCGAGAGTCTTCGGGGACGATGGTGCTGGGGAAGCCATATTGGAACCTCATCAGGTCATTGTTACTGCTGGGGAAACGGGGGAAAATGCTTTGCTGTTGCTGCTGCTGTTGTTGAATCTGCTGCTGAATGGGCCTGCCTCCAAAAACGCCGTCAGCGTTCCAGTTGTTCGTCGCGGCCTGGTACTGGGCGAGCTTCTCGTGCAGGGGGCCTTGTAACTGCAATTCGTTGTTGGTGTTGGCGTCGTTGACGTCTCGTCTACGCTTCCTGCCGGACGCCATCAGCCGTGGATGCTCCTCGGCGATGGATGGCATTGGGCTCTGTTCGGTTCGGTTCGATTCGGGCTGGGGGGGTTGAGGATCGTCTGTAATGCTCGTGGACAGATGCAGAGGTTTTTCCTTGGTTGGAAGGAGGCAAGAAGCAAAGCGTTGGTGGTGGTTGGAGTCTTGCTCGGCGAGGTAATGTTCGCTGACAAGGTTCCTCCTAAGTTTCTCTAGTCGATAAGAAGAACCAAATGGAGAGGGGAAAATGGCGACGAAAAGAAAGCCGTTGAGGGTTTTCTTTTTATTCAAAGAGAGAGGAAGCGAGAGCACACAAGAAGAGGGAGGTCGTAATGACGAGCGTAAAACGATCCTTCCCACTCACTCTTCTTGAATCGGCAGCTCCTGCATAGAGGAGGGGAAAGGTGATTGCGGTGGTGGTGTTGCTACTGCAGTTAATTAGCTGCAGGCACATCCGTCCATGTGAGCAGGCTCTGGCCGGCAGGGAGGTGGCCAGGCTCGGCGCGGAGCTTTTGGGCCTGGCGGCAGTTGTCCAGTTGGGTGATAAGGTGGACACCGCCTGGCATGAGATCACAAACTGGTCAAGTCGGCTCGGGCTTTCTGTCAGCGCAGTCATCTCAGTGGGCTCAGCGCTTGATCCAACTGTTCGGAAAGCGCGCCGGCCGCTAGGAAATCGGTTATTCCCCTCCGTAAATTCCAGTCATTCCTGTCCTTTGAGGTTCAGGTTGCTGGAGGGAGCACCTTCAAGAGACCCACCAGATTCGTCCTCCCACCAATTGACAACCCCTGACTACCTTACCTGCCTATCCACTTAGGTGTCCCCGGCCTCTCCTCAAAGTTAGGTTGCTCAGAAACTGCTGGTCATCGACGACAAATGGCACTTAGAATGCCTGCAAAGTCACAGGACTTTGTAGCACAACAGGTAGGGGTCTAGGAAAACATGAGACGAAACATCGTTTCGACAATTCAATAAATTATGGATAACTTGAAAACAGGTATCTATTTGAATTGATCAGTGTCACTTTTTCGATTCATTTCACGACTGCATCTCAGCCGTTGATTCGCCGAAATGTTGTTGAAGACGTCGTTGTTCCCAGCTGCCCCTGGTTGCGAAGAGGATATGTTTGCCTGTACATGACTCCATACCGAAAGAGGTGCGTTTCCGTTGTTGGCTCGGAGCAGACTCACAGTCCTGCCTCGGACAAACTCGGCTTGTATTTTGTTGCATTGCACATGAATGAAAACATGAGCATACGAAACATTGCATTGTAATCTTGTCTTGTCATTATCAAGGAGTCAGGTATTGAAAAAGGACCATCTGATTTACACTCTATCGCTCCCCATATTGCTCCCAACGATGAATCTCGTCTCTGCCGCCTCCACTAACAAAGGAGCTGTTTTAGAGAGCCTAGTATAACATACACAGAGACAACCGAAATGTTGCCATGCTAGTTTAGTGGCGAACCTTGGTGTCCTTGGGAGGGTCGTAGGCGAGCTTTCTCGACTTGAGCCAGGCCCACTTGTACTTCTTGACCCAGACACTGAGGGCCCAGAGGGAGGCCGATACAACGAGAACCTTCATACCCATGCGCTTGCGATCGTCCATCTCGGGCTCAGCGGCCCAGTTGAGGAACTCGACAACGTCCTTGGCCATCTGCGAGGTGGAGGCGGGGGTGCCGTCCTCGTACTCGACGAGGTCCTCGTAAAGGACACGGGCCATGGCGATACCGGTACCGGGGAAGTAGGGGTTGAAGTTCATGCCGGGAGCGACGACGGCACCCGCGGGGGGCTCCTCGGGGTAACCGGTCAACAAGCTGAAGATGTAGTTGCAGCCACCGTGGCGGGCCTTGACGATCAAGCTCAGGTCGGGGGGGAGGGCACCGTTGTTGGCAAAACGGGCAGCCTCCTCGTTCTTGTAGGGGTCGGGCATGTAATCGGAAATCTTGCCGGGGCGCATCTCGATGTCGCCCTGCTCGTTGGGCTCACCGGGGTACTCGTTCTCCTCGGCCATGGCCTTGGCCTCGTCGACAGTCAAGACGGTACCGACGAGAGTTCGGTAGGGGACACGGCTGAGAGAGTGGCAAGAGGCGCAGACCTCACGGTAGACCTGGAAACCGCGGCGGAGACTGCATTTCAGTGTAAGCGTCATACATCCCGGATGGTCGGAAAAGTGGCGATGTGCTTACGCCTGGTGGTCGAAGGTCTTGAACCATTGCTCGTGAACCCAAGGGTAGTTGGTAGGGTGCAGACTGGAGATGATAATTTAGCTCAATGCTCGTTTGTTGTCGGTCGGCCCCGGTTTCATTGCCGATTATGCCTCAACCCCAGGGATTCGGCGGCATTCGAGCAATTGACACGCAGCGACCGTGAGCGGATATGCAAGACTCACCCCTCCTCAGCCGGTGCCGCAGCATTGGCGGAAGGTCCGTAGAGGTGGTAGTACCAGGCCATGGAGCCCAAGGCGAGAGACGTCGACGTGACGGCGGCGAGGTTCAGTCTAGAGGAAGCTTCGGCACCAGCGCCGCTGGATGTAGAGGCCGCACGCTGTATCAATCATTGTCAGCAATTTGCTCCGAGTTCAATGATGTCCGTCGATGACAATTGAGGCGGCTCGGGTGTGTTCGTTGGCGGTAGGTCGGATTGCCTCGGGACTTTCGACTCGTGATCAGCTCAGTGATTCTGCGTACCTTTGAAATCGTGACAGCGCCATTTGTGAATGTGCGCGCCGAGCGCAAGCAGGACCTTGCCAACATGATGGGCGAGCCGTATCCGCAGCTACAGAGACAGCCGCGAACAGAATGATGGGGCAATTGGTGGTTGGTCCTCTTGTGGCGGAGGTCGTTTCTATGGTACAGCAGTCGAGGCAGGAGAAAATCGCTTGAGGCAGTTTTCGAGTGCCTTAGGTATGGGACGTCTCTGATTGGCCGATGGGCACGGTCAATGACATCTTCCGTTCCGGCGACTTCTCGCTTCCTTCGTCTTACCCGTAGTTGCCCGGTTGCGCTCAATTGACCAGACGTATTTCCGATCGCCCGTATCACCCAACAGCTGGCGTCCGCCATCCCTCGGACTGAGAAATATAACCCCCATGATTGGCCTGACTTGGATGCAACTGCAACGATCTACTACATGCATCACAACACGACATTAGACGACAATTCGTGTTAATTCTACCAAAAAAGGAAAAGGAAAAAAATTCTCTCATCCATCTATAGACCGCGACAAAAATTCAAAAACACAGAAACAAAAAGAGAAGAACCAATTCGGAAAGCCTTGGCTGCATCACAGACTTCGAAAATGAGATGAACTTGCGGCAAACAGCTAGTAAGTTGGGTATCAGGTGGGTTTTATTCGACAAAACTACAAAACTTTTAAACCTTCGCCAAACCGAATGTACCTCCTGCAATCAATGGCAGGTATGCTATCGGTGTATGCATACTTTTTTTTTTAAAACCAAATGGACAGCCACGCCTTTCAGATGCGTACTGGATCGACTGCCTTTGCGAACATCAATCGACAATCAGCTACTTTGGTGTGGTCATTTCTGTTCAGGACTTCGCGAGGACCTCGCGGCGCTGCTTTACTGCGTCGGCCAACTGATCAAGGACAGATACGGTGTCGTCCCAGTGGATGCATGCGTCTGTGATGCTGACGCCGTACTTCAGGCCCTCCTTGCCCTCCTTCGGCACCTTTTGGTTGCCTGTCGAGAAATTAGCGTCTACTACTACATGCAAAACCTAGACAGGTACTCACCCTCATTGATGTTGCTCTCAATCATGACACCCATAATGCCAGTCTCGCCACCGGCAATCTGGCCGGCGAGGTCGGCAGCAACTTTGGGCTGGTTCTTGTGATTCTTCAAAGAGTTGCCATGGCTGCAATCGACCATTAGTCTTTGTGGAAGACCGGCCTTCTCCAGTGCAGCCTTCGCCTCTGCGATATTCTTGGCATCGTAGTTGGTGCCTCGAGTACCGCCTCTGAGAATCGTGAAGCAGTCCTCATTGCCCAGCGTACCGACAACGGCCACGACACCGGGTTTGGTAACAGAAAGGAAGTGGTGAGGATGCCTGACAGCGCCAATGGCATCAATCGAGACACCGAGCGAGCCGTCAGTGCCGTTCTTGAAGCCAACGGGGAAACTGAGACCACTTGCCAGCTCTCGGTGCAACTGGCTCTCGGTGGTCCTGGCGCCAACTGCGCCGACGGACAGCAGATCAGCAAGGAACTGGGGCGAGATGGTATCAAGCATCTCGCTGGCAATGGGCATGCCCTTGTCGGTGAGGTCAACGAAGAGTTGCCTGGAGAGGCGCAGGCCCTTGTTAATCTTGAAGCTGTTGTCGATATCCGGATCGTTGATGAGTCCCTTCCATCCAACTGTTGTGCGGGGCTTCTCAAGGTAGGAGCGCATCACGATGAGGAGCTCGTCCTTATGCTTCTCCTTTTCTTGCAACAACATATCGCAGTACTCGAGAGCAGCTTTGGGGTCGTGGATAGAGCATGGGCCGATGATGACCAGCAATCTTTCCTTCTTATCGGTGCCATTGACGATAGCGACGGATTCATCGCGACCCTCAATCACGGTTTGCTTCGACTTGGGTGTTTGGGCAATCTCGTGCTGGAGAAGATCGGGCGACGTCAGCGGGTTGTAGCCGCGAACTAACATGCCAATTAGCTTCGGATGGCCTCTGGGAAAGGATCGGTGCAGTGTTTACTTCTCCAATCTTCGCTCTCGGCCTTGTTGCCGACGTTCTTGTTCTCGATGAAGAAGCTCTGCGGTAGAGTGGTGAGTCAGAGGTGTATTCGCGCGCAATGGACCGGGGGTTTTGGTGAGAGACGACTTACAGACATGGTGGCAGCGAGGAAATTCAAAGGCAAGACGCAATTGGACGCAGAATGCTTAGTGAAGGGTGAACAAGTTTGCAAGCAACAAAAGTTGACGAGTGAAAATGTGCAATTGAAAGAGATAGACTTTTTTGGGAGTTGTCTCCTTCTGGATTTGTAGGCTGCGGTGTCCCAGGAGGGCAGCTTCGAGGACGGAATACCTTACATCAGAGCAAATGGGCGAAGACTCATTCGTCCCCTGCTCAGTGCCACCCCGGCCGGTACCTTAGTACCCCGCCGAAGACGGCCCAGAAAAAAGTTGAGCACCACATCAGCCAGGGCATCTCATGCAAGTTGCACCAAACTTGCCACCATCTCATTGACCAGTGACTGAGGTGCAGTGAGGGGTATCCTTGCCGCGCCTTTCTCGCTGAATTTGGCTGTGACGTACGTACCCCTGTGGACCTATCTACTATGTAGGTAGCTGGAGTCAGTGGCGCCACAAAATGGGTCTCACCGCCTGGAAAATGCCCGCAACAGCACCGAAGAACGGGCATTTGCAGACTGCAGTCAGTGTCAGTGCTACGTCGACTTGGGATGCCCTCAGCTGGCGACTCCCATCCAATCTGCTCCAACCTATCCGGGACGAACACTTGGAGCACATGGCACTTTAATTATAAAGACGCCCTGGTCTTATAAGTCATCTAACCACATCCAATCTACTCTTAGTACTCCAAAAATGCATTGGACATCACCGATGTCGCTTGGAACCCCAGATACTAGTCACACAATACGACAAGACATTACATCAAAGCCTAGATTGTCTTTTTCAGGGGCTTATAAGCCTCCTTTTCCATTTTCCCGTGGCCGTTGAAACGACCATAAACCCACTTCAAAAGACTCGTGCTTGCAGTCATCAGCACCGCCGAGAAGGTGAATAACCCCACACGCTGTACGGTGTTGAGAACGGCGAAAATAGGGTAAGGGTACCTGCAGCTAGTTAGCGGGCTAGAAACCTAGTCGAGGAGAGAGCATCATTCATACCATCCATTCCTGCTGAAGCACAGTTCAACCCAGCCCCAGTACAGGAAAGCAAAAATCATGCTAATTGCCATGGCCGAGTACGCGCGAATCGTCCATGGCGGGCTGAACAGGACGAGGTCGAGAGACAGGACGACAGCAGGGACCAGGTGGAATCCAACATCCGGTAGCCAGTGAAGCTCATACCCCTCAGGAATCAACAACCGCTTATCGATGGAGCGGATTCCCCAGTATAAGATGCTGATGAGCACCTCGAGCGGCGCTGCCGTGGTCGACAGAGCATTCTTCACAGCGAACAATGAAGGGCTTAGGGTGATGTCGGCCAGCAGTCCCGTCACAAACGTCACAAACGACAGGATCAGTCCGATGTTGGTGAGGTGCTGGTAATTCCCTCCGAAGCCCATGGAGATGTCATGAGTGAGTCCGTTCAGGAAGTTGAAGGATGCTAGGAACGAAACGATGCCGGTAACGTGCAGCAAGAGAGATGCTGTCCGGGAAGGCGATTGCAGCCGTTGCAGCTGATGTTTGGCCATCTTGTCTTGCCTTGACCTGAATTCTGACGAAGATGTCGTGTGTTCCGAAGTGGTGGTTTTGGTGTAGATTGATCTAAGAAGGGATGAGATGGCAGTTCAGCAATGAGACGAGCCCAAAGGAAAGGAATTGTTGAGGGATGGCGCGCAGGGAGAGGGATGCCCGAGGGGTTGGGTCGTCATTTGTCGTTGATGATTTGAGACGAAACTTTGTGAAGGAGGGGCAAGGAGCTTCTTTTTTCTCTATCCCCTTAAGAAAAAGCTTGCAGTCAACTAATCAGGGCGCTGAAATGATGCATCGTCAGGCTGACGACGGGACCGCGGCAACTTGTAATTATCCGGTGCCTTTGGAAGGCTTCGTCATGAGGTCACTGATGGATCCCGGCGGCGCGGTCCCCGTCCCTGATCGCACCCTACCAAGATGCACGCAGGCCCCCTAACCTGGAAGCCCCATCACAGCCCGCGGCATGTTTTGCCGGCCGCTAAAGTCAAACTAGGAACCCTCTGTGGGTCCAGCGCCAACAAGGCTACTTTACTTTGGCTGCCACTTCCCTGGTAAGTTGACCTGATTGGATCAATTGAGAGCTTCCTGCAAATCACCACAAGCTTCCTAGATTTCCATCTCAGCCTTACCACGCCTCTGGCAGACACACTCTCGGCCACCACACTCGCCGCAGCCGCAGCCGCCGCCATACTTTTGACCTTGATCATTGACAAGATGGCTGACGAGGACGCCAAGAACAACAAGCGAAGCCATGCGGACCTTGTCGCACAGGATGACGGTAAGCACACGCGACTCGGAACTCTGCTCTAGTGCTTCCCTCTGACCAAGGTTGGACTGACGGCGTGGGTAGACAGCTCCTCCGACGACGATATGGGCCCCCAGCTTCCCTCCCAAGCACCCAAGAAGAAGAAGCGCCGCGTTCTCCCATACGAAAAGCTGTACATCGCTGCGCTGCCCAAGTCGAGCCGGTATTCCAAATCTCTGATGCACAAGGAGCAGCTGTCTTTCGTGACAGTGACGCCTCTGACGGACTTTATCGTGACCTCATCAGTAGATGGTGTTGTCAAATTCTGGAAGAAGGTGGCCGAAGGCATAGAATTTGTCAAGGAGTTTAAGGCGCACGTTGACGAAATCAGGTCCGTCTCTGTCAGCCAAGACGGAAGAAGCTTCGCAACCGCTGGGTCAGACAAGACTGTCAAAATATTCGATGTCATCACGTTCGATCTCCTGGCGATGCTGAAGTTGAACTTTGTACCGAGTTGTCTTTGCTGGGTTCACAACCGAGGGGCTTCGCTGCCTCTACTTGCAGTCTCCGAAGAAACAAACTCCAACATCCACATTTTCGACGGAAGGGGAGAGAGGCAAGACCCGGTTCATACCATCAGGTCTCTGCACAGAAGCCCTGTATCGATCATGGCTTTCAACAGTGCCTATGACTGCGTGTTGTCTGCGGACGAGAAGGGCATGCTGGAGTATTGGCGACCGAGCGGTGACTACGAGAAGCCAGACAACGTGTTTGAGTTCAAGGCTTCCACAAATCTGTTCGACTTTAAAAAGGCAAAGTCAGTACCAACATCGATTACGGTTTCACCAACAGGCAAGCGGTTTGCGACTTTCTCCCAGCCAGACAGAAAAATCCGAATCTTCGACTTTGCCTCTGGAAAACTGTACCGCACATATGACGAATCTCTTCAGGTAATTGAGGATATGCAGCATGCTGGGTTGGCGCTGCAAAAGCTGGAATCCGTGGAATTCGGTCGCAGATTCGCCGTCGAGCGAGAGATTGACTCGGCTGCTTACAGAGACAAGGCAAACGTCATCTTCGACGAGTCTGGCAACTTCATTCTCTACGGCTCAATAGCCGGCATTAAAGTGCTAAACACCTACACTAATCAGATCATCAAGGTGTACGGCAAAGACGAAAACTTTAGAGCTGTCAACCTGGCGATATACCAAGGTCAACCGCAGAAGAAGGGCATTACTACAGTCGAGATGGGTGCTTCTGCCAATCCCCTGCTTCAGGAGTCCGAGTCCAGAGATCCCATCTTGATAACGACTGGAGTGAACAAGCAGCGGTTTTACATGTTTACCAATGACGAAGAAATCTCAAAGTCTGTGCGAGATGTCCAAAATGAGAAGCCTACTATGCTTGGCCACAAGAAGGCAGCAGAGGCCAAGAAGGCAGAGACTGGAACCGCCGCTGTAATCCACACCAACTATGGCGACATTCACATTCGTCTCTTCCCAGATGCGGCACCCAAGGCTGTCGAGAACTTCGTCACCCATTCAAAAAGCGGCTATTACAACAATACAATTTTTCACCGTGTTATCCGCAAGTTCATGATCCAAGGCGGAGATCCACTTGGTGACGGCACGGGTGGCGAGAGTATATGGGGAAAAGAATTCGCAGATGAATTCAGCAGTTTGAAGCACGACAAGCCGTACACAGTCAGCATGGCTAATGCAGGCCCGAACACCAATGGCAGCCAATTCTTTATCACAACGGAAAAGACGGTGAGTACAGTCTCTCAAGTGACCAGATGTAAAGCAGTCCTAACAGTTGCAAACAGCCTTGGCTGGACGGGAAGCATACAATTTTCGGGCGAGCAACCCAAGGGTTCGATGTTGTCCATAAGATCGAGAACGCGCGGACGTATAAGGAGAAGCCAGAGGAGGACATCAAGATTCTCAACATCGACATCATATAGCCCGTTCCGTCGAAAGACGCCAAGTAATGAAAGAGATGAGACCAAGCTACTCGAGACACCCCCACACAAGGGCACAAGTGAAATGGGACGGAAAAAGCAATTCGGGGATGCAGCATCCCCGCAAGCCTCGTCGCTGATACAGACAGGCTTCACGATGCAGCTGCAGATCGACTCGAGTCCACTCAAGTAAGTGAGGCTGTACTTTGTTCACGTGGACGCAAAAGGCCAGTATTGGGCCGCTTACGATCCCGCAATCGGCGGCGCTGCATCACCGCAACCCAATCTGGGCCCGATCTCGCCTGCCAGTCACCCCCGTACTTAAGGACGACGTTTGGGCGTAGCTCGTCTCCTGCGACGCGCGCAAGTCCGTTCTGCGAAGCGGGAAGGCCGACGTAGTTGCAACGCTCTCAACGTGCCTAGTCTACAACTCACCCTCGCCGTACATAGTGAAGACAGTGCGCTCAACCATTCCACAGATGGAGATTCCATAGACGCGGGCCCCCGGATTCCGTACCTGCGCTGCATGTTCGCGTAGCATGAACTAGCCAATCAGCCTGGTTCGACCCCGCCCCTTTCGGTTCGGCTCGTCCCTTTCTCGTTGCCAGGATTGAGGTTTCCGATCCAGCATGCCACGCCCAAAGAAGCCAGGGGCACCAGAGCCAAGGCGACGGAGCCGAAATGGCTGTTGGTGAGTTCACTATGCTCTGTAAAGACAGCTTATACAGCTTCCATTGATATCAGTCTTCTTACTGATTTCAACTGACTAACACGCCCGTAGGCCGTGCAAAGCTCGAAAGGTGAAATGTGGTGAAGAACACCCGACGTGTATTAAGTCCGTTTTATCTACAAACTAATGCCATGGCTTAGTAAAAGTTGTTTCAATGCGAGATTATGGTCAGTGCAGGGCTAACAACACATGAATAGTTGCCAACGAAGTGGCGAACCTTGCGATTACAGCGTACGACTGAACTGGGGCGGCCGTCGAACGAAGAGATCTCTTTCTCTAAGTACACTGACGGATACCACTCAGTCATCTGGAGAATCCCTTCAGTCACAACAATTGCCTTTCAATCATACGTTCGCTATCAACCCACCAAATCAGGGATCACAGCCGAAGCCTATGGCGAAACGCGTCCAGACCGCTCCTGTCAGTACCGAGACGGGGAAGAGAAAGCTTGAACAGCTAGAGACCCCGAACGAGTACTTAAGTCGATCTCAGAGTATTTCCACTCAAGCGACCCAGCAACAACATGGCAGTCCTCTTTCTCCGCCTCTTAGTATCACAAATCGTAATGCCCGAGGCTACTTGACGTCAAGTCTCTGTCGGATCGTTCCTGCAACCATAAACACTTCGCAGAGACTAGACAAGAGGTCGAATTCCTTAGTTCAGCCAAGCAACTCAGAAGTGTTCCGCCAGTACGGCCCTACATCTTCCCCAGTTTCTCTTATCGGGACCACTCCTCCCGCCTCTCTTCTTCGCCCTGATGCCATTTCAAAGCTAGTCGATCCCCCCTTGACACCCGTCTCGCTAGGGCTCAAATCTGACGATGAGACGAGATCACCAATTTTGAGTCTGCCCTCGCCAGCCTCCCCCGAGAATAGTCGACTATCCGTGGACTATCTGCTGACGAGTTCTCCTCGCCTTATCCATGGCGTGAACAAGGGAATGGTCCCCTCTTTTGACCCGCCACGATTCAACTCGGGGTCCAAGCAGGGGATGGCAGAAGAGGCCACATTCTATGGCTTCGATCTCGGTATTCCAGACGCTGACATTGCCCAGAATGATGACATGGGGGCCATATCCCAAACAGTGGCTTCTACAAGACATGTTGCGCGTACCCCTGTGTATACGTGTGGTGAACCATATCCCCAACACCCCGAACCCGGTCATAACGCCATGTCAGGGGTCGGGTACTACGGCCAGCCAATACCGATTTGGATACCACGAAACATTGGACCATTTCCTGCAAAGTGAGTCTCAACTAACTTGGACTGATTCAAGGCTAAATGCTAGAAGGCTTCGAGACAATCCCATGAATCTTCTTGTAAGTCAGAATTTGGATCTTCAGCTGCATCTTTTAATGAAACTGATGAATCCAACAAACAGTACTTTGTAAGCAGTCACGTCGTCTCCTTGCTTGCAGCCACGGAATAACGTTCAAACGGCAGCATCACTTTCTAAACCACACTGCGAAGGGTAAAGATTTCTAGAGATACTATTCTCAAGCCTGCTAACCCAGAAATAGTTCTCGTACCATATGACGACCCCAAATCCAACCCCTTTCGGACGATTTTGCCGCAAATGGCCGCTGGAAATGACCACCTGCTCAGCTTACTCCTAGCCTACTCGGGTAATTGGTCCCTCCGCGTATTGTTTCGCCCTGACCTGACGAGTTAGCCACAGCCGCCCACAGGTCAAGACTTCTCGGAAAGAAGGAGCCGCAGATGAGGATAGCACTCTGGGTGCAGGATATCTTCCCCGCCCTCCGGCATGCCCTCAACGATAGGGAGCAGATCATATCGAACACAAGCCTGGCCACCGCCATTATGCTCGCCTCGTTGGAAATTATCTCGCCCAGTGCGTTCGGGTACGATATACCATGGCAGCGGCACCTGAACCTGGCCCGGGACCTCATGTGGAGGCGGCTGGCCGACCTCCGCAGGATCGAGAACGGCCTACGGGAGGATGGCGCGTGTGCCTTTCTATGGAGTTGGTTCGCGTATTTAGATGTCCTGGGGAGCTTGAGCGGCGGGAGTCCCGACGAAGATTCATCGAGGTTCTGGTTCCTGGAGTACGCGGTACACAGCCCCGGCGACAGCCAGCATGAGATTGACTGCATCATGGGGTTCACCACGCGATGCGTCCAGATACTAGCCCAGATCGCGGAACTGGCGCGCCGCTGCGACGAGCAGCGGTTCGAGCTCAGCGGCCACCCACCACAGCTCGTCTGGTCTCCGAGCGCGGCTTGTCTCGAACGGGCTCAGCTGTTGGAGCAGGAGCTATTGTATAGCATGGCGCAGCCGTCACGACCGTGCAGACACATCAACCAGAGCCAGAGCGCCGAGGTTGAGGTCGAGGGATGGGACAACAGGGGCGAGGTTGTCCTCTTGAACGAGGCATTCCACTGGGCTGGGCTCGTGCACCTGCACAGGCGCGTCCTGGCCAAACCGCCGGATCACGAGGACGTCAAGGGGCCAGTAAGGAGGATCATTGCGTGTTTGGAGGGTATCAGGCCCGGCGGGTCGGCGGAGACGGGGTTTCTGTTTCCCATGTTCACGGCTGGCTGTAACGCGCTGGAGGGGGTCCAGAGGAGGAAGGTATTGGAGAGGTTTAGGAGCGTAGAGAGGAATGGGATGACGCAGGTACGTTGACTGTGTGTATCGTTGGCAAACTTGCTGGCGAAAAGCCATGAGTGGTGGTATTGAGCTGACTTGTTGTGAGAATAGGTACACAAGGCGAGAATGCTCATGGAAAATGTGTGGGTGACGGAGCAGCCGTGGGAGCCTTTTCTATGTACGGAATTTATTGGGTGATTTTTGGTCTCGTTTTGCGGATAGGGAAGAGACAGCAACCAGTATCGTTGTTTTCAGTGGAAAGGCATTTCTTTCTTGTCCACATATAAGGATGGCGTTAGATGGACATTCAAGGGCACATCAGAGAAGCATCGCATCGGTATCTGCATTTCATCTTAACGACGCTTACGAGACCTGATTAGAAATGGTGCTTTTACTTTGCGAGAAGGAAGCTCAGGCGGGATAAATATTAAGAGCCAGAAACAATACACGTGCTTGCCTTGATATCAAATTGCCTTTGAGGCGGAAGGATACCCTCCCCCCCAACAACAACAACAAGGACTTGCAAGATGAGAACTTTTGTTCGCATGTCTGGGGTTCAATGGGGAGGATGCCTGATGCTGTTAGTCTTCCTTCCCGGTTTTCCAGGCCAAGGGTGTCGGTGCCGAATCAAGAGACCATTTAACCAGACCGAGTAGTTTCTTTTTTCCCATCAAAAAGATTTTGAATCTAAATGGAACTCCTGGTCAGACGTTGTCTTGCTTTAATGGCAGCAACTTGCATGGCAAAAGCCACATCTTCACCGTCGCCGGCTTACATCGTTTAAACGTGTTATATTATTCCTCCATCACCATTTCCACAATAGTCAGAATATGTCCAAATGACTATAAAACTCTACCAGACGAGAAGGAAAGAGAATTCAAGAGTCTTACAATACATGGAAAAGTGAAAAACAAAGGAGGAAAAAAAGGGGAAAGAATTGTGCGTCAATCGCGGACGGGAATTGAGCCCGACGTGGCTGGTTCATGTTAGTTCAAATGTTCTTTGCGAGGTTGTTTTGGGTCACGGGCAATGGTGCTTACGGGTCGAACCCACAACCTTGAGATTAAGAGTCTCACGCTCTACCGATTGAGCTAGCCGGGCAGGCTTTTGAGGATTGGTGTATGTTGAGTACAGCGGAACGGTTGATACTGGGTTGGGATTTTGGTGGGTGGTGTTTGCGGATGGGATGGGGTCTCCGTCTCCGAGGGCATGGAGACCCTCCTAAACTGGGACCGTCGTCCCCGTCCCCTCCAGGTACTTGGGTTATTCAGTTGGCCATCCTCGGAGTAGCTTTTCACCACGACCTATAATCATGACTCGGGACAGAGGACTGGAGAAGCAAATGGCAGTCAAGCATGCAAGGAGCGAGAGAGAGTTTGCGCGCAAATTGTACAGTGTTTTGGGTTTAAATTACTGCTATGAACCAGCCAAAAATATGTCCCATCCCAAAAAAGTTCAACAAGGTCGAGTCTTTCCCTGTTCTTAATTCCTTTCCCAACGCCCAGAATGGTATATAAACTTGATTCCTGTCGATTTCGACAAAGAGAGGAAGAAATGGTTGGAGGAGGTGTTACGGTGAGATAAAAAAAAAAAGGCCAGCTCGGCTGAGTACAAAGAAAAAGGGATAAATAAAACTTGTTCCTTAGAAACACACTCTTGTTTTCGTTTCGACTTTCTTTCACTCGTCCTCATGATCATCACAGCGTCTTTCTTCAACCGCCCCCAGTTTATCTTGCTTGCCCAAAGGAGAACTGGTGTGGCGGCGGGCTCTTCACAGGCGCGTCGGCGTAGGCGCCGGGGATTGGCACGGCGTCGTAGACGGGCTCGTCCGCAGCCATGGGGGCGTGTTGCTGAGGCTGTCCCTGAGATGGCTGCTGCTGCTGCTGCTGCTGCTGGAAGGGGAATGCCGGGCCGGGTCCCTCGGGCGAAGTGGGCGTGTACGCCTCTTGTCCAGGCTTCGTTGCCGCGCGTGCCTTTGTCGGGGGCGCCTGGAGCTGGAAGGTGGGCTTGGGCTTGTTGAAGCTGGACTCGGGCTCGACGAAGCGTGTGCCCGGCGTGAAGGGGGAGGCCCCCGCCTCCTCGATGCGGGACAGGCTCTCGAACGTCTTGTCCGGGTGTCGGGGAGAAAGGGCGTACTGGGAGTAGAGGCCGGGTGACTTGAGACCAGGTGACTTGAGGCCGGGGGTGTTGGGTGCCGACTGGGTGCGGAGCTGGGCCAGGTAGAGGTCGGAGCGGGCGCGGTCGCGCATATCCATGGACTTGTGGAGGCGGCGCTTGGTGTAGTAGCGGTAGAAGATGATGCTGTAGAGCAGAACGCAGATGACGTCGATGACGATCTCGATTACCATACAGATGAGGGCCCAGTTCTGGAGGCGGCAGATGAGGGCGTAGTCGACCTTATCGCTAAAGACCTCAGCGCGCTTGTTCTCCTTGCATGACCAACCCCACATGTCCTTTCCGCCGCCGTTATTTCGGCTCGTCTGGAAGATGCCGGCGGCGATGGCCCACATGACCATGGAAATGATGAACCAGCCGATGGCAAAGAGAGTGTAGTAAGTTGAGACCTTTTCGGCACGTTGATGTCCGCCGCGGCAGTAGGCGAGTAGGACGCCAATACAGACAGCAAGGGAGATTGAAGACACTGTGTACGTTGTTAGATAAGGAAGAGACTGACAATGCCGTGAACCCGTTGACTTACTGGTGATAACAAGGACCTGGGGCCAGACGGCGGTTCCTTCAGCCCATGATGGCAGACCGCTCTGGGCAGGGAGGCGTTTTGTAGCGTTGAAGATCTGGAAAGAGGCGGCAATCATAGAGATGATGATCAGACTGCAGCTAAAGCTGACGCCACGAAGAGCGAACTTTGCCATGCGGACGCGGGTCTTGATTTTCTACACAGTGAGAGTTAGCTTTATGTGGGCTCTGCTAGACCAAGAGCATACATACCAAGTCGCGTGCTTGTTCCTTGTCGGTCGCCGCTTCACGCTTCTCCAAGATATCCTCCTCGCGGAAAGTCGGGCTGAGCGGGTTCTCGACAATCTTCCTTGCGGGTGTCCCGGGCACCCTCATGGCGCTCTTGAGCGGTGATCTTGGAGTCATGGGGACGGCGACGGACTCGCGGTTGCCGCCGCTGTTGTTGATGTACCCGAACCCGATATCCCCGGGTTGGGACTGAGGCACTTCAGACCTCACAGGGTCGGCGAACGGTGACCGTACGCCGTCGACGGGAGAGTGAACTGATGTGGCCTCTGCGAAGCGAGGAGTGCGAGGGGGCTTGAGTGATGAGTCTGAGGAGGACGAATCTGTGGATGCTGATCTAGCCGGGGCGAGGTTGAGAGCGGCAGGCCGCCTTCTGTCTTCTGGCAAAAGTTGTTAGCATACAGTGTTGAATGACATTACTAGGCTCGGGTAAAAACACACCTTGGAAAGCCATGGCTATGCTTTGTAACTGTGTTCCGGACAACGAAAGGTGGCAGCAAGAGAAGAGTGTCTAGTATATAGGAAAGGCACTCTTAGACTTGGGGTCGCAGACAGGAAGACCGACTCCGGGACATGCAACAGATTTCGGTGATCAAAGCAAGAATGAAGCAGGATAGGAATCAGATTTCGGAGAGACCAGCTGTCGGAAGGGAGAACAAGAGGTCCTACGACTCGGTCACTCGGGGGAGCAGGCAGTTTTGAATTGGCGCCGGCAACAGATGAGGGACCCCAAGGCAGAGGCCCTCTCACTGCATTACTGCATGGGGGCGGGCAGATCAGCAAGGTGTAAGTGGGACGAAACGGAATGGGAGAATTCCTACATGTAGCGTGGGAGGGTAGGATGGCGCGAAGGTGAGCAGGGCTCTGATAGGTGAGAGGCCGAGGTTCCAGGCCGGCGATTCGGCCGTGATGGAAATAGACGCCCACGAGAGTGGACGGGGTGGCGCCGAGCTTTGGTTGGCTCTGTGCTTCGACAGTCTGTCCTTCAAAGTCGCCTGTTCCTAGCTTGCGGATCACTGATCCGAGCGGAGACTTGTGATAGTGAGTTTCTTGTTGTATGAGACGGCGGTTACTGGATATATCGGGAAATGATCAAGTATGATGAATGGCAGAGACGGATTTCGTATTCAAGAGCGAAGATGGAGGAGGGCGGAGGAGACAAAGATACTGCGAGGAGAAGATTTGTCAAGCCAAGAGTTGCGCGCATTTCTCAACACCCAGACAAATATAAAATATTGAAAGCAACCCCAAATAGGCATCCTGAGAGAGGGGAGGAGAGGGAGATAGATAGATAGAGATGGAGAGAGAGAGAGAGACAAGGACTCGGAGCTTACACACTCGTTCATCCCCCGGAGTGACCAGGCCGCCTCCTCAATATGCCGGCCTTCCCAGCTTACAGACGGAATACCTCCCTCTCTGCTGACCCTCCTCACCTCGACAAAGGCTCACGGAGCTTGGCGGCATCTGTCGTAGCATCCGCATGGTTGGACGATGCACATAAGGTCCGTGATTGGACATGGCTGTCCAAACTGAGAGGAGGCAGGTGAAGTAGCAACGGGAGGACAAAGATGTGGTTGGACGGAAGTTTTGAAAGAGGAGAGGCTTGCGGCCACCCTTGCTCATGGTCCTGATCAACCACCGGCGCCAAATCCTCTCAAATCGACATTCGAACCCTTGCTGCCGCCCGCCTTCCCTGTCGGACAACTGCAGGTGTGATAGGCTCAGGAGGTGCAGCCGCCTCCGGATGCCGCATGCTTGCACGTTGGCGCAACGGCTTGCGACCAATCAACGGTCAAAAGTGCGTGATAGACGTACAGCCATATGCAGACTGGGCGGTAAGCAGAAGTTGGGGGAGGAGTGGGTGAATGGGCAAACACAAGGGCTCCTTGGGGTTGGAGGTGGCATGGCGTGGCCCTGCCATTTTTTGGTGTAAGCATTTTTTGCTCAAGTCACCCCAGTCTTTTAGTTGTTGGTTTCTTTCCTTTCTTTCTTGCGCCTGACACTGACAGGGAGTCGGACCATGAGCTTGATTTTTGACTTCTGTCTGGCGTGGTCAACGACTGCGGGCGCTAATGAATTCCAGGTGGGTCTTTGAACTGCCTAGGTAGTGTCTTTGCTCGCTCTTGATTTATCGTGAGGGTGATTCAGATGTCGAGTGATGGAGCAGGCAGGCTCGGCTGTACGTTGCTCGTTTTGTGATCAAGGTGTAGTAACACTGTTCGACCCCCCTTCGCTGTCACCGGGTCCAAAATCTCACGTTGGCCATGTTCAGTTGAGCAACCGAGAACCGCATGAGTGGCTCGTAGATCCGTAAGCTTGACGGGAACACTGGGACACAAGCAGGATGTGAGCTTGCTAAGCCTGGTTGTGCAATTGAGAGAGGGACTGCCGTGGGATTTGAGATGCGGCGGCCAAGCAGAAGCAAAGCTGGGTTAGGGTGCTTTCATCTTGATGACCATCTTGTTGAGTTCCATTTTAAGAGAGCTGTAAGCTCCGTCAGCGATCGTCCTTTTTGTGCAGGTGGATAGTGTAAATGGTGAAAATGGTGTAAGAACTTGACGGATAATTAGGGAACATCAAACTAAGGCATGGCCCGTGTGCCGTTGCTTCCCTCTGCTCGTCTGAATCAAGCGAGAGTCGAGTTTGTTATCCGTCCTGCCATCTTTTTAACCCTCCATCACAGAGTCACAGATTACAGTCCAGATTAACCCGCAGTCAGAGGCCTATTTTTAGGTGGTGTAGCCAATCAGCCCAGCAGTGGCAACGAGGTGGGTTACCTTCCCTTACTCTGCCCAGCCTATTTTTACCCAACTTCGATGAGCAAGCCGTGACTTGGTGAATATGACCGCCGGCCGGGCATTTCAATCCTTTGCGGCTACGGTAAGCCATATGGCGGATCTTGAGTCCCGGATGACGGTGTGCGGGATGGTATCGGTACTATTAGTATGGCCGACTACATAGAACTCTTCGAGAAGTTGCCTTGCTCAACATAAGATAGTCCGGCTCAATGATCTGGAAATACTAGAATGGGCACGACATTGAAAGCTTCCTTTTCTAAAAGTGCTTCATCTCAGCCGATAGTTCTAATGTCCGTTCCCGGTAGCAACAACATGATCCATTTCTCTATGAATCGTCCTAAGTGATGGCCAGTAGACTAACTGTCTCTGTCATGTGATCTTGCGAACCTCTCAAGACAGACAACTACCTCCGCGACTCACTTTGCGTCAAGTCTCCAATTCTCAACATGACAAGAAACCTTGAAGCACGATCGAAATTTGGGACAACATTTGTAATAGCCCTCTATTGACTCTGCAAGCACCAGTCTGTCAGTTGCAGTAACGCATTGGGAAATCTAATTTGGTATACCTTGGTAGGCTAAATAGGTATACCAAATTCATAATTTGATGCGATTGAGAGCCAATTATTTTGGGTTGGTTAGAGAATTGATTCAAGAAGGCATGTTTGTATGTCACAGGGCCGTGAAGCTGTGTACTTAGTTGAGTGATGCCGTCGCCAGAGTCGTTCTCCGACACAATCCTAGACAATCCTAGGAAGGTATCCGTAGCTAACTTACCTTAGGTAAGGTAAGGTAAGGTACCTTTGCCTTACTCTCTGCAACTCACAGGGCAGTCACCGTGGCAGGGTTTAGCGGGCAAAAGGTTCGGCGGGGCACTTATCAGCTTATCAGTCCAGAAGGGGTTAGCGTCAACTTTGACCACAGAATTCGAATCGACCCTCAGCGAGGTAAATTCCAGGTTGTTACTCATCGGAAGCAAATTTCGCGGATCAACTTCGACGTCACGAAACCCACGAACTGAGGCCCCATCCTCCTCTCCGGTACCGTCGAATACCTGCACCTAATTACCTACTCAGTCGTCAGGCGATCTAACCTCGAAAAAGAGTCCGACGCCCCTAGACCGGTCACAAGTCATCGTAGACGAATTTACCCCGCCATCCACCCAACCCGTTGCGACAATGTCTGCCAACGGCGATAACAAGTACGACGACATCGAGTCGGAGTCCGACTCTGGCGACTCCGTGGAGGAGCAAACCGAGCTCAACGAGGAGAAGACCCTCAAGCCGGCCCTCAAGAAGTCGTCCAACCCTGTCACCGCCGACACCACAGTCCAGCGCCCTGTTCTGCCCCCGCAAACCGATCCCAAGGACCTCGACGTCAAGACCCTCACCCCCCTCACCCCCGAGATTATTGCTCGTCAAGCAACAATCAACATCGGCACCATCGGCCATGTCGCCCACGGAAAGTCCACCGTCGTCAAGGCTATCTCCGGCGTCCAGACCGTTCGTTTCAAGAACGAGCTGATCCGTAACATCACCATCAAGCTTGGTTACGCCAACGCAAAGATCTACCAGTGCGACAACCAGGAGTGCCCTCGGCCGGGATGCTTCAGGAGTTACAAGAGTGAGAAGGAGGTCGACCCGCCTTGCGAGCGTGAGGGCTGCAGCGGCACCTACAGACTATTGCGCCACGTTTCGTGAGTAGCTGAAGCTCAGAGAGAGCTTGTCCCGGAACCGTGAACCGCAAGGCTAACACACAACTCCACTTAGCTTCGTCGACTGCCCCGGTCACGACATTCTCATGAGCACCATGTTGTCAGGTGCCGCCGTCATGGACGCCGCCCTGCTGCTTATCGCCGGCAACGAAACCTGCCCCCAACCCCAGACCTCTGAGCACTTGGCTGCCATTGAGATTATGAAGCTGGATAAGATCATTATCTTGCAGAACAAGGTCGATCTTATGCGCGAGGAGGCCGCCCAGCAACACTACCAGTCCATCCTGAAGTTCATCAGAGGTACCGTTGCCGGAAAGTCTCCCGTCATCCCCATCTCTGCTCAGCTTAAGTTCAACATCGATGCCGTCAACGAGGCTATCGTCAACACCATCCCCGTACCCCCTCGTGACTTCACCCAGGACCCCCACATGATCGTCATTCGATCCTTCGACGTCAACAAGCCCGGTGCCGAGATTGACGACCTCAAGGGAGGTGTCGCCGGTGGCTCCATTCTGCACGGTGTCCTCAAGCTCGGCGACGAGATCGAGATCCGTCCCGGTATCGTCACGAGAGACGACAAGGGCGCCCTCAAGTGCACCCCCATCTTCAGCAGAATCGTTTCCCTCAACTCCGAGTTCAACGATCTCAAGTACGCCGTTCCCGGCGGCCTCATCGGTGTCGGCACCCGCATCGACCCTACCCTCTGCAGAGCCGATCGTCTCGTCGGTTTCGTCCTGGGTCTCAAGGGCCGCCTGCCCGAGATCTACAGCGAAATCGAAGTCAACTTCTACCTCCTGCGTCGTCTCCTGGGTGTCCGGACCGCCGACGGCAAGCAGGCCAAGGTCGCCAAGCTCACCAAGAACGAGGTCATCATGGTCAACATTGGTTCCACGTCCACCGGTGCCAAGGTTGCCGCCATCAAGAACGATGCCGCCAAGCTTGTTCTCACCTCCCCTGCCTGCACGAACATTGGCGAGAAGGTCGCTCTGTCCCGTCGTATTGAGAAGCATTGGCGTCTGATTGGTTGGGCCACCATCGCTGCGTAAGTTTACCTTCCTCTTCTAAATATGTAATTGAGTTGCAATAAGCTAACGTTTCTACAGCGGTGTCACTCTCGAGCCCAGCTCGTCTTAAATCGACGACTGTCCATACAAATCAAAAAAACAAAGTCTCAAAAGCCCATTCTTCAGCATCACAGGAGTCTAAAAAGAATCAGTCAGTCTGGTAGAGCCGAACGGGGAGTCGGGAGAAGAGGCGCGGATCCAGCAATTTTTGAGTACCAGGCGGGTAATGAATGCACATGACGAGGTTACCAACCACCGCGTAAATTCCAATGGCCACAGGAGACAGAGAGAGAGAGAGAGAGAGAGACTAGGAATTCGCGAGATTCAAGGGTCCATTTGGCGGCAGAGATTCGCAGGGAAAAGAAAAACACGCACAACGAAAGCTAGACGGTGTATGCTGGTAGATAGGCCTGGACAATGAATGAGCCCCTTCTTTTCTATTATTTATTTCCTGACCTTGCGTGCGTGCTTGACCAGGTTTTCTATCACGCCTTCAAAGGCCTCTCTGTCGCCTATCTTTTCGTCTGTCTTCTTGGTCCAGTACTCGAGCACCTCCTTAGCCGTGCCCTCCATCGCCTTCAGTCTGTCTACGTGCGCCTTGAGCTCCTCGTCTGTCATGCCGTTCAGGGCCTCGTCCGTCGTCGTGCAGAGCTGCTTGGCCGATACGAGATCCAAGTCCGGCACCGGCGGCGGTCCCTTCTTCTTGGAGGACGCAGTCGGCTTCCCTTTTGAGTCGATAGAGGTCGACGAGGCGTTGGCCTCGGCCCGCAGCCGCGAAACGGACCGAGAATCTGATGATGTCCGCGGTGAGCCGGAGGGCACTTGTAATGAAGGCAGCACAAGCTTCTTCTGCTTGGAGGCTGGGAGAATTTCGTCCAGATCAACCGGCACGCCTAGAGAGACCAGGAAGAGACGGCGGATTCGTGAGCGGATCCAATCTGGCGGAGCCAGGGGTGGGGGCGCGACCAGCTGTGACCACAAAGACGCACTGCGTGGTGTGAGGAAGATGGGATTTTCTTTCGTCAACGGCGGCGGGGAGTCGACGTCCAGGCTTTCTGGTGGAAAGAGGGTGTTAAGGTATGGGTCGACAGCTTGAAGAACGTCTTCGCCGTCTAAGCCGTCGAAATCTGGTATGGCCTGGATCGATGTATTAGAACAGCCTAATCAGCTTCTGGAAGTGTAAGGTACTTACGAAAGGCAGTGATGGTACTTGTGGTAAGCTCGGCGCGGGAGTTGGCACGGGAGCTTGGAACTCGGGTTCTTGGAAGCCTTCTTCAAAATCGTCAAAGTCGCCGTCGGCTTCTGCACCATCCTCAAAGTCGTCGAAATCGTCACCAAAGTCATCTTCATCCTCATCACCACCTTCAGCGCCATCGACGTCATCGTCATCGTTATCTGCTGCATCGGGAGGCGGCGCGAGACCGGCGCTGGACGGAACAGATGAGAGAGCTGTCTTGGAGGGCTTCCGCTTCATGCGAGGCGAACTTGGTGGTGATAGCGCAGTTGATACAGGGGGAAGATCTACGAAAAATGACGCCAGGTCAACAACAAAATGCTCTTTGAATTTCAGGGATCTCTACATCGTACCGGAACTGCCACCCTTCTCAGTCTCGCCGTCTGGCTTGACAACCAAGTCGGCTGCGGCATCTGCCTGGCGCTTCTCCAAGAACTCCTCTGAGTGCAGCCCTGATGAGCCCGGGGCCTCCACGACGACAGTCTTAGGGATGACTGGCGACTTTGGCGCACCGTCTGCGGTAGAAGAGGCCTCGCTGCTGCTCTTTTCCTGGATAGCAATTTCATCCGGCTCAGCATCACCCTCCCTCAAGCGGTACGCTTCTGTTCCAGGAACCTCGCCGTACGAAGGCTCGTCGTCAACTTTCTCTACGCGGGTTTTGGGAATCGGCGACGTTCCGGGACTGAGGGGGGCAGATTGCGCATCGGAGAAGTGGTCTTCTGAGTCGGAGGCGTTGGCTGCAGATTGTCAGACAAATGGCTGCACGATCATCAAGGGAGACATTGACAAGGGGGCCTTACCCAGATCGTGTGCGCCGGGGTCGCTAGTTCCAGACCGTCTCGGTGGTGAAAGGGCCTCTTCGTCTGACATGATGCTGTTGGGAGCCCAATTGAGAGCTGTAGGAATAATAGGGTAATGTTTCTTGAGGCTACGACCAGCTGAAGCAGCTTAGGGAGTTATCGATGGTGGGAGGGAATAGGAGTGGGCAGTGGTGGAGGGGGTGCCTGTCGATTAGCGGATACGTAATTGTGTGGGCCGAGTAATAGCAAGAAAGATATCCCCAACTCGATGTTTTGGAGTAGCAGTAATTTCTAATGATTAAGTTGAGGCAAGACTGGCCGGTACAAAGACGACCGGGAAAAGCGACTTTTCAGGCTCTTGGGCTGAGTGGCACAAGAAGCAGGCTCGCAGACAGCAACAAGCACCTCTGCAGCTCCTACCTACTATTGTAGACTCGCCCGCCAAGCATCACGTGGGGCACACCCCGGTTATTTCCGCGCTAGCACTTGATAGGCAACCTGTCCCTGGTCTTGGACAGGTGCAGCGCGCCAGTCGCGTGGAGGCAGGCCTCAGAGGCTGGAGCATCACAAAAAAAAAAGCTGCCAACCATCAACACCACCTGCAGCTTCCCCCGACAATCGATAGCAACACACGTCGCGACGAGTCAGCGCAATCCTCCAGACAAATTCGATTGCTTCATCGACGACGAACAGAGATTTAGGGGTCGATTCGCACCTCAATGCGACGGCACTGAACTGCACGACATACGACTTCTCGGACACCAGCTTGTTGCAGCTCGCACATAGCTTCCGAGACTCCGCCAGGCTTCATCTCGACAGACCCCGATCGAAATACGGACCTTCGACACAATGTCCTTTAGCTTCGGTAACACATCTACGCCGACGTCGAACAGCGGCTCGACACCGGGGACCTCTGCGCCCGCATCTGGAGGTCTCTTCGGCGGCGGCGCTACCTCCAGCGGCACTCCCAGCTTTTCTTTCGGTAACCTAGGATCTGGAGGAGCAGCAGCTGGATCGAGCACCAGCACACCGGCTTCGGGTGGAGGGCTGTTTGGACAGAACACTGCACAGAAACCAGCCGGCGGCCTCTTTGGCGGTGGTACACCGGCCGCTTCTGCGGGAACACCTGGATCGGCTGGTGGTCTCTTTGGAGCCAATCCTGCTGCCGCTGCGTCTTCGACTCCCGCCTCTGGTGGTCTATTTGGAGGGGGCGCCGCTGCCTCTACGCCTAGCACATCCGCGCCCGCTTCTGGAGGTCTCTTTGGTGGCGCCGCCGCTGCCGCCTCGACCGGCACGCCTGCCGCATCGTCAGGAGGCCTTTTCGGAGGAAATACGGCGTCAAAGCCGGCGTCTGGAGGTCTTTTCGGCGGCGGAAGCACCGCAAGCCCTGCTCCTGCCGGAGGCTTGTTCGGTCAGAATGCTACTGCAAGCTCGTCAACCACACCCGCTCCTGCTGTAGGTGGAGGCTTGTTTGGCAACAAGGCCGCCTCAAGCACACCCGCTGCCGGTGCTCCAGCAACCCAGGCCACTCCCGCGAAGCCTATGTTCTCTCTAGGAGGATCAACGACACCAGCCGGAGCTCCGCCAGCGGACAAGAAACCGGCTACAGGGGGCCTGTTCGGCGGTGCCGCGGTGTCTGGATCCGCTGCTCCGTCTCCCTTCGGTGCCGCGGCCGGGTCCGCACAGCCCACGGCTGCCTCCACAGCCCAACCTGCCGCCAGCGGTGGCTTTTTCGGTGGTGCGGCTCAGTCGAAGGTCGCATCCACGGCGCAGCCGGCTGGTTCTGGTGGTCTTTTCGGCGGACAGGCGCAACAGCAACCGGCAGCCGCCGGTGGTCTCTTTGGAGGCCAGAAACCGGCCAGCGCTGCCGCTCCTATCTCTGGTGGTCTCTTTGGTCAAGCTGCTGCCACCACTACCTCAGCACAGCCGGCTGCAACTCCCGCTGCAGCTCCCGCCGCTGGTGGTGCGTCGTCACTCTTTGGCGGCGCGAAGCCTGCCACTCCCACCACCTCAACACCAGCTGCGGCATCTGCGGGCGGCTTGTTTGGCGGCAACACATCTTCGACGCCGGCCCCTGCGACGACACAGGCCGGCTCAAGTGCAGGAGGTCTCTTTGGCGGCGCAAAGCCTGCTGCGCCTTCAGCCTCTACTCCTACGACCACAGCGGCACCGTCATCACTGTTTGGCGGTGCGGCTGCTGCAACACCGGCGAGCAAGCCTGCGAGCGGAGGACTTTTTGGAAACACTCCTGCCGCTGGCGCCTCTCAGTCAGCATCTACCCCGGCGGCGACAGCGACAGCGACCACCGCCGCTACAGCAGCTGCGGTGCCCAGCACGACTGCATCGGTTGGTGGTCTATTTGGGGCCAAGGCATCTACACCGGCTGCTGGAACAGCAGCTCAGAACAGCACCACGCCTGCCACCACATCTGCCGCAACCGGCAATTCAAATACCCTCGCTGCCTCCACCACAGGCCCTACATCCCAGCTTCCTCGCCTGAAGAACAAGTCCATGGATGACATCATCACACGATGGGCCTCAGACTTGTCCAAGTACCAAAAGGATTTCAAACATTACGCCAACCAGGTCGCCGACTGGGACCTGGGCCTGGTCGACAACGGCGAGAAGATTCAGAAGCTCTACCTCAACACTTTCGAGGCCGAGAAGGCGAGTCACGAAATTGAGCGTCAGCTCCAAGCTGTCGAGAGCCAGCAGGACGAGCTCGAGGACTGGCTGAATCGCTACGAGTCCGATGTCAAGGAGATGTTCTCGCGCCAGATGGGACAGGGCGAGACCCTGGCTGGACCCGACCAAGAGCGCGAGCGGACGTACAAGCTCGCCGAGAAGCTCACGCAGAATCTCGACGAGAAGAGCAGGGACCTGTCAAAGATGGTCAAGGAAATCAATGACATCTCTGGTACTCTCAGCAAGGGCACGAAGCCTGAGGATCCCGTAAGTGATGTTGATTCAGCCGAAGTTGTACCTGCAAGGTTTGCTAACGTACCTCGGCCCGCAGTTGAGTCAGATTGTCCGCGTTCTCAACGGGCACCTCGGCCAGCTCCAGTGGATCGACTCCAACGCTGCGTCTCTGCAGGCCAAGGTCTCGTCCGCGCAGAAGGCGAACAACAACCTCGGCAACCAATACGGAGGGCCGGAGAACGACGCCGCAGAGAGCTTTTACCGATCTTACATGGGCCGGCGTTGATTAGGATTTGGGGAGAGCATGGGGCAACAAGTTCCTGGAGAGTTTGTGTGTTTTGGTAGCATAAGTTACGAGAGATCGGGTTGGGAATCGACATGAAGACTTTGGGAATGTGAGGTCATTAATCGCTCAAGCTGAGGTAGACTTTCGAACAAAATGGGGTCGCTTCGCTATCGAGTTGGATGGTTTCGGCACCGCAGAGAGTGCATTACCACAATTACGTTGTACAACAACCCAGACTTTATGGGTGAATACCAGGTGTTATTTTGGTTTTACATGAGAAAACTTTGAAGTCCGACATTTACTCGCGTTGCTGCGGGTTGTTGCTGCACCCCGGCTTCTGCGGATCTCAGTCTTCTTGCCTTTCAGATTTGGTATATCGTCTGGATTCCCCAGCCCCGCCCTCCATTGGTATTATCGCCTGGAAATTTTCTGAAACGCGGGAGTGCATTCTTTTCCTTAGTTGTGCTCGCCACCCTGGTTCTTGGTGATCTCGTCACTGTTTGAGGTTGAATTAGCAAAGGCTGAAAAGAGCGCAGGAAGTGAAAAGACGGAATCAAAAAGTAGAGGGTGCAATGGAATTGGGTGAACAGGGCGCGCGGGTGGGAAAGGTCGACGAACATGTGATCAGACAGCTGCTGGAGGTGGGCCTGCTGCTCGCTGAGCTTCTTCTTGAGTTCGAGGAGCTTCTCCTTCTCGCGCTGGCGGATGGCGTAGTCCTCGCTGGCCTTTTCGCGCTTCTGGAAGGCATCACTTCATTTCTTGTCAGCTTATTATTGATCTCGTCGTTGCTGAGTGCAGCTTTTCCAATACCATGCGCACTGGGCCTAGAACGACTGGTTGCGTGGAAAGAGAGAGACTTACCCGCCTCCGTACTTGGAGGGAGCTCCAGTGTCGCCCTCGCTCATGGTGCGAGCAGTGGTGCTGAAGCAAGCTCTCGAGGCAAGAGTCAGGGGTCGGGCCGCGGCCTTGGTAGCAGCGATGCGCATCATTTTGAAAAGATTGGTAGAGGGTCTCGAAGAGGTAACGCAGGATCAATTGGAGGTTTTTGTTTTTGTTGTGAAGCAAGTTGGCCGATGACGATGGTGCAAGTTGGACGGGTTTTGTGATAGGTTGGATTGTGGGGATTAGGTGGTGGTAGGTGCTGGATGATGCCTGGAATAGCTCCTGCTGGGGAAGGGAATGCTCCTCGAGAGCTCATTGGACAAAGGGGGGATGATCTGATCCTTTCACACTAGACTTTCGGAGGAGGGAGCTTTTGCTTACTCCGGTCGCCCTTCTTCACCCGAGTATGGGGGTACGGGAATGTGATACGTCATACCCGGCGTGAGCGAGGTATATCATTAACATCGACGGCCGGCATTTCTCGGCTTCGATGGGTTATCAACTAAACGGTACAACGGGTTTGTTTTTCCTCAGGAGACTGGGCGGCGGTCACCTGCTTGCGGCCAACCAAAGCTGGTTCAGGGTCATGTTCGCGATGTTGACGATTCGAAGAAGGCGATGTAATTCCCTACATACCGTGGAACAGGTACGGAGCCTCCACATAATTCCGTGCCGATCGACACGCGATACCATGCTTCCAGACCTAAGTCATCGTTGAATATGATCGATGCCATTTTGGGGATTGAACTGCGAAAGCTGGTCTGCTTCTGTGAAGAGTCGCACTGCTGCGTACGGTGCTCTTCCTGGTGATACCGAGGCGTTGCCCCGAGAAGACTCGTGCATAAGATGGGACTCGCATATCTCCATCCCGATGATTCTCGTAGTCCACTGTGGGTTGCATTCCCCAGGCAAGCCCGTAGCCTTATCCGCGCATTCTCGTTATCTCCGGCAAGGCTGAATCTCTGTTCCAACTAGGATGGTCCCCGGGCCCTCGGGCTGGGAGAGAGATTCGGGAGATCTGTCGCTTCAGAGGCGACCGATGGGGTGCCGGTGGTGTGTAGTCATTGTGGTGCGACGTCTCTCGCCTTTGTCTCGCAGCCCCAGGTACCTTTTCAGTGGAGAGGAGACGTCTGGCTCTGCAAAGTATGCCGGGTATGTAAGTGCTGCCTTGGCCGAACTTGAGTTGGCTTCAGGTTCCTAGCGACGGCAAAGGAAAGGACGGTTTCTTCCTCCCTAACTCTCCTGCCTTCCCCTCAGCCTAGACAGGCAACGGCAGCCGAGGAAACAACCATTCTTAGTTCAAGGGGTCCTGGCTACGAACAGCAGTATGCAACCTACCTTGACGTGAGGTAAGGTGCCTTGCTTTACCTCAGGTTAGGCAGGACAATGTGACCAAAGAACAAATAAGTGCCTGAACTCAAAGGATGAATGGAGCACGGTGGCCGCTCGGCAATTGCATGAAAAGAAGAGACGAAATGGGATGAGAAGACGGGAGGAGGGGTCTGGCTTCGCATCATCTTGCAGGCTGTGTGATTTGGAGCAATTAGGTATACCAAGTAGACAGAAACTCTGAACCTGACAGCTGAGTTTGGCGATGACAGGCGAAGCAACGACGCGCAGAGTGACGTGATATCAGCATAGCAAGGTCGAAGCTGGATAGGTGAGGTCAACAGCATCGATCTGGGAGTCGTCCTCACTGATGCCTTGGATTGGTGTCAGGATTTCCCGTGGCGTGGCATACGAGTGAATGCCTTTAGGTTGGCCGTACCCGAACCTGGATTCAAGGCCTTCCGCGAAAGCAACAAGTCATCCGTACGGATAGACCACACTGAAATACCTTGGGGAAAGAGCACGGCGCCGGGAGCTGGACCTAGAGAAATAGGCGGAAAGAGGCATGGGAAGTATCTCTGCGTACCCCCCACTTTCTGTCACAGAGTCAGGTTGGTAGGAGAAGGCACGGGAGGCATTGAGGATAGCGTGGATGGTACGTTTGGAAAGACTTCGGGGGCTCTCGAGGGGTATCTCTCAGCCGCGGAGCACAGCCGCAATACTTGACGCTACCCCAGGAAGATTCACGTGAGCCGGTGATTCCAGGGCTAGCGCGCAGCAGAGGGGATTGGTTGAGACGCCTCTCGAAGGTGACTGGCCAGAGCATGGCTCACCAGCCCAGTGTGTCCCTGCCAGTCAAGTCGGATCCCGTCAAGTCCAGTCGGTGCGGCAGCCCCCTCTACGGCCCCCCCCAGTCAGTCGCCTTGCCTTGTCTTGCCTGGGCCACCTCACGTATGGTGCAGCCCAGAGCCCCTTCCTCAATTTCACTCCATCACCTTTTCGTCTCATCCATTTCTCAACTTCACAAAACTCTCGCACTACCTTTGCAAAACCGCCCACACCCGCCTCTATTTACCTTTCGTCACGCTCCCTTCCCTCGCTCCGATCCAACTCAAGTCTCGACACGGGAATCCTCCATTGACAAGTTATCCATCGTTCCACTTGAACATCCCCGCCAACCTCAAAACATCGCACCAAGGTACGTGGTCCCCTCCCCCAATCCCCCCGTGCCCCCTCTGTCGTCATCGCATCCCTCGCCGCAATCTCCTTCCACCGATTCCCAACAACCGCCTGTTGCCGACTTGAGTCGATCGCTTCCCGACGCTGCTGTCCATTCCTCTTTCTGTATCCATTGAAAGCTTCACCGACACTGCGCACCCTATCTTGATCGGTCAGGCGCAAAACCCCACCAGGAGCGGGGAGCCGAAGCCAAGTGATGAAGTCAGCGAGGCGCATACGCCGCAACTCGCCCTTCTCCTGCTGAATTCATCCTGTCGCTCCTCCGACTTCGATTCCCGCCTTCATTTGCCGAGCTCTTCAAATTTCATATTGACCAAATACTTGGAACGCCGTTTTGGCTTCGTCTCCTGACACGTGCTAATCGAACCTGACACTCCAGATACCAACCGCCACAATGGGTCAGGATGATGCTGTGTACTTGGCCAAGCTTGCTGAGCAGGCTGAGCGCTACGAGGGTATGTGGCTGTCGCCCATTGCAAAAGATGGATCATACTGATGACTGGGCTTCCAGAGATGGTTGAGAACATGAAGATCGTCGCCTCCGAGGACCGTGACCTCACCGTCGAGGAGCGCAACCTCCTGTCCGTTGCCTACAAGAATGTCATCGGTGCCCGCCGTGCCTCGTGGAGAATCGTCACCTCTATCGAGCAGAAGGAGGAGTCCAAGGGCAACTCGTCCCAGGTTGGCCTTATCAAGGAGTACCGCCAGAAGATCGAGGCCGAGCTTGCTAAGATCTGCGACGACATCCTCGACGTCCTCGATGCCCACCTCATCCCCTCTGCCAAGTCTGGCGAGTCTAAGGTGTTCTACCACAAGATGTAAGCATCTGCGTCCATCCTGGCCGTGAATGCAATTCTGACAACCTCGACAGGAAGGGTGACTACCACCGCTACCTCGCTGAGTTCGCCGTTGGCGATCGCCGCAAGGACTCTGCCGACAAGTCCCTTGAGGCTTACAAGGCTGCCACCGAGGTTGCCCAGACCGAACTTCCCCCCACCCACCCCATCCGTCTCGGCCTCGCCCTCAACTTCTCCGTCTTCTACTACGAGATCCTCAACGCTCCCGACCAGGCTTGCCACCTTGCCAAGCAGGCTTTCGATGATGCCATTGCCGGTTCGTGTCGTCCCACTCGAGGCAGCAAGTACAATTTACTGACATGTACTCTACAGAGCTTGACACCCTTAGCGAGGAGTCTTACAAGGATTCTACCCTCATCATGCAGCTTCTCCGTGACAACCTGGTAAGACAACCCGGTGAACAATAGAATCAATCTTTCGCTAACAACGAGATACAGACCCTCTGGACCTCTTCTGAGGCTGAGCCCGCGGCGTCAGGCACTGCCGAGGCTCCCGCTGCCGCCAAGGAGGAGGGCGCCTCCGCCGAGGCGCCGGCCGCCGCCGCCTCTGAGGAGCCCAAGGCTGAGTAAGGTGTGATTGGTCTCGTAGCATTCTGCAACCTGCGTTCATCGCCGGAATTGGGTGGACTGGTGTCTACGGAGTGTGGACTGGAGATTTCGTTTTTGCGAATCGGCATCGTTTAGGCAATACACACAAGAATTGTGAAGGGGTTGATTTTTCCTAGCACGGGGCTGGCTGGGGGCTAAAGAAGAGCATTTTGGAGGTTGATTCCACGTTTGCTTTTAGACTCTAATGCAAGGCCGTCTGGACAACAACAAAAAAAGACTAAAATTGCTTTCAAAGAAGCACATCCGGCAAACCAGTTTGGAACGTCGTGTGACGACTTTGCTCGATACTGCCTCTATTTTTGAGCTGGTGATGTTGGAAACTGTTTAAGACCGTTTTGGGCCACTGGACATCGTCCATGTCCGCTGTGAAAGGTGAAATGAGCTGACTCAAAGGCCTCGAACCGCAGCGGTAAGCAGAAAAGCGTTGCGTGAGGAGTCGGTGCTAGTATAGACGGCCAAGGCAGGTTCTGGATGAGCGCCTTCGCAACGTTGCCAAGGCTATTGACGCGGCCGATCGGTCTACTAATGATCGGAGATAATTCTGAACAAGTCATAGGGGTCGGAAAGTTTGAAGCTGTAGGACATCAAACCAGAATAAGGGTTTTGGTCGAAGAGAATAATGCCCATACCCCAGCAGGGAACGGTTTTATTGCTCTAGTCGCTGAACTTTTCGTCGGTCGATTTTGATGCAGGTCGTTCGTGCTCTTGGCCTAGGAATATGTACAGTCTCCGCCGTAGTCTGTAAAGACATTTGTTCTGGGCCGTATCACGTAAGGCTTTAATCATTGTGATCGGAAGGAACTTTATCGTCTGTTTCACTCCCCCGTCTGATAGCCCCCCTTTCATTAATCATCCGAGACTATAGCAAAGTGAACCTTCATCCAAAGACTACAGTCCTGACAACCAACGAGCAGCTCCCCGTTCTCACCCACCTCCTCCAGGTCCGCCTCCGTGAACAGGAACCCGCGCGGGTTGCCGCACCTGCAACTGCGATACCAACAGCACTCAGCCTCAGGATCCTCAGACTCGTCGAGATTCAGATCGTCGAGATCGACGTTTTCGATACCCGTCTGGAAGGCCTCCTGCTCCGCATTGCGCTTGAGACCCTGGTTGTTGGGCACCAGGTCCAGGGACCTGTCGTACTCTGCCCTCTGCTTCGGATCCGAGAGGACCTTGTAGGCTGTCGAGATTTGGTCGATTGTGAAGTTGGCAGTGGAGCGAGACAAATTTTGTGTATTGGGTTGTGAAATAGTGGTGGCGGCACCCTGACTCTTGAGTTGTGGGTATTTGTCCGGGTGGTTTTGGAGCAGGGCTCGGTGGTAGGCCCGTTTAACTATCTGTTGCGGCCCCGCCGCTCCTTGTTGTTCCTGGACGAGTTTGCGACTTATACCTAGGATCGTGTAGTGCGTAAGCCCTTTTCCTGGATCTGCAGATGAAGGACTCATTTTGGGCTGTAAGGGGTTGTGGTAGAGCGGCGGCGGACAGGGCCGCTCGAAGTCTCGTTGGGATTGTAAGCGAAAATTTCCTAGCGAATTGGAGTTTCGGGAAGCTTTGATTCTGCGGTGATCACGTGAGTGGTTTGTGGTTGAGACTCTTCAAAAATGAAATCTTTAGTAAAACTCTGTTAACATGACCGGAAACTTGTCTCATAATGTCGAATTATAACACTTGTTACTATGTATCTCACGCCGAGTTTTTGGTGGGGGTAAATATGTCGCCTGCGGTGCTCAGGCTTGGAGAAACCCCCAATATCGTCAGTAGGGTTCAGACGGCGGGAGTTGGTCGAATTCGTTTCTTATACATGATAATACATTGTATATGTACATCGTCTATGGTATTGACGCAGCGCAAGTGAAAAGTCCGAGTAGAGCGCTTATTTGGGAAACCTTGTCCAGTTCTTCTTTCCAACCTAGTGCAAGTTGTCAGTGTGCGATCTTCAGGAAGCAATTGAGGATGTTTGAACGCTACCTTCTTCCACTCCTTGATGAGCTTCGGCATCGCCAGCATAGCTTCTCTCCTCTTCTCCATTCTGTACCCCCGTCGTTAGCATTTCTCAATATGATCAGAAGCGCAGGAGCCGGGGAAGTTTCCGCGACTGCCACTGTTCCGACACAAGAAAAAATGTAGATGTACCTGGGCTGCACCATCCTCTCGTGAATCTTTCCCTTGACCTTTTGTCCAACACCGGTACCCTTCACCCTCAGTCCGTGCTCGACACGGTGCGCGATTCTGTACTCGGTGCCCTTGACCGTCGAGGGCAGCAGCTCCTCCACGCCGTGCTGGCGCGCGAGCTTGACAATCTCGGCCTGGCGGCGCAAAGAGTAGACAGGGTCGTGCCACTTGCCCGTGGCGGGGTGCTTTTGCGGCGCAAAGGGGTTGGCGGTGAGCTCCTGGAAGCCCGTCTTGGGTGTCGTCGCGTTGTGAGGCAGGATGGCGGCGGGAGGCCAGCGGGCAAAGAAGCGCTGGAGCTGCTGTGGCAGGCTCTTGGCCAGCTGGATGTACTGCTCGGCGGCGGCCATTGTGTAGGATTAGTATACAATTTGCGGTTGCTATTATGGCTTCCTGTGCAAGCGCTGTGGCATTGCCAAGTCGTCTCGTCGAGGAATGGGCGGTCGTCGGCAAGCCTCTTCGTCAGTTTATTCGGGGTGCTCAATCGATCTGACGCTGGTCAAATTTAGGAGCGACCAGCCTTATTCACCCCTGTACGTGCATACGACTGGCAGGGTTGGGAGCTTAGAGTCCAGGAAAGAATTGCCGGAAAGTGTGCGATTTGATTGGGTCGCATTTCTGTGGCGCTTTCTCACCTGTGGCGCAAATCGCAGCCTTCTCTCAAGGTGTCTGAACAAATCATCCATCTTTAACTTCTGAAATACACAGTCGCCAGACGTCACTCTAAGTTGTCCAGGTACTCGGCAGTTCCGCAAGGCACCTTTAATCCTTCATAACTGGGTGTTATCAAGGCGTGGACAGCATAGCCGTGGTCACTGCAGCGCCTGACTCCCATCAGTTTCGAAGTCTACTCGATCCGCACTGCCCTACGAGTATTAGGCTAGTGATTGCAACAAAGATCTCCGTCACCAGTATTCTTCCCCTTACCTTTTCGCCACAATATCATACACAACCCGAATATGAGCACCAACCAAGCGAAGAAGGTACCTTTGGACCTTGAGGAGATCCTTAAGAAGAAGAAGGCCGCTGACGCCGCCGCATCGAAGCTACGGTTCATCCCAAAGAAGGAGCGAGAGCGCCAAGCAGCAGAGAAGGCGAAACAGGAAGAAGAAGAGCGCAAGCGTAAGGCTGAAGAAGACGCGAAAAAGAAGGCCGATCTCGAGAGGAAATGGGTCGCCGAAGCGAACGGCGCGGGCGATAGCAGAGCGCAGAATGGATATGGCAGCAGAGTACCCACCGGACCAAAGGCAATGAACGCCGCGGAAAACGGCAGGGACAGCCGAGGCGCCGGAGGCCGGGGGCGCGACAAGCAGGACCGCAAAACGGCGACGAAGGACGGCAAGGAGAAGAAGACTGCCGAAGCTATCGAGGCTGACCTGCTGCGCAACCGATACCTCGGCCCCGAGGTGAACAAAGAGTCCAATTTTTCGGTCAAAAAGAAACGGAAGAGGGCGACCGAGTTCAAGTTCGAATGGGACGCGGAGGAAGACACCACGCTCGAGAACGACCCGATGTACGAGTCCAATTCGACAACCCTGAAATCCTACACATTCGGCAGTTTGTCAGGCGAATACACGGAAGAAGCCGAGGAGATTGCAAGAAGACGTGCGAGAATGATAGAGCAGAGGGACCGCGAGTTTGGAAAGCAACGGGCAAAGGAGTTTATGGAGGACTTCTACAAAGCACGAGAGAAGGCAAAGGAGCGCGCCGACCGGTCAGGCTTGGGCAAGCACTGGTCGAAAAAGACTCTCGAGGACATGCGAGAACGAGACTGGAGAATTTTCAAGGAAGACTTTGGCATTGCGACAAAGGGCGGCCTCATCCCCAACCCGATGCGCAGCTGGAAAGAATCAGGGTTGCCACGAAGGCTACTGGAGATCGTCGACAGGGTCGGCTACAAAGATCCTTCGCCCATTCAGAGAGCAGCTATCCCTATCGCGATGCAGGCCAGAGATCTCATCGGTGTAGCCGTCACGGGTTCTGGTAAAACTGCGGCGTTCCTTCTGCCGTTACTGGTCTACATCTCGGACCTGCCGCCCTTGACGGAAGTCAACAAGAACGACGGAGCGTACGCGCTTATTCTGGCGCCCACGCGTGAACTGGTCCAGCAAATTGAGACGGAAGCGCACAAATTCGCCGACCCACTTGGCTTCAACGTCGTCAGTATCGTGGGTGGTCACTCGATGGAAGAGCAGGTGCACGCGTTAGGAAAAGGTGCCGAGATTATCGTCGCAACTCCCGGTCGTCTGGTCGACTGCATTGAGAGGCGCGTTCTCGTCCTGTCTCAATGCTGCTATGTCATCATGGATGAAGCAGATCGGATGATCGACCTCGGTTTCGAGGAGTCAGTGAACAAGATTCTCGATGCTCTTCCGGTCACCAACGAGAAGCCCGACACGGATGATGCGGAAAATGCCACCTTGATGAAGAGTTATCTTGGCGCCAGGGACAGGTACAGACAGACGATGATGTACACGGCCACGATGCCACCGACTGTCGAAAAGATTGCGAGAAAGTACCTCCGGCGCCCGGCCATCGTCACGATTGGTAATGCTGGTGAGGCGGTCGACACGGTCGAGCAAAGAGTCGAGATGGTGTCCGGCGAGGACAAGAAAAAGAAGCGGCTGCAGGAGATCCTTGCTGCTGGGGAGTTCGCCCCGCCCATCATCGTATTCGTCAACATCAAGCGCAATTGCGACGCTGTCGCGCGAGACGTCAAGCAAATGGGCTACTCTGCAGTCACGCTACATGGAAGCAAGACGCAGGAGCAGAGAGAGGCGGCGCTGGCGTCGGTTCGCAACGGCCAGACGCAGGTGCTCGTGGCGACGGACCTAGCAGGAAGAGGTATCGACGTGCCCGATGTCAGTCTCGTCATCAACTTCAACATGGCAACCAGCATCGAGAGTTACACGCATCGCATTGGTCGCACGGGTCGCGCGGGCAAGAGTGGTGTCGCAATTACGTTCTTGGGCAACGAGGATGCGGACCTTTTCTACGACCTCAAGCAGATGCTCTCCAAGAGCTCCATCTCACGCGTGCCCGAGGAGCTTCGGCGGCACGAGGCCGCGCAGCAGAAACCCACTCGAGGGCACAAGAGGGCCGGTGGAGAGGAGCAGTCGTCAGGCAAGGGGGGTCAGTGGGGCGCCTAATGTAGGGTAATGGGTGACGGTAGCATGGCGAGTGGATGGGAAGAGAGACTGAATAGATGAAAGTGGACTAGATCCGGCCTGATAGATTATCTTGATAATCTGATCTGATAAAAATTTTATGTCCGAGCCATTATCGTCGGCGCCTCGGGTTCTAGCGCGTCTACCTGTCTCGCTGTCGCTGCCGTCACCTTCCACACCGTCCCATGTCGTTCTTTTTGACGAATTTCTGTCTGGTCATTCAGAGTGTTTATGTGCGTCCCAAGTCTCTTTTCATTTCCCCAAAATTGATATCCATTGCTGGAAGTCTATTCCAACAGACTGATCACCCAATGTACTTAGTTTCCCCGACAAGACAACTCGGTCCCTGCCCAGATGGCGGGGCTCCTTGCTGTGCCTGACACCGACAGCGGGGAAGGATTCGGCACCCGCCCTCATCGGTTTGGGTTTTCCAAGAACTCACCCGACTGACTGCCTAGCTCCCGCCGACCAAAAACCCCACCATAAAGCGAGGGTTTTTACGCAATGTTCCTCCCTCGGTCTGATGTCAGGGCCCCCGGGATGTTCTGGGCCTGGAAAGTGCGCCTAGTGTACCGCTGCAAGACGCAGAAAGCAGTGAGGAAATGTACCTCGCCACACAGAATGGAAGCAGGAAAGTGTAAAAGAGAATTTTTTGCAACTCGACCCAATGTGCTTTGGCTCATGAGAGGTACATGTAAATTACCTCAGTCATGGAAGGTAGGAATGTACCTCATGCTAACCTTGCCTTCCATGCTGGTGCGCCCAAAACTCCACCAGCACTTGTAATTCTGCGGTTCCCTCCCTGCGCGCCCGCCCTTCACCGTTTATTTCGCATGGCTGTAGTATAAACCCCATGCCATGCGCCTCTCCAAGTCATGAACTGGCTGTTTTGACAACCACCTTGTCTATTCCTTTTCTCTCTCCTGCTCACGTTGAACCTCCTGGCTGCCTCACTCTCGAGCGCGGGCTTTTTGAACATTGCGAAAATTATCACTGAACGTAGCAAGCTTGGTGCAGAGACTCCCGAACCTGGAAATCGGCCTAAACCCTTCCCGGTATCGGTGGGTATTTTTTTTTTCCCTCGAATATCCACCCCTCCCCCCAAAAGATCTTTGGGCGTTACGTGCTTGCTGGGTGACACACCGTGGACACTGTCGGCTACATTCGCTTTTGCCCCGCGGTACCCGTCCGTTCTCCGTCTCCTTGTATGGCCGTCCCATCTCCCTGATTCAACTCAGTACGAGAGGGAGCAGTGAGGACAGTGCTGAATAGCCTTCTAGGTATTCAACCGGACGTCCTGCACTTGCTCCTTTTTAATCTGCTTCTTCTTTTGTTTCTTTGTGTCCTTGTTGCTTTCGAGGTTCACAGTCGCAATCGAAAAGCTGTTGAGCTGCGCGGTATCCTGGCTGGTACTTCGACGAGCGAATTGCGCAACAAATAACCCCTCCTCTCGTCACACCGACCTTTGAGGGATAACCGGAGGGCGCGCGACCCTTCGTCCGACCTTACAATTACCTACGACGACCTCCAAATAGCTCAGGCAGCTATCACTTAGCCCCAGAACCTCTCAATTGCCATCACAATGGACTCGGCAGCGGTAGCGATGGAGATCCCCCACCATGACGCACCGGTGTCGCTGAAAAAGAGCCGTACCGCGGCACTGGAGGCAATGGAGGACATTGTCTACGGATCGGCAAGTCGTCCAACTTGCAAATGACGCTCAATAGGGAGTTGGCTGACAAGTTAATTTCATCAGGTCGCGGGCGTTGTCGGAAAATACATCGAGTACCCCTTCGACACGGTCAAGGTCCGCCTCCAATCTCAACCCGACAACCAGCCCCTCCACTACAAGGGCCCGCTCGACTGCTTCCGCCAGTCTTTCAAGGCCGAGGGCGTCCGCGGCCTTTACCGTGGCATCAGCGCGCCGCTCGTCGGAGCCGCGCTCGAGAACAGCAGCCTGTTCTTCTTCGAACGGATCGGCCGCGCCGCTGTATACTCGTCCGGGTGGACGGCCCAGGGCCAGGAGCTGTCTTTGTCGGCACTGTGGCTCACCGGCGCCTTCTCCGGCTTCTTCACGTCGTACGTCCTTACGCCCGTCGAGCTCGTCAAGTGCAAGATCCAGGCCCCTCCCCGGGCCGACGGTTCGGCGGCGCCGCAGCAACTGCGCCCGCTCTCCGTCGTCCGCGACATCTACCGCCACAACGGCATCAGGGGCTTCTGGCACGGCCAGATGGGCACCCTGATCCGCGAGTCCGGCGGGTGCGCTGCCTGGTTCGGCAGCAAGGAGACAGTGACCAAAATGTTCAAAGTGCTCAACGCCAGGTCGGCCAAGACAGAGGGTGAAAGAGACGCGCTGGCGGCAAAGCCGCTGCCGCTGTGGCAGCAGGCGTTGGCGGGCGCCTCGGGCGGCGTGTCGTACAACTTCCTCTTCTTCCCGGCTGACACGATTAAGTCGCGCATGCAGACGGCGGCCATTGGTGACGCGGCGTTGAGCCGTTCGTTCTGGCAGGAGGGCGCGGCCGTATGGCGGCAGCACGGGCTGAGGGGTCTGTATCGGGGTTGCGGCATAACGTGCCTTCGCTCGGCGCCCAGCTCGGCCTTCATTTTCATTGTTTTTGACGGCCTCAAGCGACATTTTCCCCTGCAATAGAACTATCTTTTCCCTTTTTTTCGTGTGTTGAACCCTTTGAGATATCCTAGAGTTTTGGGTGGCTGTGGCGGCTCCTGTCGTGGTTGGTGGATGGGGCTTTTACAAAATTTGGATGGCATTTAGATGGCGCAAACGGGGAGGACACAGTTTTGGAAACGTATATATATATACATGTGCATAAACTTCGGGCGGAATTGGATGGGCTAGATGGCTGTGGTTTTACCAAAAATTGGGAAGAGACGCAAGCGTAGATTATTCAGTCCTTTATACAACCTTCGATTCACGATTCCAAGGCTACCTAACGCAGTTTGATAATTTGCCTCTCCAATGCTTAGTTGGTCTCTTATCCCGAAGTATCTATTCAAGACTACCTTTCCGGGTTTCACGAGATTACCACGCAAATTCGCGAGGTGTTGGCTATGATGGTCAAAGCAAAGGAGACGGCTCCAGGGACATCTCATAACATTCGTTCCTCACTCGATGAGACTGACGCGTCTGTTCCTTGATCACGATGGAAGCTTTGTTATTTTAATCGCGTAAGTCAGCCCCCCTATAATTACATTTCGACCAGGCCTATTCCATGTTCTCATAGCTTCCATGCTGCTATGATCTGTGCCAGCTGTGTGACTTGACCTTCAAGACAATAACCCGATACAGTCTTCTTTCTCCGCGGTTCTCAAACTTTGATCTAAGCATGGATATCGATGTTTTCCCGTAATGACGCTCAACATAAGGGGACAGACCAGTAGCAATCAGAACGCCATAGCACGTAGAACCGCCCACCAACTCAACACTTCCTCCTCTTCCCCATGACCGGAATCGCTATCACGGCCTCCGGTGCCGCGACAGAGGTAGCAGTCGCAGCACTACTGCTTCTTGGAAGCCTGGGCGGCATCGTAGCGCTCCTCGGCGCCTTTGAGATCCCAGTCATTGAGATAGCCGGCCCCGGCGCAGAGGTAGGTCGCAAAGGAGAGCCAGCCGAGGTAGGGAACGAGGCAGGCGCCCGCGACGGCGTCGACGGAGCCCCAGAGGTAGGCGAGGTATGAGTTTATGCCAATGAGGGCGAGGATGTCAACGGTGGCTTCGATGGGGCGCTTGAGGAGGAAGAAGAGGGGCATCCAGATTAGGTTGAGGCCCAACTGGATCGTGTAGAGGGTCGCGCCGTGTTTGGTGTCGTTGATTTGTTGGATGGAGGAGGTTGGGGAGAGGCCTGTTTGGAGGGCGCGGTAGGCGGAGTAGCCCATCAAGCTTAAGGAAGCGGTTGTCAACATCAGGGAAAGGCGCGTCGTGAACGGTTTAGACTGTTCGGGAGGGGGGAGGAGTTGGTAGGCTTACCCATAGAGGAGGGTCCATGCTGGGCCGAAGACCCACGCGGGAGGGCGGAAGGGAGGGTTCTTGATGGCGGCGTAGGTCTTTTTAGTGTCTTTGGCTATTTGGGTTTCCATTAATGTCAATTTTGAACGATGGTGTGAGGTGTCTTGAGGGGGGAACATACGTCGCGAAGAGAAGCCCACGGCCGTCCCGAGAGCTATGGGGAGCAGAATCGAGGCGGCGGCATTCTCGAAGACCTGGTGGGGTAAGGTCAGGGCCGGGATGAAGGTTGTCATTGTGGGCAACCGATTTCAATTTGAAAATCTGTTAAAGTTGACTTGGAGGGGAGAAGAGAAAGTATCGACTCTAAGTCAAGCGTCAGCGGGAAGTCTGGTGAGGTTTGCGAATGGTGGTTTTTAAAGTAAATTGCCTGTTCGTCTGGAACATGCGATGGGATGCGCAACCTCGGGGCGGGTCCCAGTCCGACATGCGAGAAGCTATCCTCTTACAGGAGAAGCTATGACGCAATGTTCAGAGGTCTCTTATGTTGTCAGGAACGACCGACTTTATTTCGCGACTATCCGTCCTTCGTACAGAGCATTGAATTGCAATGTGGGGAGAGCGCAAAAGTGCATCAGAGGGTTTGCAAACTTACGATTGAAAAGTGATAATTGTCAATTCTTGAAAGGCGATTGGGTCGAGACATGAAATTGTCACGTTGTCTGCGGCCCATTTATCGGAGCTGAAGTGGCAGATGGGGACCCCGTTCCTCAGATAGACATGCTTCTGACGCTACAGGGGTGAAGCTCTGTAGATCGCTGGGGATCGGCCGCCATTGTTCTGCACCTCAGCTCTCCAGCAATTGAATTCCGCCAGGACTTGACCCGCCTGCCCGGCTGGACGACGACGGTAGGATCTAAGGAAGGTATTCACAGCTGTCTCGCTTTCCGTCCTGGCAACAATCCAATGCCGATTCCCAGCTTCCCAAGACTCATTCTTGGCTCAATTGATTGAAATTTCCATCACACGGTGACTTACAGAATCAGTCAAAGACTCGGCACCGGCAAGCGAGTACTTATGCGAAACGAGATGTATGCAGTTAAGAGTGCCGACGCTGCCGAGGATGCTCCGAATAAACACTAAGCCTGTTTCGCTCTAGTGGACCTCGCCAGCCAACTCTTTGTTCGGGTCTCGCTCCTAGTCGTCTCGTCGCCCTTTGAGTAGGTCAGCCTTCCCATCCTCCATCTCTTCTTCGTGCATCCAAAAACACTCTGCCTTTTGGATCACGACAACATCACGCGTCTCATCGTCGAGGCATACGCCCTCGCCCGGAATAGTTCGTTCTTCCTTTCTTTCTGCATCATCTTTACTCACCGCAACCTATTGTTCATCCATCACCTCAATTCGATTCATCCCCATTATTCCTGTCTTCCCTCCCCCAGACCACCCATTCTTACTCCCGCCCAACTCCCTGTTCAAACATCCTCGTTTGTCAATCATTCTCAGCAGGCCTCATTTGGCATCTTTCTTCTTCTTCCGTTTGCACCGCCATTGTTAGATTGACGAGTCGGTTTTCAATCATCTTTGCCCTCTGGCAGCCGCACCACTTTTTACTGCTCCTGCCCTCCCAAATTCTCAATTCTTTCTCTCTTTCTCTCTCTCTCTCTTCCTTCGTTTCCCTCAGAAGCCGTCCCGTATCCCGCCTGCAGAATGACTTCTCTAACCGCAATCATGTTACCAAACAACAGGCTTCCTCCTTTTTTCCTTACTTCGATCGAGCAAGCGAAACGAAATCATATGAGCAGCAAGCACGCGGCTACCCGACGCGGACGCGATACTTAACCTGGCTGAAGGGACCAATTGAACTCAACATAGACGCCAACTGCCTTCACACACACTAGACTCAGTGCGACACACGCATGATGGATTCTTACTCTTCTCACCGAGACTCCTCCGCGCGCTCGCCGGGCGACAGGACGTGGAGCAGTCGCGACGACACACGAGTCAAGGAGGAGCGCGCTGACACATTCTACCGTGGTAGATCCCCTGGTGCGTAGGATTTCTGATTATACAACTCAATGGCTTCGGTCATTCTGTCCCGAGAGTTTTCTGCCAGGATACTGAGCCTCGTGTTTGCAAGATTTCACTGGTCATTTGCTTACAATTCTTTCAGGCCATGAGCGTCAGCACCGTGACAGACGTCGGTCACGATCCCCAGCCGCTATCGACCGTTACGAGCCGAGGGGCCGCGGCCGCGATGACTACGCCGGTGGCAGGGATCGCGATGATCGCCGGGAGAGAAGGATAGCGTCACCACCGTCCAACATTGATCGCTACGTCCCTGGACAAGACAACAGCGCCTCTGCACCGATGACCATCAACCCCCTCGCGGACCCCGTCAAGCTTCCCTACCAAGTCGGGTTCTCGTATTTTGGAGAATGGTGGAGGATGAATGAGAAGATCAAGGAGGAGAAGGAACGCCAACGCACCGGTCGTCGCCGTGAACCCGAACGCGCCCGCGGCACACGTGAAGCACAAGAAGAACGCGAGAAGGAGAAGGGCAAGATTCAGGTTGCGTATGACGCCTATAAGGAAGAACTTCAAGCAAAGATGGCTCGTACCTTTGTTGGGGAGCACAAGAAAGAGCAGTGGTTTCGCGAGCGCTATGTCCCTGAGATTCGCGACGGTTTCAGAGCCCAGCTTAATGAGTTCCGCCGGGGTGCCTACAGTCAATGGGAACAAGATCTTGAATCTGGAACGTTTGACGAGTTCTCGTTGGAGGGAATCCCCAAGAGCGAGACCAATGGCCTCGGAGGCCTCGTAGAGAAGGAGGAAGGTGAAGCAACCGCCGCCAACGAGATCCTGGGTGTGGGAGACCTTGTGCCAGCCAATGGTGCTGATATCAGAGATGAGAACCTGTATCAGCCGACCCTCCTCATCAAGACTATTGCGCCCCATGTCAGCAGACAAAATCTCGAGACCTTCTGCAAGGAACATCTCGGCGAAGAAGAGGGCGGCTTCAAGTGGCTTTCTCTGTCAGATCCCAACCCCAGCAAGCGGTATCATCGCATTGGTTGGGTCATGCTTCACCCCTCATCAGAGGTTGCTCCTGCGGTCGTTGACCGTGTAGACCCCAAGGACGAGGACGGTGACATGCCCTTGAAGTCGCCTGCAGTCGTGTCGACTGCCGAAAAGGCTCTTGATGCGGTCAATGGCAAGACTGTCAAGGACGAAGTCAGAGGCGACTTTGTCTGCCACGTCGGTGTGCACAACCCGCCCAGTCACCCTCGAAAGAAGGCTCTCTGGGATCTCTTCTCTGCGCCAGAGCGGGTCGAGAAAGATCTCGGCCTTGTTCAGCGACTCGTCAACAAATTCGAGGAAGACTTCGGATCTGACTTCAATGCTGTCTTGAAGATCGAGGAAAGAGTCGACGACCTTAAGAATGGCGGCCGCCTCCAGCCCGCTGCCACGGCGACAAAGAAGAAGGCCAAGAAGGAGCGTGATCTTGATGTCGACGACGGCATGGAAGACGGAGAGGACGGTGCCATTGATGACGAAGAGGACGAGGGTGCTGTCGAGGAGGACGACGTTGACGACGAAGAGCTCCTGGTCAAGAAGAAGCAACTGGATCTCATGATTGAGTACCTCAGACGCGTATACAACTTCTGCTTCTTCTGCGTCTTTGAGAGTGATTCGATTCACGAGCTCACTCGTAAATGCCCCGGCGGTCATCTGCGTCGCCCGAGAACCACGCTCAGCACTTCTGCCAAGGCTGTTGCCCGCGCCAGTGCTAACGGGGAACCCTTCCCTGGGAAGAAGCGCAGTGAGATCGAGGAGGAGGGCGAAGCAACCGAGGACAAGAAGTTCCGTGGTACAACCGGCAAGGCGGAGCAACAGCTGCTCCGCGCTTACAACTGGGTCAAGACGTTCGAGGACAAGATCATGCAAATTCTCGAGCCTGAAACGGCAGACCTGCGCAAGCTTGGAGGCCGCCCCGTTGAGGACGCCGTCAGCGACGAGCTGCTCAAATACGTCAAGCAGGAAGACGAGCACAAGTGGCGATGCAAGGTTCCTGAGTGCGCCAAGTTGTTCAAGGAAGAGCACTTCTGGCGCAAGCACGTCGAGAAGCGCCACAACGAATGGCTTGAGACCATTGAGCAAGAGGTCGGTCACCGTTCACTGCTGCTGTCTGCCAACTGCTAACCAACTCCATAGTTTCATCTCATCAATGCCTACGTCATGGACCCATCTCACATTGCTCCTTCAAGAACGGATGCTAATTCCAACGGTCACTTTCCTCCTGCCAATGGATCGTCTGCGACTGGAACCCCCCGTGGTTTCAACCTGCAGAATTTCACCATTAACGGCATGATGCCTATTCCTGGATTCCCCATGCCACCCGGCGGCTTCCCACCATTCGTCGGTGGTGGGCATCCCGGAATGCAGCCTGGATGGAACGCTGGCGGCGATGACCGCGGAGGTCCTGGCCCCATTCGCCGTGGAGGTATGAGTGGCAGCCGTGGCAACTACCGAAGCAATCCTTATGACCGACGCCCCAATCCCCGCTGGGATGGTGGTATGAGCGGAAGGGGCCGCGGTGGCGCTGGCAAGTGGGGAGACGGTGCTGCTGGCGGAGCGGCTGTCGGCCCACGAGAGGCCACTCAGGGACGCAGTCTCAAGAGCTACGAGGATCTCGATCATGTGGCTGGCGGCGGCGGCGGAGAGCTGAATTATTAGGACAAGAACTACTCCCATCGTTTGGAACGTCGCAAAAAAGAGGTCAAGGAAGCATCGGTTCAATAGTCGCATAGGTTACCCAGCAGCTTTTGAATGTCGGGCGACTAAGCATGGGCGCCGAGAATCGCGCTCCTATCTCGGGCATGTTTATTGCAACATCGGCGTTGCAGACTCATCGGGTTCATTGCGTTGTACTTTGTAAAATAACAAAATTCTGGAGCTAGGTTGGGACTGCGAATTTAGACGGTTTTCTTCATTTTGTTGACCTTCTGGTGGTTGACGAATCGACTCTACTGACCACCATGTATTTGTTTATCCGTTGGCTACTGCGAATGTCTGTTGATGAGCAAGACCATGTAAGCTCTACAGACAAGTGATCATCACTTGACCATGATCACTAGACAAAGGTTTTGACAGTAATTTATCATACCTTCCCTTCACTATAGACGATGTTCCCATCTACCAGATTGACACGGGAAGCCACATGGGAAGCCACACAAAGAGCACCACAAAATGCTCTTCAGAACTTTGCTTCCAAGACGAAAACCCTGAGCCCCCTTTTCAATACTTGGCTAGGTGTTGGAATGTCTCTGGGTCGCTCTGGAAAAGATTTGGGGCAGTTTAACGCTGCCTCCAAGGCGTCCTTGTCGACAAAGTCTTTCCTCATCTTCTTCTATCATCGGTATCCATCAATTGCACTTGGTCGCTTACTTGCGTTGCAGAAGTTTCTCAGATTGCGTATTATAGCCTCATTGAATCTCTTTTTCCCAAGAGAGCACCGCTAGATTCTGTAGACTTGTTGTACAGAGAGTCAAAGGAGGCAGGCCCTTGCCAGTCGCAGTGTGATCAGTCACCACCCTCGTTCGCAGACCGTTTCTGTAAAGAGTTATAAATGCAGTCACTACTGCCGGCGTTTAAATATCCATCCGTATGGCTTCGTATCGCGATCCCACAACTTTGTCTTGTTCTCTGCTTGGTTCAAGACTGCTCCAAGCTTTTCCAGGCAATGTCAGCTGTGATTTCCTTATGTCTCAGCCACAATGCCAGAAACTCAAACATGGTTGTGGGCGTAGTCTAGACAAGTTCGCCTCTCGCTTCACCCTCAAAAACGTATTCGAGCCCGAATAGGTAGATCGAGGCGAGTATCGAAGGTAAGAGCACGCAGTGTGAGATATACGAAGCAAGAGATGCACCGAGTTCCTAGCTTGAAACTAAAGTTCCGCAAAACGCCGCCAGATTTTCTATTCTACATGAGACAAACCCATAGTGTTCTCAACTCCTCAGAGAAGCCTTCAGAACCCCATCTAGCCTTCCCAGCTCGGGACTCACACTCTCGTGGCTCTTCAGCGTCATGACCGCCGCCTTCTGCGCGACATCGATCAAGTCCTCAACCTTGCCTCCTCTTGACAGGCCAGCAATCAGGACACCGAGGAACGTATCCCCAACACCATTGACAGACACAATCTCGTCTAGGGCGACCCTCTCGGCCGGCGGGAAGAGGCGCATGTATACGCCGCCGACGGTGGGATGATCGACGTACCCTCTCGTGAGCAGCCACTTCTCCTCGTTCCTGTCCTTGAGCCTCGGGTCGTTCTTGCCCAGGATAGTGGTTAGGAGAACGCCCTTGGAACCCAGCTTTGTGACGAGCGTAGGGATGTAGGGAAGGAGGTGAACCGTCTGTACGGGGATGCCCGCGTCCGTCATCTCCTTGGACGTGAGAGCCACGAACCGGTCCCGGGCACCGCGCATGTTGAAGGCGTCAATGACCTCGAACCACTCGGGTGTATCGAAGAAGCCATTCTCCTTAGCCGCGCTGTACATGGCGTTCAGTTCGTAATTATTGGGCGACGCAGTGTCGATGCCGGGGTTAGGAAAGACGCCGAGGTGCGGGTGCTCTTTCGGGAACAGACTGATGGACTTGGCTGTCGAGACGGGCTCAAAGGCGACCTTGCAGCCTTGCTCGCGGCCGGCGTCAATCCACGCCCGGATGTCTTTGGGGCTCCAGTTGCCGTCGACGACGAGCCACTGCGGTTTGGCGCCCGCGACGGCGGACTTCCAGTACTCGGGGAAGGAGTGGTTGGCGAAGATTCCCATGTCGGCCATGGCCATGACGAGGTTCTTCTCGGCGTCGTTGACGGCGACGTACTGGGCGGTGCGGTTCGCGACGTGATACTCGGAGGTGAGCTGGCGAATGTAGGTTGTCTCGAGACCCGAGGCCTTTAGAGAGGACAGGACGGTGGCTCCGGCGCTATTGCTTTGTTAGGTGTGAAGTATTAGATACAGGTGAGAGGTAGACTTACATATCATCGCCAATCAAGCTGCACAGGCGTACAGTGGTGTCTTTGCTTACTCTGTGGGCAGCCAGGGCGACGTTGTGGCCCACGCCGCCGATCGACTGGTTGATGCAAGCAGGATTCGAGGTATGCATGTGAGGCGCAACCTCCTTCTTGTCACTGAGGGGATGGTAGTCGCAGCTTAGATCAATCGCCACGGAGCCCGCCACGAGAACATCGGCCTTGCTAGACTTGGGCTCTTCGACTTTGGTCACAGGCTTTGGGGAAATATCATAACCAGAAACATGTGTGCTCGACAAACTATCTACGCAGTCAGAGTCTAACTCCCCGGCTGAGCTATATACAAAAAAGCCAAACTTACGAATTCAAACCACTGCCCGCGTTCAGCAGTTTCGAGAGCTCCACCGAGATCTTGGTAGCCCGCGCCACGTTGGACCTCACCAGGGCCTTGTTGGCCAGCGTGCTCCGCTCCTCCGTTAACTGCCTGATCCTGCCGAGGACGTAGGGTGTATTTTTCGCGCCCGTGAAGCCCTTCTCGATGGCTTCCGTGACCGCCGTCTCGATGACGGCGTCCATCTCCGCGCGGGGGATGCCGTACTCCTCGGGGATGGGGTTGGCGAACAGCATGCCGGACTCGATGCCCAGCCTCTCCTGCGCCAGGATCATGGCGGCGGCCTCATGCTCAGTCTGGACCACCGCGGGGCTTTTTGTGCCGCTCTCGCGGGCCCAAAAGGCGGGGAAGTCGACGTTGCTGCCGGCCGGGCGGCCGTCGGCAAAAGTCGCAACGAAGGCGCCGTGCGTCTCGAGGAACTCGAGCGTGCGCGGGATATCGAGGAAGCCCTTACAGCCGGAGCTCACAACGGCCACGCGCGTGCGGCCGAGCTCCGTGAGATCGGCAGAGACGTCTAGGGAGGTCTCGCCGCCGCGGTGGACGCCGCCCAGGCCGCCGGTGCCGAAGACACGGACACCGGCCAGTCTTGAGAGGAGCATCGTCCCGGCGATAGTTGTGCCGCCGTGGACCTTCTTCCCAGTAATACCCTAAGACAGTGTAAGCATTTAGGCATGTAACATGAGAGGCAAACATTTAGAAACAGAACAACTTCTACGACACAAGCCCAGCATAACGCCACCTAATAAGACTTACCAGTCCAACGAGATGTGCGACATCCCTCCTCGACACCTTGCTCGCAGTGCCAGAATCAACCATCAGAGCAACCTCGGCCTCAGTCAGGCCAACGACGGGCTCGCCATTCAGGATACCGCAGACGGCAGGGACGCCGCCGCCCTTACGGACGATGTCTTCCAGACCGAGATCATTGCCCAGCGCACCATGGGTGTAAATTGTCGACTCCAGGGCCACGACGGGCTTGTTCGTCGCAACGGCATCGGCCACCTCTTCAGAAACACGCAGGAGATCCTTCAGTCCGGCCGGTGACTGGTATGTGGCGGCGCTCATGTGACGGCGGGCTGCGTTGACCCGAACAGCTTGTCGTAAGCTCCTGCAGAGCTGCAGCTGAGGTAGGGCGTGTCTCGCCAAGCGGCAAGATGAGCGTGGGACAATCATGTTTGATAGACGACGGCGGTGTGCCGTGCCCCTGGTTGCTTGGTTGTCTTGATGTACCTAGATACACTGATGAGGCAAATTCTTGTTTCTTCGACGACGGGGTTGCTGCCAAGATTGTTGTCCACTGGTTTGAAAACCGATAATGCCTCTTGAGAAGCAATCACGAACGAACTGAGCTTGCTGGGTGCTTCACGTATAAGTTGGAGGTCAGGCTTTCGAGAGCAATAAGATAGGATGATATGCGAGCCAAAGAGCACGCCCTGCCAAGTACCCAGAGCCGAGGTGCACGCCCTGTAAATTACAGTGCTTACCTTACTTACAAGGAAGGTTCAGTACGAGACCCACCGCGCCACGCTGCCTGTGGCTTAGCGTAGTTGATTTTCGCGATCCTGCGATAGTGACTCTCGCGACTCACCACAATGACAAAGATCTCAAAAATACCGCCCTTTCGTCACGATAACTCATACAAACCTGAGTCAGAAAAAAGATTACTCCTCGACGGGGAATTGAACCCCGGTCCCCTGCGAATCGCTGATTTTCAATGACAAGCAGATATCCTCACCACTAGACTATCGGGGATGTGTGGGTGTTTTCACCCAGTGATAGTGGGTTGATGACGAAGACCCGCAGAGGATATATAAATGACCCATACCCTAGCGCAGGAACACATAGACTTAGTCTTCAGCAGTTTGTTCCTCTAATTCCTTTATACTGTCTGCTCATTCGAATGTGAATACCGCGATGAGGAACTGAAGCAAAGACAACAGCGATAGAACAACCCACAAAAAGGAGCAGGAGAAGATTAATGATAATTGTAATTATGGGTAGAAAATGGAAGAATCAGCAATACGTCTATTCTGTGAGTGAAGAAATCGAGTGAAATTGAGAGCTGACGAGAAGGAATCCATATGTATTAGGTTTTGTCCGAAAGCCAGTCTATTCGAACTGTGGACTCTACACTGACGAGATATGTTGAAAATACAAATGTCTAGGTCTGATGTTGATAGTATTGGCTTTGGTGAGGACGTCGAATCTATTGGATGTCCCTGGGTAAGCTGTTAGCCTGTGTGTTCCTCACTCTTACGTTGGAGGGGTTGGAAATGCCCCGCAATTGAGCCTTATGATGAAATAGACGTTATTGGCTATCTGAAATGCTAGCGTCTTCAAACAATCCAATCAAGTTCTCTGCGTCTCTGCAAGGCTGAAAGCCCCATTAAAAAAATTCTGGACGTCCTCTGCAAGCCGCCCGCCTGTTCTCACCTCGATCCGCTGGTGCGCTCACGAACAGAAGGAGACAGAAACCTCCCCAACAGGCGACAATGGCAAAAGAGCAACCATTTGAGAAATTTTCCGACGAGGAGGAGGAGGTAACCTCCTCTGAGGAATCAGAACTCGAGGAGGAAGCCCCCCGCCAGCGCAAACCCAAGCCCGTTTTCGACGAAAAGGATTCCGACGAGGAGGAGCTCGAGAAGCTGGTCCTAGGAGGCAAAGCCGATTTCCGCGAGCAGCTCTTTCGCAACGATGTGCTGGGCGACATAGAACGACTGGAAAGGGAGAAGAACCACCAGCTCACCAAGCCGGACGACGAACCCACGCTGGAGGACGTTGCCGATCACGACCTCTTCTTCCTCGACACCGGAGTCCCCGCGGCGAAGGGCAGCGCACAGGCAGGAAAGGCGGGCAGCAAGCAAGAAACGACGGCCGCCGACGAGAACGCGCCCGCGTGGGATGACAGCGACGACGAGCGATTGACCGTTTCCCTGGCGACCGCGACGAGATTACGAAAGTTGCGCATCACCGAGGCCGAGGACGTGGTCAGCGGCGCCGAGTACAGCAGAAGACTGAGACAACAATTCGTCCGCCTGAATCCCCTGCCGAAATGGGCGCAACAGCCGTCCGAGGGACGGCCCGCAAAGAGGAGAAGACGCTCCTCGGCCGCCGCGTCCGACTCCTCCATCAGCTCCGACGAAGAAGGCAGCGACGCCGAGCTCTCCGCCGCGCCACTAGAGAAGTTCATGCGCGACGTCCACCGCCTCGCCGGCAGAGACGCCACGAGCGGCAAGGCCCGCCTCCGGCCCGAGGTCATTGACATCCAGCGCACGCGCGAGATCCCCGACGCCCACAAGGCCGCCGTCAACAACCTCTCCTTCCACCCGCGATACCCCGTCCTGCTCTCCTCCAGCGTCTCCTCCGTGCTGTACCTGCACCACCTCAACCCGACGGCCCACCCGACGCCGAACCCGATGCTCACCTCGGTGCAGGCCAAGGGCGTCGACGTCCGCCGCGCCGAGTTCCTCTACCCGGCGGGCGAGCAGATCTTCTTCGCAGGCCGGCGCAAGTTCTTCCACAGCTGGGACCTCCAGACCGGCCACGTGCAAAAGACGTCGCAAATCCAGGGCCACAGGCTCGAGCACAAGAGCATGGAACGTTTCAAGCTCAGCCCCTGCGGGCGGTACATGGGCCTCGTGGCGTCGACGAGAAAGGGCGGCGGCATCATCAATATCATAAGCACCGAGTCGAGGCAGTGGATCGCGGCCGCCAGGCTGGACAGCCGGCACGGCATCGCCGACTTTGCGTGGTGGAGCAACGGCGAGGGCATGTCGATCCTTGGCAAGGACGGCTCCGTCGGCGAGTACAGCGTGGCCGAGAAGAGGTTCCTGGCGGTGTGGCACGACGACGGGTGCGTGGGCGGCATCGTCATCGCCCTTGGCGGCCACCAGGGGCCGGAGCTCCTGGGCGACGACAGGTGGGTCGCCGTCGGCTCCAGCAGCGGCATCACCAACATCTACGACCGCCACGCGCTCGTAAAGACGTCGTCCAAGGCGGGCGACGTCGACGTCGAACAGCGGCCCGAGCCGACGCGCACTTTTGAGCAGCTCGTCACGCCCATCACGGTGTTGACCTTCTCGCCCGACGGCCAGCTGATGGCGTTTGGCAGCACGGAGTCCAAGGACGCGCTGCGCCTCGTCCACCTGCCTAGCTGTACCGTCTACAGGAACTGGCCCACGGAACAGACGCCGCTAGGCAGGATCACGAGTGTTGCGTTTGGGCGGAGCAGCGAGCTTCTCGCGGTTGGTAATGACACGGGCAAGATTAGAATGTGGGAGATTAGGAGTTAGAGGGTATTACAAAAAAAGACTGGGCATGTTTGTATTGAGTTTTCCATCTGGCGTGAGGGCCTGTCTAATTCTATCTTCCTGCATTGAACCAGACCATCTACCTTGCTCTCAATCTGTCACAATCTCATTTCATCTCCAATGTCAGAATGGGCTCTCTAGAGGTACTGGCCAATCTTGCGTCGTAGAGTGAGAAGGGGATCGCCCTTAGGAAGGCCCTTCTTGGGCATCCACATGCGGTTCTTGCGGGTGTATTGCGCAAGCTGGAAGATGTTCTTGAAGAACAGAACCTCATTGTGACGACTCTCGGCGCGGAGGAACTGTCTGATGTTGACGTGGACCGTCTTCAGGGCCTTCATGCAAGAGTCACTTGTTAGCAACTGACCCGACCACATAATGAATCCAAGAATAGAGACGTTGGATATACTCACCTGTCGGCACTGAGTCTTGCTGGGCAAGTCCTTGGGCAGACCCAGGTCGCCGCAGAGGCGCTGCCAGTCGGCGAGCTCCCTCTTGCCAAAGTACTCGTCCCAGCGCTCAAAGAGGGTCGCCTCCTCCTCCTTCTTGGTCAGCTTCTTCTGCGCCTTTGGGGCGCTGTTCTCGTTGTTCGCCTTCTTCGTCTTGAGATTGAGGCCATTCTTGGGATTCTTGGTGCTTTTGAGGTCAGTCACCTCCTGCTTCAGCTCGCCACAGTCGAAATTCTGGTCATGGCCGTTGTGATTATTGTTGTCAATGTCCTCCTTCTTGATGTTCAGCTCAATCATCAACTCCTCAATGCCGTGAAGATGGGCTTCTCCTCCATGGCCATCCTCCCCCTTGTTGATATTGAGCTCGGTCATCATCTTCTCCACATCCTGCAGCTTGGCCCCTCCTCTAGCACCATCCTCCTGGGCGGCCTTCTCCCTGGCCTTTGAAGCGGCGGCTTTGTTCTTGCGAGTCATTGCTGGTGAAGAATGTACAAGGACCTAGGGAAAGGTGAGCATTACATTCGGGGTGAGGTGCGCCCAATCAAAAGAGCATGGATACCTAGTTGGCGATGTTGACCGAAACCGGCTTGTGAAGGTGCTCCGTTTGACTTCTGTAAAAGTTGTAAGGTGTTGGTTTAGTGAGGAAAGTACAATCACACCAAGCCGTTGCAGAAGGATGGTGATTGCTCGGATGAAAGAAGAGGTGAATGTGAAAGAAAATCTTGGATGAAGGCTGGGTTTTATTTTTCTTGCGTATTCAGGTGTATATTCACATCACACACACACACACTCTCTCTCTCTCTCTCTCTCTCTCTCTCTCTCTCTCTCTCTCTCTCTCTCTCTCTCTTTTCACGACTATTTGGAAGCCAAATCTGGCATGCGGGCAACATGGACCTTGATCTGCTTGGTAATTGAGCATGTTCTCCTTGGAGCTTCTGAGATCTTGTCATGACCCGTGATTCCAGTCAAATCAATATGAAAGCCGACGTATGAGAGGCCGATGAAGACAAATGGTGCAATCAGATGAAGACGGCTTGTGTAATCCGTAGAAGAGAGCATGAAAGTGAATCATTCCATCCAACGCAGTAGCCTTACTGTTGAATGCAGATGGAGATGGGAAACCCAATACAACGAAAAGACGGTACCCAACGGCGCCTGAGGCAGATGCAACACTACGCCAAGTTTCTGAGCAACTTCATCAGAGACAATGAGCAACCGAGATAATCGCTCAAGATGCCTGGGTGCTTCCATACTGTGTACTGTGTTTGTTGCTTGGCTTCTCTGGTCATGAGTCGAGATTTGTATCATTGCGCTTCTCACTGCGGACGCATAGTAGTAATTCATCACAATACTGGGCACTCATTGAAGGAAGATTAGAGCGGAATATTGGGGACAAATGCCACAGACTATGTTGCAGCTTTTAACACACTAATCTGGTTCCGTTATTAAGATGAGTTGAGATACACAAAGGTCACGAAGGCCACAAGCGAGCCTGCAAGAGCTCATAATGTCCAAAGCGGTTTCTAGATTTCGTGCTTTTAAATGCCTAATCTTTGTAGCGGGCGACGGAGATAATCGCTTTTGATCAAACAAGATGTGCCCGCCGATGCATCGCTCGCAATTAAAAACCGTCAGTGTCAAAGTAAAGTATCCCAAACGCCAATTCAGGCCAGCAACCGGATCTCTGTCCGGGTGGATGCCATGCCGTCCTCGTATCCCCCCCAATTCATTATATCGTCATATTGTTAGTTCCTCCAGGCGTTTATCCTTCCTGGGCCCAGCGGGCCGCTCAAAACGCATAAGCGTTGCCCAATCCCAATACACCTGCACCTCCAATTCCTCTAGTTTCGCTATTGCGTCGACTGTTACCAGGCACAAGAACCATGCCCCTGTCATTCTCGAGCGTCAACAACACTTGCGATGGCCGTCGCTCTAGCTTTCCCTGATTCTGCAACGCTCTGATACCGATCAAAGCACCACGCAGACCAATGTTGAGACGACGCGGCTCTTGGAGACCAAAGAAACCTGCAGTCGGCGAGGAAAATTGACGCTTGTGGGCGAATGAGCCGCCGAGGGATGCCATACTCGAGTTGGGGCGGGCAAACAGTGGGCGAGGGATAGAAAACTTGCGCATGTGACTCAGATAGCTGTCGCTCGAGTCGTCGAAGATGAATGATCGTCTCTGCGGCGACCAGTGCGAGAGTGACATCGTTTCGTCGTGAATGGCGGCATCGGTGGGGAATTCGGGGAACGGTACGGTAGGCTCCGAAGGTTCTGAATAGTCAGAGTCCTCAGTTTCAGTCATCAACGGCGGGGTAGATGGTTCACGAGCTTCATCTTTGTCGCTGAACGAGGGCGCCGAGTCCGAAGTCGGCGTGCGAGGCGCTTCGACCGAGACGGACTGGGCCGCGGTCAGGACTAGGGGTGGTGAATCTCTGTTTATCTGCTCGGATGGATCAAGAGTCGGCTCGCAGGGCTCCAAGGGAATTGGGTACGGCTCAGCAGCTTCGGGGGTAGAGAGAGCGTCGAGGATGATAGCAGGCTCGTTTGTTTTAGAAACAGGAGAGTCCTCGGCACCCTCGGAAGGATAATCCTCAGATGCTTTGGATACACAGGAAGGCTCGATTGCCTCAGGAACGCGAGGGGCGGAGGTAGGTTCGATCGTGTCAGTGGAAGACGTACAAGAATCGACTTTGACAGTCGAAGCCAGAGTGGATGTCACGTCCTCAAACAGAGAACCGGACACCATCACCTCAACAGCTGATGGCAGAGCTCTTTTTTCAAGATCGAACGAAGGCGAAGCTGAACCAACCCGGTTGGGTGACGCCGTTGTAGAGTCGAGGATCAGCGGCGAAGGTGCCCCGTGTTCGAAGTTAACGGGAGAGTTCAGTCCAGTCTCCGTTGCGGTTGCAAAGCTTGAAGGGCTCGACAAGACGGCTATGGCAGACGCGGAGTCTGCGTCATGGAACTCCGCTTCAGATTCATCCTCGTCCTCTTCAACGATGGTTTCAATAGAGTATTCTAGGAAGCCTTCGAAGCATCGGGGAGGGGTGGAAGGTCTGGCGCGTGGTACATCTGGAGTAACGACAATCACTGGCTGCTCTCTTGTTGTCGACTCGTCGACCTCGTGGGTTGCGGGTTCAAGCGATGCTGTCGGCTCCGCCTCAACAGATCGTTCCTCAGCGTCGACGGGTTCGCAGCAGTATTCGAGCCAACCCTCGAGAGCAGGCACTTGAGGTGGCTGTTCGACCTTTGCGGCAAGCGAAACCGGCAAGCGGGCGGCGGTAGACTCAACCTCGGGCTCCGACTCCGACACGACTTCTTTAGCCTGGACGACGACATCCTCTGATTCTGACAAAGGCAACGGTTCCAAGTCGTTGAGCGACCGCTGCTCGGAACCAGAGTCGGTCGATGCCAGAGACTGTCTGGAAACAGACCGACTGCCTTTGCCCAACAAGCTGAACTGTCGTGGGCCGTTGAAGCGCTGCATCGTCGGTGTCGGCGGCCCTACCAATGAGTCGTCGATAAGCTCGCTGTCGGAAGTCTCTGAACCAGCAATGTTCGGGTCTGCGTCAAAGTGTTGAGGGGTTCCCGAGAGCGTCCGCATAAACGTGGGCGTGATCAATAGGCTGTCGTGGGGCGTACCAATGTCACCGTCGGCAAGGCTTGGAGTAGACGACGACGAAGGATATGTAGTTTCGCCGTCCTCAGTCATCGAGAAGGACAGACTGCTTCGACCGCAGTCGAGCTGATCCTTGAAAACGATTGCTTTGGCTGGAGTTTCAGGCTGTTGCAAGGGCCCCACGGTGTCATTGACGCTTTCGGTAATCGTTTCAACCCCACTGCTATTCTGAAGCGTTTCATCTTCGAGGATCGAAGGTTCGGACGACTCATTGAAGCTGCCATCGAAAGAATCCGGCACGGCCCCATTGGGCGTCGGGATCGGGAGCGGGCTACTAGACGGTAAGGCTTCCATCTCTGCAGGGTCATTCGCTGCGGGAACTGGACGCTCGACAACGCGAATATTCTGTGGCTCAGAGTCGTAGAGCGCGCACGTGTCTTTCACCACCAGAGCAACGTCGGATTGGATTCGGCTCTTGAGTTTCGACACGAAATTCTCCCTCACAGTCTCAGGATCGTCGTCTTGGCGCTGTCCCGTCGCGTAGTACGGCGAACGGGCCACGAGAGTCTTGTCCAAAACCAGGTGACCACGCTTGTGAACCATGAGGGTGATACTCATATCGTTGCCTCCGAGGATATCCGCCACGCCAGTCTGCACTCTGTCCAAAATGGCTTTGACCGTCCTCCGGGAATAACAGGCAGTCGAGTCGAGGCAGACAGCAAATGGCTTCTCAGTTTTCCAGCCACGCCCGGACAACTCGTAGACTGTGACTCTGAGATCATCCATTTCATTCATTTCTTTGTCAGTATCGTCTCGCACCGCTTCGAAGGCATGTTCAAGCTGGCTCAGAAACTGTTCGCAATCGAGACCGTCGGGGTGCTCGAAGAGGAGCAGGTTGCTGTCGAGCTCGCGGCGGAGGTGCCTGTGGTCCAGTCCGAGTTGGTTCCGTATTTGAAATCCAACGTGGACGGCATTCTGCTCAGAGTGATGAGACTCATCCAGGAAGTCGAATCTGTCATGAGACTGACGATGATGTCTATCGAAAGCCATTTTTCTAGCATCCAAAGCACGTTGCATTGCTGTTGACAGAACCCACGCCATATCCTCTCCATGGGATAAAGTTAGCGGGGAGCTCTGCTTGCTCTTTAGCGTGATGTTGCGTTGCCATTCTCTTTGCCTCCGTGACTTGCATCGACTCCGGAAGGACAGGGTGATCTCGTAGCCGGGAACGAACTCCCAATCTTGGGTAGCGTCAATAAAACGCGACTGGGGGACGTGCAGAAGGGAGACCGGGTTGCTTAAAGGTTTAAGGATTTCTAGTTCGCTAGAGGATCGCTCACGTGTCCTGCCATGCGTCCATCTGAAGGTCTTGTCGTGAAGCTTTATGAAAGAACCGATGATTCGATCGGTGGAGCGAGCGATCTCCATGGCAGATGGCTTGTCCATGGGGTACTTCTGGTACGATCTGAAGGTTTTCGTAGCCCATGGTTCCGAACCGCCGCGGTAAATCTGATATGTCAACTCAAATCGAAGCGGCTTCCCTTCGCCGATTTGCGGGATGGTCCGCTCGAGGGCGGTTGAATCTCTGCGGGTGAGAAGCTCATGGGAGCAGTGGGTTAAGCGGCGTATAAGGGCTTGACATAGTTGGTCCGTCGGCTCGAATCCGTAAGATGACTGGTACTGTCTCTCGTAGGTGAGATCCAAGGAAGGCTGAAACTTGATGCAGACTCGGACAGCCAAGCCAGCGGGCGACGGGGAGGTGAATTTCGGGTCGTTGAGGCCAGTTGCGGTTCGAGGTCGCCCCGGGCTTGAAAGAAGAAACCTTCTCCGGAAGCCCGAGGCGCCGGAATGCGACGTTGAAGGACGGACGAGATCAGACTCGGCCATGTCCGTCTAGAGTTGTAAAGGTGAGAGCAGCGCCAATGGCCATTCGGTTGGTAATGTTTAAAAAGGGAGTTTGAATCTCAGTTCCCACCAGACTCAAACCGAACCCGTCAGATAGTGTCCGGGGGAGGGACAACGGGGGGTTTTAAAAAAAGCGGTTTCGACGGGGAAGAGACAAAGTAAGGTAGCACTGGCTGGCCCTAATGCAGGCAGTCTCCATCAAGTCATCCATAAAAAGGACGGTAGCACCCAGAAAGGAAAGGTTGCTTGGGACCAAAGAAAGAGGAACCAAGAAAAGTGACGAAAACGGGTAGGAGAAGGAAGCGCAGGTGCTGCAGAAGCAAGAAAGCCAGAAGGCACCTAGCAGAAGCACCAACCGCGCGGGCGGGTCACGCGAGTGATATGTATGAGATGTTATGGCTACGATTGTGGTGCGGTTCTGACGCGCCGATGCGAGAGGTTGGGCGACCCATGGCATGATACACCCAGCGCAGCTTATTACAGGGGAAGCCTAGCCAACCGGAGGAGCCTCTGTCCTCTGCGCAGGAAGCTTTTCTTCGCAGGGCAACCTCGGATTACCGTTTAGGTAGTCGGGTTGGCGGAAAGGGTGGTGCGGCCGTGTTTGTTTCTGGAATAAGACAAGGCTGATTACGGCTGATGAACTGACAGTGTCACAAGTGAAATAGGTACGTAGTGGGAGCGGGAAGCAGAGAAACCACGGCAGGACTCCATCCATGTTGGTTGGTGAGGTGGGCGAGGCGATTGTCAATGCTACCCGTACCCGCATTGCTGGAGAAGAAAGCAACAAGTGAAATTTGTTCAATGCTCGCTCGGATTGCCATGGTGATTTCCCACGGGCGGCTGCATTGCTGTAGCGCCGTAGCGAATGACGGCAAGACAACACAACAAGACAACAGAGCACCTCAAACCCACCAGCCGCATCCGCAAATTTCTTCGTTTCCTCGGATGCAAGAGTGAGGAAACCCGCGCGAAACACAACATCGCGAGCGTAGCAACGCCCCGAATGAGTCAGCGACGGCGCAAGCAAGCAGATTGAAAATGATGGAAAGGACTCTTAGTCGCCCGAAATGTGCCGCTTGGCCGTGGGCTCCTCACTGCTGCTCCTCTTCGCTGCATGCTGTGCCTTGAATTGCGCTGTCCTGTCCTGTTTCTGAGGCTGACATGGGCATAGTCTCCTGCCTCATCCAACGCATGGAAATGGAGTTCGCGCCTGACATACTATGTAGGCACAAGGGTGAAGCGAAAGCTGGTGGGGATGAGCGGATTCCGTACCCCTTCCGGAGAGAGACGCTGCTGTTTCTGCAGGTGGTCGTCGGCGTCAGCGACTCAGCAAGTCCATCGGCGACTCGAAGCTCGCGCGTCCGTAATAATACAAGGATTCAAATATCAGGCAATTTGGTAGATCCGCTTTGGGGCATGCGGGCCTTGCAAACTGTCGCAACACACGCAGTCTGCAGAAGGCTGGATGCGCCGGAACCTGGGCGTCGGGAACTATCGCTAAGGCGCCTGAAGAAACCCGAATCCGTCACCAGATCCTGGCATGATCTCCATCTAAACCAAGCTGCCAGATGCCGGGCCAAGGGTGAGGCGTGGGAGAGGAGAAGTGCAGCACAGATCGGAGAGGGGCGGGCTCGCAGGAGTCACTGGCGCCAGCTGCTTCTCCTCCGACCCCCCGGTTCACAGTTCGAGATTAGAGGAGCTTGGGAATCGTAGACGTCTTCAAAAGGACTAACTGGACCGGACTGGTTTGCATGACGACAGTCGGGCCCGGGCGCCCGTTCTTGACCGCTGCTGGACCCCAGCCGATCCCTTGAGACATGGCCGGAGGTGGTTTTAAAAAACCAAAAGAGATAAAACCTCTTCCCATGGAACGGCAACGCTTGGAGTCGAACCCCGTAATAAATGGCTCCTGGCCAATGGCCTCTGCTGCATGACGGTTAAAGACTCAAAAAGTCAACATGCTTCGCCCAGTCAATGTCGCGTATTACATAAGGGGGAGCCCCGCATATCCAAGAACCCGAAAAAAGACCCTAGAATATCAAGGGTCGACCGGAACCCTTGTCCCAAGCCCACCTACCAACACCTTGTCGATGTCGTGGTCTTGCATCTTGCCCACTCCGATGGGACAATCCACCCGTAGTGGGAACCGTGGATACTCTCCTGCGACCACTCAAAGATTTGAGAAAGAGAGAAATGCTCGTCACTTTGAGGTCCGAGTCCCTCTGCGCGCGAACTTTGGCGTCATGGCGCCAGCCACGCGCCTTTTCCGCTCTCCGTCTGTCTCTGCCGCTACTGGCACCTTGCCGCCCCGAGACAGAGGGTCTTTGTTCTGGACGGAAATCCCGCTGCTAGAGAGACAGGTGGTCGCCGCTTGTCTCAAAATCTCTCTCTCGGTGTCGCCCAGCATGAATGGTCGGGATACGTCGTCGGGCCATCTTGGTAGATAGTGGGCGTCATGGAATGTACCCAGACTTAGGGCAATGCAAAGTCTCAGGGTCCCCTCAGCATCGCTATGCAAATGCAAAGCGGCTCTCTCTCTCGATCTGCCAAGTGCTAACTACTCCGACTCAAGTCAATTGGACGGATGGCGGTCCGTCTGAAGTCGATGGGCAGCTTCGAGACTCGGCCGATGCACAGAAGAGTTCGTCTCGATCGAGCAGCAGATGATGCATCGAAGCCAGGGCCCGAGCTCAAGGTTGTTCGGGATCCTGGAGTGATTCGACCGTCATTCTGGGGTAGTCGACGCCTCGGCGTCGTTGGCCGCTACCAATTGTAGCGTAGTCTTGCCACGGCCCGCAAACGGTTCCTACGCAGCCGAACCTTCGATGTCTCCAGGTGAGCCGCGGTCGTCATCGATGATCGACCTCGAACCATTGCTACACGCGTGACCCTTGAAACACCGGGACTTGGGCCCTGTCAGTGTACCAAGCCTTTTCCCATCGAGTAAAGCTCACTTGGTTTGCCTCAAGAACTGAGATACAGCACGTGCACAGGGCTTCTCTTGGATAGAGAGTTGGTGAAAGTGAAGGCAAACCTGTCAGCGCGTAGCCCAGCCATCTGATGGGGATCCATTTCCTCTCGTCAGATATCAGCGGTTGCAGACCTGTCTCCGAGGAAGGCATTAAGTCATTTTCCAGGATGCTTGTCATCTCCGGACCTACTTCCCGCATCTGCCCAACATGTTCTCCTCATTCGAAAACCTTGTCCACTATGGTATCCTTCTCACCATTTTTTTTTTCGGAGGGTGGGTGAACTCGAAGTTGGTTTCACAAATCCCGGAAGCTGTTGACTTGCTAAGTGGGCTCAGAAGGAGCAACGGTGGCGGTAGTGTCGCGGTCCGTCAAGGTCCAGATCGATTGATAAGTGCACGAGGATTGAGGCCTATGTCTGTCAAAAACGAGGTTTGCTGCTCACCAGTAAGAACCTCCAAAGGCGTTACATGGTCATGCTCTAGACAAACACTCTCTTCGAGGTCGCCGGAAGGAGTGTTTTGAAGAGCTGCGTGGACTACGGCGTCATGATCTGGACGCAAAAGTGTAGAAACCCGGGATCCATGCTGCTCGCCCCGAAGCTTGACTTACAGCTTTCTAACTCCGTTTGATTCGTTGGGATAAACTGCAAGTAGATGTGCTATGCAACTACATGTTCAACAATCAACTGCTTGAGCCATTCGCTTGCAGTATCAACATCGCCAGGATTCTCTGTGCTTCATCTGACGGCATGGTTAGATTGCTGATGGCAAGACGTGGGATTTAGAGGATCGCGGGGAAGACTGTTCGTTGGGAGTGGAGCTTTCTGGGATTGGAAAAGGGACAAATAAGAGACCTGGATGAATATTGAGAAGGGAAAAAAATGTTTGGGCTCTTGAAAAAAGAGGTGGGGTTTCCTGATCAGGTCGAAGTATCGAGTTGTTGGGAAATAGCGTAGAGCTATAGCATACTCAATTTTTCAAAACGTACAGGATTGTTGAAGCTATCTAGATGTAGAAATTCTCTCGCAGATGTTCTACATGTTGCAGTCCCCAAGCTTATGTCTTGAGACCAGAAAGGTTTACTCGTTAAGATGTGCCCCCTATATCGCCAGAGCAACACCAGCTATTGCACTTGAACGAACATGAGCTAGTCATCTCGTGTACTCGAGCTTAGATTTTCCCTAGGTCAGAAACCATCCCAACTTCGGTCAATAAAGTATGTCCATTATCTGTTCAGCTCGAGGGTAACTTCTGGGCCTTACTTTAGTCCTGTAATTGGGTCCATCTTCGTTACTGTCTTGAGAACAAACCCACTCTAGCTAGCCTAAGGGTGAAGAAGCCAGCTCTTTCTGTAGTGACCAGGCTTTCCTCGGATATCGTTCAAGTATTCCGTTCTCATCAGCCATGGCTGAGAGCTCAGAGAAGCCGGTCAGAAGAACAAAATCCAGTTTTCCGTTAAGAGTCTCTCTATGTATATCTATAGTGACGGTGTGATTTCACTTTGCCAATCAGATGTAGAATCATAAGTTCGGTTCGCACCAGACCAAGGTGATCCCAAATATAGCCCTGACATGTCGTCTTCGTCGTTGTATTAGTAAATCACCCAGTACGTGTATTTGTAACAGTCTTGATAGCATGTTTGTATCTCGACTACCCACCCCTACCGGCAAATATCTTGTTCATGAATTGCCGCTCTGCTGGGGAAAAAGAGGTCATTTCTCATCAACTTTTCTGTATTCCAAATCCCCTCCTCTCTGAATAAGAGCTCCACCCTCTCAACAACGGGTAGCCCGTCTTTTCCTTCTCTCAAAGTTGAACCTCATCCTCTGCGCTCCCTGGACGTAAGATGCCTCGCCCGCCGCCTCTCGTCCTCCGTCAGAACCCAAATCATGCCATCCTCCTCCCCATCATCCGGCTGCGCGGAAACCTCCTCCCACTCCTCCTCCTCCATGTTCGCCACCATCAAAATCTGCGACACCCTTGCAAAGAGCTCCCTGACGCCGTAGTTGCCCTTGGACACGGTGCTGACAATGCTGGAGAAGTCGCGCTCCATGCGGATGACGCCGTAGGCGTTTGCCCGGGCGTCCCAGACCCTGCGTTCGAGTACACGCGAGAGGTACCGTGCCGTGAGGTCATGGAGCGTAGTGAAGGTGTGGGTCGTCATGAGCCGCGCAACGGGCTTCATGAGCTGATCCCAGCCGTGCTCGAAGCGTCGGGACACCTGATCGAGCATCTCCTCCTCATCCTCGTCGTTTTGCTGGGCAAACTCAGCCAACTCCTCTTCGGTCAAAGAGTAGTCTACGTCGCGGAAGGTATCAGTGAGCACGGGCCGGAGCCGTGGTTGGATAACCTGCTTGAAAAGAACCTGAAGTCCCTCGTTGAGAAGCTCGGTAGTCTTGGTCGTGAAGGAACTGTGCAGTGTGTTGAGTGCAGAGGCCACGAAAGCAACGTCCTTGTCAAAAGGGAACGTGTCTCTGAGGGACGGCTCATGAGCATCGCCGTTTGCTTTAGGCGGGTCATTCGTGCTTCCGAGGTTAGTCGTGATGATTCGTCCGAGGTACTCATTTGCAGTGTCGAGACTGTTGATGAGGACGATGAACTGGATGATCCTGTCTTCTGGCGGAAACCCTCCTTGCACAATGGGCTTGGGGTAGGACTCGTCTCGCATCTTTCGCTGAATCATGCCGACAAAGTCTGAGCCGAGGACTCGGCCGATGGTGGGGATGACGGATGAGATGACATCTCTTTGAGACGTCGATATTGACTTTTGAATAACGGCACTGACAACGTACATGACGTCGTCAACCGCAGAGATGATGAATGCTTGGTTCGTGTCGATGTGCTTGTTCATGCTGAGAGATAGTCCACTAGCCGGTGATTCGTCTAGTTGGAACGCTTTTTCGACGGATCTTCGGAAGAAGAAAGTCATCATGATGTTATACGGGGATGTTAGCTTGTCCGAGACCTTCTTCTTGAGGTTGGATTTGACAACAACTTCCGGCATTGAAAGCGGTGCATCAACAGGTGTAGAGGGTTCCTGGAGGGATTGTTAGTGATGAGTTCGCAATGACAGGGAAGCGTTCCACTTACGCGAGTCTTTCCTGCCAGGAACTTTGAGTACAGAGACCACCGGCCGAGCATAATTGCGATCTCACTAAGAAGGCCATCGACCTCCTTCATATTGACGCCCTCATCCTCACTGGCACGCGGGTTCGCGCCGGCGCCCATGGCAGGCGAGTTGACCCGTGGTGTCCCGCCCCTCTGTGGAGGTAGGAAACTCTGCACCAAGAAAGAAAAGGGGTAGCTCTTGACGTCCTTCAACCGTCTGTCAACGTCTCGCTCATCGCTCCATGAGTCGAGAACGATGCCCCCTTGTACGTCGGCCTCCTGTTGCAAACGCTCAATGACACGAACCATCTTGCCAGAGCCATAATGGAGCTCGACGAGACCACCATGGCCTTCCACAATGCGGGCAATATGATCGAATAATCTGGTGAGGGCATTCGCATAGAAGAAGCCTTCTTTCCTCGCCTGGACACCAGGACCCTCCTTCAAAACGGATCTTGCCGTACCGGCCACGCCCTGGCAGACATATCGCCCGTAGACGTCCAGGCCAACGTCTCCTCTTCCAATGAGCGGGAAGAGTTTGAAGAACCTCGTCACCTTGGCGCCATCTCCCTCCCTGGTCGCCTTCTCAAACTCCCTGAGGAACAGCCCGCAGAGACTCTCTTTGGCATTCTCGAGCGTCACCCACGGTGGGTCGGGAACCTCAACGGACGGGACAATTGACGACGCAAACTTGCCCTTGGTGATATCTTCAGGCACCTGCGCCGCCCGCGCCAGGTACGCCGCGGCCGCCTCCCAGTCCTGCGGGGCACCCATGCTACCAACGACGCCCTGGACGCAAGCCTTGAGCTCGACGACCTGCTTGACGACTTCGAGTGTATCCTCGACCCGGCTTTTCTCCAGGTCCAGCTCCTTCACCTTATTGCTCAGCCGCCCCGCGGTGTCCGCAGCCGTCGAGAGCATGTCATTGCCAACTGACCGCGCGGCGATGACCTGACTGCCGAGCCCCGCGCGCAGCAGGTCCAATCGGCCTAGCTCGCGTGCGAGGTCAGCCTGGGAGTCAAGAAGTGCATCGAGGCGGCTCGTGATCGTCGATTCGCGGGCGTGGAGAGCTTCGAGGGCAGCACGCACCTCGGCGACGCTCGATGCTGCGTAGATGCTGCTGGTGCTGCTACTGCTGGGTCGGGCCGCAGCGCTGCTGTGCGCGCCGTCGGCGGCATTGTCGCTGTCCGCGCGATGGGAGGAAACGCCATTCGTGAGTGTTGACATTGGCGCGAGCTAGCTGACGGGTGCATAGCTACCTTGGCCTGCCAGCAGAGGTAGGGGGTGTTGTCTGTGCCGTGAGGGTTGAGGCCGAGGTCGAGGTGTTAGCTGGCCCGAAGTGCAAGGTAGGAGTTTCGGTGAGCAAGGCTCACCGATAAGCGAGGTCAAGGTGTGGGCGCAAGGGAGGAACAAAGTTTGGGCTGATCTGCAAAACTGTCCTATTCAGAGCATCGGACGAAAGCAAGGAGGGGGTTTACGATTGGATTTTGGAAAGGCCGTTAAACTATTTACCGTATTCAGAGATTTACATATATGCTAAGGCCGTTGACCGGTACGACTCCCCCGTACCTCACATGAGTGATGCTTCCCGTTCTACACTGCCTGACTGTAACTGCCGCCCATGCGCCGTCTGGCATATTTCCAGTATTTTCTAACCTCATCCGCCCAAAACACCGTGCTACAAAGCATCAGAAGTCCTAACAAATCGAACAAGCCCAATGCCTCTGTTTGGAAAACCTCCTGGAGCCAAGGGAAGTAAATGACAAGTAATTGGCCCGCAATGCTGAGTGAGACCGCCCAGTTGAACAAGGTGTTTGAAAAGAGCCCAACTTCGCCTCGCAGAATCGACTTTGATTCGGATCGGCAGGCCAATGCGTTGAACATATCAAATAATACAAAGCAAGTAAAGGTCATGGTCGTATCGCGGCGGTTAACCTCGCCATCGGCCAGCATCTCACGTCTATAGACGAGCATCGTGCCCGCCATGATGATGAATGCCGAGGTCATGACCCTGTAGAGCAGAGCCCTCGTGAGGACTGCGTCGTTCCGCTTCCGTGGGGGCCGGTTCATTACGTCGGCGTCAACGGTTTCTACGCCAAGCGACTGAGCGGGTGGGCCATCCATGATGATGTCTGTGAAGTCGTTAGTTTGGATAGAAACTTCCCTGGGAACAGATGGACTCACTGATCCAGAGGATCTGCATGGCATTCAGTGGCGATTTGAAGCCGAGGATTGTGCAGATTAGTACGAGAGACAAGCCAGCTGCGCTTGTACTCAGCTGGAACGTCAAAAAATTCTGGATATTGTTGAAGATTCCCTTGCCCTCTTCGATCGCTCGAAGTATCGTTGAGAAATCGTCGTCCGTCAGAATCATATCGGCAGCCTCCTTGGCCACATCAGTCCCGTGTAAGCCCATCGAAATGCCAATATCTGCCCTTTTCAGTGCCGGAGCATCGTTGACACCATCTCCAGTCATGGCCACAATATCGCCCCTGGCCTGGAAAGCCCGAATAATCTTTAGCTTATGGTCCGGGTTCGTGCGGGCAAATATGGTAGTGTGCTGAATGGCATGGGAAAGCTCCTCTTCTGACATGACATCAACATCCTCACCCCTCAAGACTGGTCGGACTGCGGCTTGATTAGAGGCGTATTCGATGGGCTTTGCAATCGGCATGCCAAGCTGTCTCCCGATTGCCACGGCGGTCGTCTCGGCGTCTCCTGTTATCATGACAACTCTGACACCTCCGCGCAAAAGTCTCCTAATTGACTTGCCAACTCCAGGTCTTGGGGGATCGCTCATGCCGACCAGGCCAGCAAATGTCAGGCCCCTATATGTCTCGTCGACGGGTTGGGGAGTATTGGTACGACTGGTCGGCGCCAGTGCCGTTCTGCCCCTATGTCTCGAAACCGCACCGCTGGCGAATGCAAGTACGCGGAGGCCCCTCGACGCCATAGTCTCGGCAGCTTGCAGTGCCTCCTCACGACGCGTGGAGTCGAGGACGATCTCTCGGCCGTCGCGGGTGAGATAGGTGTCGCAAGCTTCGAGAATTCGGTCGATGGATCCTTTCATGTAGGCAAACTCCTTATCGTGGGTTCCAATGGTGACGCCCATCCATTTACGCTCAGAACTGAAGGGGGTCTCCGTCAGACGCGCACCGATAGACTCGCGAACGTCATGCTCCTTGAATCTGTCAAGCAGATCGAGCATAGCGACGTCCGTAGGTTGGCCACACCATCGTGTGTAAGTTGAAGTGAAGTCTGCTCCTTGCGTTGATGATAGGACGGCCCTAGCGGCCGCACCGTTCTCGGTGTACTGCTGTGCCAAACGGCCATTGTTCGCAATGTTTCCAATCCGTAGGATACGCAAAGTGGCGGGGTCTGGCTTGGTTTCCGTCGCTTCATCATCAGATTCAACATCAATGGCGCCATTGGCACCAAAATACCACATCTTAGCGGTTGTCATGTGGTTCATGGTAAGAGTTCCTGGGGCATGTCAGTAAATACCGAGTTTGATCGCCAATCAATGCTTTCGCCCTCATACCTGTCTTGTCGGTGCAAACGACATTTACCGAACCCAGAGTCTCTACCTTGGGCATTCTGCGCACGATAGCATTGTGGCGAGCCATTCTATGGACACCAAGAGCTAGGGTGACCGTCACGATAATTGGTAGACCTTCCGGAATAGCTGCAACAGCAAGAGAGATTGAAATGGTGAAGATTTCCAACAGTTTCTTTCCCTGAAGCCATCCGACTAGAGAGATTAGTCCGATAACAACGAACGAAGCTTTGCTGAGCTGAGAGCCTAGATCGTCCATTGAGAGTTGGAGAGGTGAACGAGGACTTTCTGTCCCAGACACGCTGGTCGCAATTGTTCCGAAGTTGGTTTGCCCACCCGTTGCAAAGACAATCCCTTGGCCGTGACCGGATCTCACGAGTGTGCCCATCCAGGCAATGTTGTTCTCGCCACTCCCACCCGCATCACGGTTGTCGGACAAGGCGGATGGACTCGGAAGCTGAAGCGTGTCTGCGCCATATGCCGGGGACAAGAGACTTCGCGCTTTCACTTCAGCAGTGATCCGCACTGGCTCGTTTTCTCCTGTGAGGTTTGACTCGTCAATCGTGAGATCTGCTGCCTTGGTGACCCGAATATCCGCCGGAATACGATCGCCCGTGGTGAAGTAAACCAAGTCTCCTGGCACAAGCTGCGAAGCCATGACCTTTGATGAGGTTGCTTCCAGCATTTCTTCCCCAGGCGTAGTAGATCCGACCGACTCTGTGCCGTCCATAGGTCCCTGTGGGGGCCAGGTGGGAGTTCGGGCGCTGCCGGGTGTCTTGCTGGCAGCTGAACGGACCAGATGGGCGTGAGCAGGAACTAAATGGCTAAGAGCCTCTATTGACTTTTCTGAGCGGTATTCTTGCACAAAGCCGACTGAGACGACGATTGTCACGGCGACCGTGATGCTGACTGCGTCATCCATATTGCCTAAAAATAAGGATGCTCCGGCCGACACAAGCAACAGCAAGATAAGCGGTTCCTGAAATTGTTTGATGAACCGAAGCCACAGCGGTTCGGGGGGTTCGTGGGGTATCTCGTTCGGTCCGTAGTCGCTGAGTCGGTTCATGGCTTCTGCTGGTGAGAGACCGTGGGTAAGGGACGTTTGAAGACGGCTGGCGGCTTCTGTCGAACTCATCGAGGAGAACTGGTCGGCGATGCTCTACACAAATATACATGAGCTCAATCCTGAAGATATGGAGGGATAAGGAGAGTATTACCCTTGACTGCGCCGACGTAGTTCGATTGTGGCCTGGCCTGGGCCGCGTTGATTCCGTCTCCACAGGTTCCATGGTCAAACCATTGATGCTCGGCCTCTTGGCCGTCAGAGGCAACAAAGCTTCGCCATCGTTGGAGTCCTTCCTTTTATGCCACGGCCACTGCATACCTGCGTATGGCGAGGCAGAATAACTCGGTCACGACCTTGGATTAGTTGTTGAACGCCCAACGCCGATCATCTGTCAGTGGAGGAGGCGAAAAGGAGGCATGCGCCGAGGCTAAAGGATATGTCGTCGGATCTCAGGGCACGTTCGTTTTCGGAGGATGTAAGGTCCTTTATCGCCAAGGTATCAATTGCGGGGAGCTTGGTCCGAAGACATAGTTTCGCGGAAGCTGGTGACGGGGTGTAGACAAGCGGATGTCGTGGGAAAAGATCAGAAAACGTGTGCCTTCGGCTGGGATAGCAGATGCATAGCCAAATCTGGTCCCAGGGACAGGGCGTGCGGCGTGCCGACGCGACTCTTAGTTTGGCGGGTCCGTGGCTGTTGTACAGGGGGCCCTGGAACGAGGACTCGGGAGCAGTCTCGCCGCTCCGCACATCCCAGTGGACCGTTGCTGGAGCATGCCGCTGCAAGCAATCCAGTGTCGTGGTCACTGGTCAGGCGTCAGACATGGGCATGCACGATATCAGTTACATGTCTCATGATTGCCACGTAAATTTGTCCAAGCCATACCATTACAAATGAATGATCCTAGCCTCGCTATTGGTGTCAATGCTAGGATATCTCATTGCTGGTATCCGTATCTGGCGGCTCAACGCGGAAGCAACGGAAAAACGAGGGGGAATGGTCACCATCAAGGTCGTGGAAATGTTAGGTATACACTGTGTCCAGGCTGCAACGACGCAAAGTGACACCGACACTTGTCTTTTGAAGCCGTAATTTTTATAAGCCAAAATTAGTCCAAATTAGTCGGGGCCTCCAGGTCCCAAGTCATAGTGATCATGTTCGGGATTCAAATTGGAGATACAGGGCCTCCAATAATATCTCGGAGGCTTACACTACTAAAATTTGGTTTCGTCTCATGTGTGTCTCCAAGCGGACCAGTAGGCTTTAGCAGTGGGAACTCCTCGCCTCGAGATTCCTCAACTCACGACAACTCATTGCTGCAGCTGAAGTGTTTGCCGCACTTGACTGCGTGATGCGTGTGAGATGAACAAGATAAAGGATATAATGTTGCAGGAGGTACTTGATTCGGAACTTGGGCTGCATCCTCTGCGGCACCTGGAGTGGTAATCACTATGCATGGTGCCTGCTTCGACTTACAGCTTCCGAGTTGGGAAAGCTCCGGACCTCGTACCTGAAAATGCTTAGATAATACATACGAAGTTGGCATCCTTGCCATGTACTGTTCACACCGCCACAGTATGAGAAAATACCTCCGACCCGCCGCTTCCGGGATGGTCGCCGGGTCAGCGAGTTGATGATCCAAGAGCGGAGCAACGGTCTCACGTGATGTGGCTGGTGCCACCAAATTCTGCGCGGACCAATCCCTGCCCAATCCCAGCCCCGTCAATTTGCGTCCACTGGCACGGCGCCGACAGAGAAGACCACCACACCTTGACTCCCCCCTCCTGCTCGCTTCCTTCATCTCCCTCATCGCTGCTCATCGCGCTCTTGCTACTATTGCTATCGCTGCAAGTTACTCTTCGGCCCTTCGCGATCGTTACGACTTGCTTCATGTCACCGCGCATCGTACTCTGCGCGTGTTAGACTTCCTCCCGACCGCTACATCCCCAACGCGACCCGATTCCCCATAACAACGCGCTTTCGTGTTTACGAGAGCTTCCGCAACCACCCCTCCCACCCCGGCGCGCGTCGCTGCATATATACCTTACGAGCAGTAGCTCTTGCTTCTTGTCTCTCGCATTAACGACTCGCGTTACGATTCGCCGTAGCCGCCATGTTCTATTCGGAGACGCTCCTCCAGAAGAGCGGGCCGCTGGCCCGCGTTTGGTTGTCGGCCAACATTGAGCGCAAGCTTTCAAAGACGCACATCTTGCAGTCCAACCTGCCGGACAGTGTAGAGGCTATCATTACACCCGGCCAGGCCCCGATGGCCCTTCGTCTAAGTGGCCAGTTGCTGCTTGGTGTTGTCAGAATCTACAATCGCAAAGCCCGTTATCTCTTGGAAGACTGCAATGAGGCCTCGATGAAGATCAAAATGGTGCGCTTGCTCCCCACTTGGGTTTTTGACGCGTTTGACTAACTTGTGTAGGCGTTCCGTTCAAGTGATAACCACGATATGGCAGTCGCCAACCTCTACGTTAACAACCGCGAAGCGCTGCTGCTGCCTGACAAGATTACTCCACTAGACAACCTGGATCTTCCTCCGCCTCCCGATGCGGCTTGGCTCTTGTCGCAAATGGACGATGTCACAGCTACGCCAGTTGGCCGCAAGGGGCGCGTTAGCAACCGTGACATCAACCTGCAGGAGGATTTCAACAACAGCCAATTTTTAAACCAGGTGGACACTCTCGATGACGAACTGGAGCTCGCACCTATGGAGGATCTCGACCTCGAACTCGATTTTGGCATGGACATCGATGAGCGACCCACTCGCATGGATACGACTATCGAAATGGGAAGAGATGCGCCTCTGGCTCGCTCAGTCGAGGACGACATGTTCAGCGAGCTCGATATCATGCCGCGAGGCAAGGACCAGACCGAGCGTGAACCCTCACTGGGTCTGAACCTTGACTTTGGCGACGATACCGTTCGTATCGCTGATGAAGAGGGCGATATTCAAATGGGTGACGACAACGAGTTCCAGTTCCCCATCGGCGATCAATCTGTTGTTCCGGGTCTTTCTGGTGGTCCTTTGGACATGCCGCGTGGCCGCATCTCTGAATCGCCACTTTCAGAGATCGACCCTGAGTTCGCGAGAGAGGTTGAAGAGGAATATTCCCGCATTCAGCATACGGATCTCTATGAACCAGATGAGGAAGAGGAGCATACAGTCATTCGTCATCCTCAACGAGCGAAGAAGAGGAAGATTCTGCTGCCAGACGAGCAGACGATGCTTTCAAGCACCCACATCAAAGACCAACAGGCTAACCATGCCAACATTCTCAGAGCTCAATCGTTCTTGCCTAGGGATCCGTTCGTCCTCGCTCTGATGGAAATGCAAAAGAGTGGCGGCTTCGTTTCCAACATCATGCTCGATGGCCGCAGTGCCAATTGGGCACCTGAGCTGAGAGGTATGCTCTCGCTTGAAGCTGTCAGCCGATCCAACGAGTTGAAGAGGAAGCGGGACAGCGGCATCGCTGATGTGGAGAGTGACAACGGTGCCACATCCAAGTCGCCTCGCCTGAATGTCGAAGAAGACGATGCATTTGCTGTCGAGGATGCCGGTCTAGGCAATCAAAGCATAGCAGCAGATGGCACTATCCTTGAGATTCCAGCTGACGAAGAGGGCATCAATTTTGGAGGAGACGACGACAACACCGGCAGACCCGTTTCACGTGAAGGAAGCCCTATGCCCAACTTTGATGAGACAACTGCTCCTGCAGTTCATCCCCAGGACAGTGGCCCTGTCTCCATGGGTACCAAGCATGCTGTCCACGTACTGAGAGATATTTTTGGCCCCGAGGCCGAGCACGACGCCGACCAGCGCAAGAAGAAGGCCGTGGTCTTCCAGGACCTCCTTCCCGAGAAGAGAACGACGAAAGCAGATGCTACCAAGATGTTCTTCGAATGTCTCGTCTTGGCTACGAAGGACGCGATCAAGGTAGAGCAGGGCGAGACCCTCGGCGCTCCCATCAGAGTCCGCGCCAAGCGTGGCCTTTGGGGAGCCTGGGCAGAGCGCGAGGCAGGTGGCGAGATTGCCGAGGAGGAGGAGCTAAACCAACCCGAGCCCGCAGCCGTGAGTGCCCCGGCTGTTGCTGTGGAGGCATAGACGATCACTGCTTGCTTTGACGAAGACCACTCGATTGATGCATAGCTATTGGAGGCTTGGCATGTAAAGTAACCGTTCTTTCTCTCTCTGTTGGACTACGTTTGGGGTCGGTCCTGGAAATGGCACTCAGCCAAGTGGCGTTTGGAGTAAATTAGGATGCTGGAGAGATACCAGATGCAGTTGCGGCCTGGGAGGGTGGGAAAAGCATGATTTGGGTACCCGAGCCGCATCTTCGTCGTTGGAGTGGCTTAATGTCGTTTTTTCTGCCTTTTTTTTTTTTTCAACTGGAGTGCTAGTATAGCTTGTTTTGATCGAGGCCATGGCGGGCCTGTAAGGATACCTCAGTACCTAGTTAGCTGTTCCCCATTGTCAATGAAGCTAGACATTTCTTCATTTCAAACTTTTGCGTGAGTGGTGACAAAGACTGTGATTGCATCTAAGCTTTGCGATTTCTCTGCCTCGAACAGCCTAATGGTTTGAGGGTGTCCACCACTCAAGGCTGTATAATCCCTACTAGTTTACGGATATGTTGTACTTCGTCGCGGACTTGTGCAACCCAGCTGCAATGAGTAGGTGGATTTGCTCGTCGTCGGGGTTGTCGCGTTATGTCCAAACGCCTTGTACATTACAATTTCGGATAGCGTAGTTGCGAAGAGCGGAATTTGAGATTGACCGCTACATAGATAAATATGTATTAATCAGTCCATAACGGGCAACTCTCATCGTTTGTTTGGTGGTTCTAGACGAGTCAGAAACAGATTTTGTATATATGTAGTAGAACATGTCAAAGTGCGCCTGACTCAGATGAGTTTTCGGCTTCTTGTAGACCAGACTTACGGTCTATGGTCAGCAGCTCTGAATACGACTAAAGGTCGTCAGCCACGCCGAAAGTAAGTGAGCTTGGAAAGTTGGACAGCGCCCACTTCTTTGAACCAGTACCGCCTCTACCTATCCCGGGGAATAGTGATATTAGTGATTGCCAAAAGAAATCAGCCATCCATACAACCTCTGGCACCTTTTAGATCCAAAGCTTAATGAGGGTTATGATGACAACAAAGCGTGATTCTATCTACTGAATTTAATTCAAGATTTGAGTAGCGAAGGGCTGTAACTGATTTGCCCCGGCTGTATCGGGCTCAGCAACTCAGCGTACGAGAAAGTGATGATATTTCATAGCGAAATACATCTTGGGGATCACAATGCACGAAGTGTATTCTTCCATCGCTGTCTCCCAGGTCAAAATGAGTCGGGCCTGAAACCTCGACCCACGTTGAGTGTTGTCTATTGAGGGTGTAGCATATTAGATCCAGTGGTGATTTAACCTTTGCCCACCAAGGACCATGCTCTCAACTTCAGCCATCACCTTCAGTTGTAATCGGAAGGCCTTTTGGTTCACACACGACAGAGGGACGACTCGAAGCTCCGATGGCTCCATGAAGTGGCCAGAAGGGACTTTGTCAAACTTTGGCGCGTAACTTCGAAATTAGATTGCAACTCGACCCAGTTACCTGAGTATTACCTCAGTACCCTAGACGTCATTGCAGCCGCGGCAGTGGTACATAAAGGTCCCGTTATGCACAGACCACTCGACTGATAACGATAAGGCGAACAGGACAATTTACATCCTAAGGTAGGTAAGGTACCATGCTGCTCGGGACAAACTATCCTCTGCTCCAAGCCGACCTTGAGGCCTTGCGATACACGTCTTGAACGACTCAGATTTTCATTCTTACGAATCTTCTTTGTATTCTCGTCACTCATTTGCCCTTCAATTTGGCTCCGTAGAGTCTGCCTCTCCTTTCCCTTCCTCGATGCCTCTTTCTCCCTCTACTAACAGCTATGGATGGTGATCCGAACGTTGAGTCGCAGCTCGACTCGTTTAGCTTGACCTTCCCCCTACCCTATCGCATAGGGTGTATCATTGTCCTTGGTAGGTAGCGATTGCGCGTGAATTGAAATGACATGCTGACTATAGCATAGCTGTCTGGGGCTGGGGTGTTAACCTCCACTACCTACACAAAGTCAAGATCGATGTACCGGCCTTGATTCGATATCCCTCACGATCCTCCCCGACACAACCGGCGCATCACCTCTCGACTTACCGCCTTGCAACCGTACTTTCGACGGTTTTCTTACTCTCGATTTCGACCTTCTGGCTCTTTTCCCGTCGAACCCCCGCCCTCGTCATCGAATATGACTGGTTACCGATGACCTTCCTGGTCGCCCTTGCGGCCCTGTTCTTCGTTCCGATTCGCAACTTTTCGCAAGGCGGGCGATCGCGATTCCTCGCTACGCTACGCCGCGTGAGCATCGGAGGTATAGCAGAAGCCAAGGATGGAAAATTCGGAGATATTTTGCTCGCCGATGTGTTGACGAGCTATTCCAAGATCTTGGGAGATCTCTACGTTGTGCTGTGCATGTTCTTCACGCCGTCCGGGGCTTCGACCGCGCGACCGGACCGGAACTGCGGTGGAACAGTGATAGTGCCGCTCATCATGGCAGTTCCGTTCGCGATACGGTTCAGGCAGTGCATCATTGAGTATTTCCGAGTCCGAAGAGCGCCTTACAAGGAGTCAGTCGGTTGGGGCGGACAGCATCTGGCCAACGCCACCAAATACGCCACGGCCTTTCCCGTCATCATCTTCAGTGCACTGCAACGAAGCGTTCCGGCTGATCAGCCAGCGCCTGGTTTGAACAGAGCATGGCTGGTGGCAGTGCTGGTCAACTCCCTTTACTCGTGGTATTGGGATGTTGCCAAGGATTGGGACCTGACGTTGTTCTCATCGGCGCGCCAGCGCAACAATCCGGAACACCCGTTCGGGCTCCGTCGGCGGCTTGTTTTCCAGCAGCCCGTTATCTACTACAGTGTCATTGTGATGGACTTGATGCTGCGGTGTTCTTGGTCGCTCAAGTTGAACGCTCATTTGGACAAGTTCACGGACTTTGAGAGTTCCATCTTCTTGTTGCAGTCTATGGAGGTATTCCGACGATGGGTGTGGATATTCTTCCGGATTGAGACAGAGTGGCTGAGGAACAACACGTCGGGGCTTGCGGTGGACGACATCTTGCTTGGAGACTACCAAGGCAAGTACGACTCTGATGAAGACTAGGAGCTGCGCGAGCTTCCTCGATGAGATAGAGGCCTTGTAATGTACGTGTGTAACTATGGGTGCTCGGAGTTATTGGTCTAGACGGGAGTCGATCTGAACATGATATTTTGACCTGGGCTTAGATTTCTACTCTACTGAATCATACTTCTAACGAGCCTTTCCCAAACATGGATTATGTTCTCTATCAAAACATGGGGTATACTTCTATGTGTCTTTACATGGGCGCGAATACCCAACCATTCTAACCAACATCACAATGCCCAAGAAAACCACGGGCGCTGCGTAGTGTTTGGTTCTTTCAGCTTGTTGAGGCAGTATCCGTTATGATTCCTCCTCACCCTGCCATCACATTCGCATCGGCACCCGATCCCTCCATCAATTGGTGTCGAAAATGATGACGCGTTTCCGAGCGCCTGAGACCCAGGTAACTGTCCGCCTGGCGCATTGGCCGGGCATTGGAACAGCTCGTCGTGCCTGTAGCCGAAATCCTCAAAATGATGCACTTTGTCGGCGTTGAGAAGCATGCCGACGGCCAGCGAGTGTACAGCGGCGTCACCCCACTGAATGCAACACCAAATCCTGGTTAGTGATCTGCTCCAGGCTGCCAGGGGTTTTGGCACAGGGGGTGAAGATTGGGTGGTTGGACGAGAAGCGACTCGGCAGCTGGGAGGAAGGAACGTCGAAGCTGACGTGGAGAAGTACGGCAACGCTTGGTTTTCCTGTCATTCCAATTTCTCCAACGACATGCTTCAACCTCTTCATCTCCTGGACGGCTTTGCAAAGTCCAACTCTTTGCCCATCACATCATAACAAGATGAAAAGACGATCGAGGATCCACTCACCCTTTCAAAATAGAAACCTCCTGTATCATCAAGCGCCTTGAAGAAAGCCTGATACTGATTTCCCCGGAAGAAGTCGAGATCCGCTATTTCAAAATTGCTCCAATAATGGCAGCCGCTCCAGGCGTCACCGGATTGATCACGGTGTGGCAGCAGGCTCATGAGCGACCGCAGCGGGTACGGGAGCCACGATGGCTCCATCATAGCCTTCCACAATGCCGACGACGCCAGATCGAACGCCTCCTTGAACTCGGCCGTGTTTCGAAAGAGTGAAGGCACCGTGTCCCATTCTTCCCACAAGGAAATTGTGAAGCCGTATACCTTCTTGTGCCGGGCCATCTCCGCAAAAGGATCGTATGTCATAGAGCAGAGGAAATCGACATCGGGCTCCAGTCTCCAGTACCATTTGTATTTTCGGAGGGCTTCGAGCTGGTAGAAGTTCCTGCCGGTCTTGAAGTTAGTATACGGCCCTCAAGAAGCTTAAGCTGAACGTTAAAGAACTATGACTGACCCCGAATAGAAACGGCACATGTGGTGGTAACCTTCTTCGCCGGCATGCATGGTGCCCCGCGCCCCTTGTTCCGCAATGCTGCTCTTCGCAGCTGTCTGGTTGATCCACTCGGGATATGTCCAGTCTTCCTGCGGAATCACTTCAAACGTCGCCCCTCCGCTTGCCGTACTATTCAAAGCCTCGATGAAACGGTCGTCGAATGGCTCGTTGTTGAGGAAGACGATTGGGTAGTGGAACCACCGGTTGAAGTGCTTTTCTAGCGAGGCAACTGTATGGTTTGCTTCCCTGAGCTCGGAGTTCTTGGCCAGCATCACTAGAACTCCATTCTCGCGCTTGCCGGTCACATCTGGTTCACGACAAGACGTGTAAAAAGGCTCATCATGCTCGTCGGACGGTCGTGGCGCAAAGAACGTTCTACGATGGATTACTGACTCCATCACGCCCACAGCGAGAAGCAGCCAAAGCCAGCTGGGGAGTCGGAAACGCGTCGGCCGTCGCCGCGGACTCACATATCGGCGGATCATCGCACTGATCGACGTCTACATGAGCCGTTTCCTTCAAAATCAAAACGAGGAAGATAGAAAGATACAGGAGGAATGCAGGAAGAAAGGTTTGCGACGTAACTCAGTAGGCCTAGCTCCGGGCGAGTGGTTCAAGCAGCTGGGCTTGAGGAATAAGACATTCAACTACGCTATTGACGAAACCGCGGCGCAACACGGAATGCTAGGCTATAACCCGCTACCTTCTACAGCATTGACCTCAACCAACACAAGCTAATAATTGCTTGTTCGAGCTGAATCTAACGAAGCCAGCTGCTAGAGCTGACGTGCGCCAAAGACAAGCAAATTCAGGTCCTGCGCTGGATTCTGGATTGGCGCCCATGCGCCGCCTACTATAGTAGACCGCTGGTGCTGTTCAGGGAGAACCAGCATGGGAGAACAACCCCTTGACTATTAGCTCGAGACGAAAGATGGGACGGCATTGGCTCCCACACGCCGGGACGGGCCAGTGCTTGAGCTAGCTGCGAAATGTCAGCCCTTCGCACGAACCTGCATGAGGATCAAGGGTTTAGATTGGGGTCGAAAAAGGAGGTCGTATCAGCATCATTTGTTGCAAACCTCCCACCATCCTGCTGACCAGATCAAGACAGCGAGCGGCCTCCGATGTCAGTCCAGGCATCGAAGTCTAATACACAACAGTCGATCCTTTTTCTCTCTCCGTGCGTATAAGCTCGTATGGTCAAGCAAGACCTCTTTTCTCACCTTCGTCTGTCACAAAGCCGTCCTAGTAAACTCGGCCGATTAGCCAGGTCTGGACCGACGTGGGTTAGACATCTCCACCTCGGAAATGTCTCTCCAACTTCGCCTTTGCACAACAGGGACGGATTGTGCTCTTCTTCAACACGCCCTTGGTTCAGATGGATTGACTTGCAGCCGCAGATCTGGGGCACCGCCTGTCGCTTGTTTTGCCATCTTGTGCATCGTCGAAGAGAAACCACCCAACAGCGGGCCGCCACCAAGCACGTCTGCTAGAGAGAATTGATGCGCCACCTTGCCGATGGTAGAACCCGCCAAGTGTTCTCACCTTTAGCCTCAATGTTTTCTCCATGAAGGCTTTGCTCCGAGGGGTAATAGCTGGCGCTTGCACTTCTTCAGCGAAGAATTTGGCTCTGAATACCACTAGAGAGGCTCACGCATTGGTTGGTGATAATCACGGATGGACCTACTTATGTGGTCAAGGTCTTTGGAGTATGGCACCGGAACAGCCGTGTCTCCAGTGCGAAAGGCGGAAAATCCTGGTCATTGAGCTGCAAAAGATAAGACAACTGCATCTCGCGGAGTTGGAAGAGCGAGTCTGGCGCCCAAGACGGATTCCAGAGAAAACGTCACACAGGGGGGCAGCCGCCAGCCATATCTTACAGAATGAGGGGTTCGCAATATCTCGTACCGTTTGCGGTTGAATGACGCGGGAATACCCACCGAATCAGCGATTTTGTCAGGCCATGTGCATTTTCTTACGCCGGATGCATTCAAATCCCAGCCTTTCAAAACGGCTCTTCCAAGCTCCAACGGCCGAGTTCTGGAGGTCTCTCGCTGACTGTAGACCAGCATGTCGAGACCAGGGCTAATAAGTCAGGCTCATGGCGCTGACTGGTCGACAATGATTCAATCCCCATGTCTCAGAAGGTCAGCGGAAGATCTCCAAGATCGCCTGGTCCCGGGAAAACCGGCTCGTCACTAACGAAGCCCCACGCGGTTATCTTGGCAGGCTCATGGTTTTATCCTCACACGGTTGCAAAGCTCGGCGAGGTCGGCGGGGGAGGCCGAGATCCCTCTGTCCAAGCAGTCGACTGAGACCATCCAGCTTGAGCCATGGTGTTGGGTGGGAGGTTTGAAGAAAGCCAGCGGGCGCAACCTTCCCAACTTGCCAACGTCGTCAACGCACATTTTTGTAACTCGATCTTGCAGCACAATTCCACCGTGGAATTCCTGGTTAGGATGTTGAGCTCTTCGCTTCCTGGTGCCATGCATACCACTCCTGGCCATGCGCTCACCTCGACTCCAGACGGCACGACTCGCGAGTTTCCCATGTTGGAGCGCTCCTTCAGAGCGAAGAGCTGCCTGTTTGTCACCCAGCACGCGGCGCAACAGTTTCTTGGCTTCTTTGTTCGTGTCGACGGCTCGCGGTTACTATGATTGAGTGTCTTTCGACGGTTGATGAAGCTAGTACTACCTGAGCCTTGAAATACTAGCCAAGCAAGCGAGGCGGATCCTCGAAGAACACACCAACCGTGCTCGTTGCGGAGCCCTTGCTTCTGCGCCTGTCAAAGTCAATTAAGCTCATGCTCATGCGGTTCCGCGTGGACTACGGGGTAAATGGGTTGTCAAGGTCGAATGCCAGGGGTGGCACAGGGAGCAGAATAATCACAGCGTCAGCCCTGCGATCCGACTTGCAAGGAGGAGAGCTGGGAAGCATTCTGTACCGACATCCCGAACCATGAGACAACGCGAACAAACAAGCAAACCAATTTTAACAGGTAACGGGATGAGTTTGGCCACCAAAAGACTTCATTGGATGGCGTCCAGGTGGCTCAGTTGGGTTTGGCAAACAATGTCCAGCATGGTAACATCCTTTTTGGATGGTGTGCGTTTGAGGGGCTTTGTCTGCTTATAATACAGACGCAGTGATCCGGAGCCCCTCGAGAACAAACTCTTTCGGACTTCTTATTCCCCGCCCATGCCGCATTTTTGGAAGAGCGCGTTTCTAACCACAGCGACTTTTTGGATTGGAACCGAAGCGGCCTTACCTGACGGAGGCTGATAGATACCGCTTGGCCTCTACTTTGGACACGATTCTTCTTTGTCGACAGAGCCATTCGCTCTGAGCTAGCCATTCCCGATTCAGTCAACAAATCCGACAAAGAGCTTCGAGTTCACTTCTAGAAAATCTTCTGCCCGCATCCGATCAAAGTGTCTCGGTCATCAGCTTTGTCATTCGAACCGGTGGCTACCAGTGGCATGGGACATATTGTGCCAGAATCCCGGATTTCGTCCTAGATGACACCTTGCTACCCTGGCTTTTTTCTTGCCTCACTACACTGACGAAACCCGCTGCTTCCTCGAGATGTCTACCATCATGGAGCCTCGAATCATTGCAAGTCAGCTTCCGCCTGGTTTGGAGATTGCTATTCCGCCGGGAGGCAAGCTGCCTCCTCAGCAGCCGAGAGGCACTTACGACAAGAAACCTCTTCCGCCGCTGCCTCCTCTTCGGCCGGGATTTTATCGCCAAGTTTCGGCCTTTTCTGTCATGTCAGCCATGTCAGTCACCTCAGCTGTGTCAATCGAAACAAAATCGACAACAAGGAATTCTTCGAGGTCGCGAAGTCGTGCTAGAACAACGCCATCACCGCCCCCATCGAGATTGGAGCCTAGTGAGAGGCCTGAGACAATTGAGAGACTGGAGAATGAGATCAGCACAATTCTGATCCAGCACAGCCCGACAACTATATTGCCTGTATCACCAAGATCAGAACATAGGAGTTGCTCGCCTCAGAGTCGTCGGCCCGAACCGGAAATCAGAAAGCTGGCCGTCCGACGTCTCTCTACGCCAATCACAAGCCCATGTACCCTGCATCGATCGTCGGCGAAGATCAAACAAATAACTGGGTTGGATGTTGACTTTAATGGCTTCACCACAACTCCCACCCGACCACCTCGATCACCTTTGATCAAGGAGACGCTGATGCCAGCTACACCCGACAAATCTAGCAGTGTTCAAAGCACAGGAAAACCTAGTTCGGAGAAACCGGCATCGACGTCGGAACCAGCTCGAACACTCAGCCTGATCGACGATTACGATGATGATTCGGAACCCGATAGTAGTGAATGGGACTTCAGTCCTAGTTCACGGAGGCATAACCCATCGTGGATACCCGCGTCTCCGGTGCCGCCTCGGGTAGAGATATTGGATTTTGACGAAGCGAGCCCGCGTCGTCGGGACTCCGAGATCGGTTGCTTGAGGTCGCCTGGCATGCATCACTTTGAGACGCTGCCCGCACGACGAAATAATCATATGGAAGTCAGTTACGTGGGAGCCAAGGACCTCTACCACGCGACGGCAACATCGATTGCGAACTCGGCAAAGAAGACTGCGGTACCTTCACGAGATAGCATCGAGTCAGGGCGGAGCTCTATCCGACCGCCCAAGAATAGGCTGAGCTTCGCAGCCAAGGTGCTTCAATCCGGTAGGAAGCGGCCGCCTACGGGCATCAACACAACTCCGCAATCACCATCATCGTTAGACTCCGCGACGGGTTCTACGGTGGGTAAGCAGTCTTTGGGGTCGATTCATCCGGATATGCACGCACACTCAATGGACGACGACCGGCTGCGGGTCAAGTACTCGGACGCTCTATCACGCGTATTCAGATGGAGCGGCGAGCACAGGAGGGTGGCTTCGGAAGGCGTGTCGCCAAACGACCTGCCGCCGACGTCAGAAGCTCGCAGCACCGCATCGGCTCCGGTGCCCGATTCACCTACGCATCCTGGACTGAAGAGGATGGGTAGCCGGCGTTCGGTGCAGGGCCTGGCAGCTCAGTTCAAGAGAACTGCGAACTCGATGGTCCTGACCAAGGATGAGCGGCGGAGGGAGAATCTACGACAGAGCATCCGGGTGATACCGGAGGGTAGTACACTAGAGTAATGCGTGCCGGGCACTATTCGACGGCGCCGGTGTAGCGTCTTGAGGAGGGTATCGGGACGCGGGTTGCCCGCATTGCGTAGTATGCCGGCTAAGGTACCTTGGTATGCGAACCAACTCGTTGCATGTCAAGGATGGAACTTCTGGTTTGGACCAGAAAAACTTTGGATGGTGTCGTGTCTCGGCGTTTGTGTGCTTAGCGTTGTTTGCCTGTCCTGTCGGAAAAGCGAAGAAGCGTTTGGTGTCGTTTGGTAAGAGTGTGCGTTACGTACCTGCCACCCATGAAAGCCTGGAAAAGTCCAAATGACGGAGGAAAGGAAAGATAATCTCTACTATAGATGAACCCGGTCGATGCGAATCCAAAGTCTGAATGCGCCCGAAGCCGTGTGACGTGAACAGCTCCCCGCTCCCCGATAAAGTAATCGAAAAGTAATAGTGGGAAGAGAGTCCCGCATTCCTGCGTTAACGGGACTGGACCTCCCTCCGTGTTCGCCGGGTCGCCGCCTGCCGGGCTTCAGGTGAGGTCCAGTCCCGCCGAGACGTTCCTAACTTCCTGGTAGTTAAATCCGGTGACGTTAGGTAAGGTACCTAGGTACCTTAGTTACCTAAGGTAGATGTCGTAGCTTCCATCTACTGCACCCCTTCAAATAGCTGTTGCCGATCCAATGAGAGCACATAGCAAGATGGTATCCTGCATAAAACTGATGTTTCATCATTGGATACCGAAAGGATCTTTTGTTTAACTGCACTCTGCGGTTCGGTTGCTCAACGATGACTGATGTCCAGATTGCCTACCTACCACGCGGTTGACAAACAAAAGGACACACCTAACATAGCCATCTAACTACGACTACATTTCTACAATCTATAAAATTAAAATTAATATTTAAAATTTCTTAAATTATGTTTTAATATTTAAAGAATTATAAAAATACTTTTTTAAATATTTTATTTATTTAATTTTTATATTATATCGTATTATAAAATAGGGAGTTAGATAGGAAAACACATGTGAGAGGGCTAAGGTGTGTCCTTTTTTTTGTCAACCGCGTGCCTACCTACCGAAGGCTACTTGGCTCTTCGGGATATCCTAACTAACCCCACCCCCGCAATTCGGCTCGGCCTCTTTCCAATAATTTCCCCAAGACACGTTCGCAGTAAGGTGAGCGATCACGCACCTCCAAATTATTCTGGGCCCTTTGGGTTTCTCCTCCTTCTCCAACAGCACATCATCCAAACATCGACCACCCTCCTCCTCCAACCACGTCGTACGTCCGTGACCTTCTAGGCAAGAGCACGCGCGCCCCCGTCGTCCCCCGCCCACGAACGCTAAACCCTTGAACGCCGCACACTTTTGGACCTCGCTTCCTCGTGTCGGTTTCCTTGCCAATATCGCAGGTCCCAACGATACCGCGGCTCATTCTGGTCAGATACTACAGATGGAGCGAGGCCTGGAGACTCCGAGCGGCCTGGACAACCGGCAGTCGAGCCAAGTCCCGTCCACGCCC